GGTGACCTGACCTGTGACGTGACCTGGTATTGTCAGTGACCTCTAATAGCAACATATCTACTAGGCAACTGACGCCCTATCGCTGATTCTCGACAAAATGCGTTTTCCTCGGTGTTATAGCGCATTCCCTAGAAGACCCGTGAACGGTGAAACATTTCATCTTTGACCTGACCTGTGACGTCATCGGTGACCCCGAGGTCAATGAAATTTGGTTTCCTTCGACAAATTTGACAGGCCTTTCGAATGCCGTTTGAATTTTGCGGATCCGTCCAGTAGTTTCGGAGATACGAGGGGGGGGGCAAAAAATAGCCCCCCCCCCCACCAGGTCGCGTTATAAACAGACCCCACCAGGGCGCGGGATAATAGATGCGAATCGCCTCCTCTAGTTTATGTATGTAGTTTGTCCCTGCAATATTTCATTGTTTTCGAACAATTCCTCAAATTTTATTGTGACCTCCGAATATCGGAAAACAAGCAGGGATATTTATCAAATTATTGTTGACGGCAAGGCATGTTGCCCAGCGAGACTGACCCAGCCATCGAGCTAAGACGCTCTTCCGTCTATTGTGTCCGACATCGAGTTTGTCTGTTGTAATTCTCAGCGCCGGGCACATCGCCCGTCCGGGGAGCGATCAGCGGCCCCTGCTCGGACAGACATGACGTGACACGCCTACAGACGTCCCCAATGGTAATCAGACGACCGGGGCCCGTCCGGCCCGGCCGGCGACGGCCCTCGGGACATCCCAGACGCGAAAGCTGCAGGTCTGCGCATCAGGCAGGATGCCGCCGCTCTGTGTTGTGTGGGAGGACGCGACTTATCGTCTCCCCAGGCGCGCGATGGCATGTGGCGGCGCGGACACCGTTTCCAGAATAAGGTCGGCTGGCGGTGTTGGTCGGTGCAAATCCGGTCATCGTGTACTATCAGCCGCCACGGAGCCACGCTCCTTCGTCTTCCTAAGCCGCAATCAGCCGGACGGCGGCCGATAACAGCCGCACCAAGGCCGGCGAGGACTAGGGCAGCGGTGGGCGCTGCGGCGGCCAAAGATGGTGATGGTGCTGCCCACCTGCCTGTTGGTCGCCTGCCTTCCGTCCGTTGCTGCTGCTGCTGCCTCCCTGCCTACCGACTGCTTCCGCTGCTTCTTCTGCTGCTGCTGCTGGCTACCTTCCAAGGTTACCTGCTCTCTCCCCGCTGCTGCTGCATCTGTACCTGCGGGCTGTGGCCTGTGGCTGCTGCTGCTCCTACTACTGCTGGTGCTGCTGCCTTCCTGTCTGCTGGTGTGTGTGGCTGGTTTCGCGGCTGTTGTGAGTTGTGACAGTCGCAGAGCCAACCTTCCCGGTCTTTCCGGCTGCTTGTCCTCGTTGCCAGCCTAATTTCAACGCTACTCGCACACGGCAACATATTTGTAAACTAACTTTTTATAAAACTGATTTATCGGCATTGACGTTTTTGGATCCAGCCATAGACAAAGTCCAACAAATATCTGTTTGCTAATGTCTCACATGAATGTAATATCGAAACTCTAAACATGTATCTAGCTCTCGCCTTTTTGCTGCTGTCTTGCTGTATATGAAATTTTGTTTTTATTTTATCTGCACTCGGAGTCGTAGAGGAAATTGATCTACACCATATGCGGCTCAGACAGGATAATCTCGACGTGATGTGCTCCTCTCCTGGGAACACATTTCCTCTCGCATGTTTGAGTGAAATAGCTCATTCGCATCGCCATAGCATTGGCTTGCTGTCGTCCCCTGATTGAATGCGTTATTTGCAGATGTCTGATAAGCCGGCAGCGTTCCCTGATTGATCTTTCCAGATACTGTATACAATGTTTCGTTTTGCAGGAGCATTGCTCAGTCATTCACATTTCGCATTCGGTGAATACTGGGATCTCTCTCTCTCTCTCTCTCTCTCTCTCTCTCTCTCTCTCTCTCTCTCTCTCTCTCTCTCTCTCTCTCTCTCTCTCTCTCTGTCTCTCTCTCTCTCTCTCTCTCTCTCTCTCTCTCTCTCTCTCTCTCTCTCTCTCTCTCTCTCTCTCTCTCTCCGATTGCTTAGCTGCGGGCTTAATACTCCTTTCTTCAATGTAACATTTGTACTTCAAATTTGCTACTAGCCGTTTTCACGACGGCCATCTGGTACACATGTGGTGCTCATCTGGTGCAGATCAGGTGCAGATTTGGTCAAATCAGTTTCAGTGTGTCTCTTAGTAGCTATCAGCTAGGGTTGCACTATTTGCTTATATGCCTGCTTTGTCATATTATTAGAGTTTCATCGATTAAAACACTGAAATCAATTCATAAAATAAAGATATTTGCTGTAAAAGAGATTAGGTGCAGATTTTGTTAAATTAGGTGCACTCACCGGATAGCCCGTCGTGAAAACGGCTATTGTCTATAGATGGACCAAAAGTTTACTGGACTATCTCTCAAACAGAGGTTTATGAGCGTATGAAAGGAATGGGGAATAGCTTACATGCATAGTTACACTGGATGGACGACTGGAACCGCTGCAGGACCACATCCTCGACACCTTATTTAGTCCTGCCAGCTGTCATTCGATGGTTTACACCAAGTTTACACCATCGACCTTTTGCTCCAAGAAAGCTTGGGGACAGGCTACCACTAATCGAGAGCTTTAACGAATGCGTGGCCGGCAATTAGCAACTGCACCAAAACTGCACAATACATATAGCTGCTGGAAGCCGGTGTATAACCGTGGTTTGAACTGACTGGTTGGCAAAGTCAGCGTCAAACTTAACCAATATTTGTATTTATTATTTTAAAAAAGTTCAAGGATTTCAAACTGTGTTGTCATGCGAGGAAGGAGCGAAAAACAATGTTTACATTGGTGCATTGTAAACGTAAGTGCATGCATTGTGTAATGCTCATTGATCCAGTGGCTTTGGCCTTTCGCATACCCGAATATCTCTAATCAACCTACCTGTAGACTGCAAAACACCGTATCACATATCACGTCGCATATTGATTGCTGCGACCCCGTGACCATCGGCAAAATTAGTGACCGTTGCAGACCATCACTGACCATTGCCGATTGTCGGTCACTGTCGCTGACTGTTGGTCTCTGTCGCCGACTGTTGGGTAACACTACCGACTGTCCCAATCGCCGGTGACTGTCGCGGCCGGCGGACATTGTCCAGTGACGTCGGGCCCGCGCTGGCCGCGGGTAGCCACTTTCGTCTGTCGCCTCCTGTCATCCTGAAATCGAAGACAGAGGTTTCCTCCGTTCTCGTTCGGACGGCGTCGCCAAAGCCGAGCTGGGCAGTGACGCCCGTGGACGGTTCACAGCTTGATTTGGCATTGTTGCGATTAAAACGGGAAGGCGCTGATATCTACAAGACATTTATTAAGAGATGTGAAACTAAGTGGCATATGCCCATTAGATCAAATTAATTTCGGAATCACAAAGGAAACTAGTTACCTCGTGCGCTCGAATGCTTATCACCTAGCATAAATGTCCATACCTGGGTACCACTACCTATGCGTACGGCTGACCGGGCGTTTTATTTTAAGCCTATATCTCAACAGGAGGTCTGTAAATAATGCAATTGAATCACCCGTCCTCGATGTAGTTGATTTTTGTAAACAACTCGGTTTTCCCCGTTCAGTGCTGGCTATGTCATCCGATGCATAAGAACCACCATCTAATCATGCAAATACTGAGTGACTGGGAGCGCGCTCCTCTCGGCCCGCAGCCGGGAACGGTCGGCTATAAATGCGGCCCATAGTGTGAACTCGGGTGATGAGTATTGGACCATCAATCAGTCCTGGCCATGCAGTGACCGTGTGAACCGTCTGACCCGACCGAGAGAGCGGCATCGGTCAGCCTTATCTACCCGCTCCGGGCGGATGCGGTTTGCAAATTCAGCGTCAAATGCGTGATTTTTCACGTACATGGAATTCTTCGAGCCTTTCGTCGCTTTTCAGAAATGCATGGTTCCGGGAAAATACGACACACTTTCATGCTAATGTCCAATAAGCGGTTCTGTTTAAATACAAGTTAGTTCTAGTTACCAATGGTGGTGGTCAAAATGCATGATTGCGAGTAATAAACTGCTGATATGCCCTACGTTCCGCCCAACGAGGCACACAATTACAAAACGAGCAATTGCGTAGGCAACACAATTTGAAATATTTGAAACAGAATACGGATATTCATTGGGGGGAGGGGAACAGGGGGTGGGTTGAGGGGAGGGTGCCATTTTGCCAACATTTAGGGTATCGCCTTCACTCGGAAGTATTTTCAGCACTCAACCCCAGCCCCTAAAACAGCCTAGCGACCCCAGCCAAGTCCAGTCCATCGCAGCCCCAGCTACAGCTTAGCATAGCGAAAACATCCACGGATCCGCGGTTCATTCAAAAGGCGAGTCCCGACAATATTGTCCCTGGTGTATCGATAACAGGTCAAGCTAATGAAGCTGAGCTCAGCCACCTCGCCCTGCTTTAGCCTCGAACCAAACCAACCGCAGCTCCTGCTGAGTCTTAAACTAAGTTCGGCCTTATTTCCGTCCTAACTCAGCCCTTTTACAGCCCTACCAGACTGCATATTATCGGCCAAAACCATAGCCGTAGCCTCCCCCCCCCTCCCCCATACGAGTATAGTCAACCTCAGCCAAGGGCACCCCCGCACCCCCGCTCAGCCCAGTCCCAGCTCAGTTCAGTTCAGTGCTCCAGTTCAGTCCGCCTCTGCCCCTGCGCCACCCCAGCTCAGCCCTGCCTCAGTCCCAGCTCAGCCCAGCCCCAGTTCGGCCTAGCCCTAGCTATAGCTGCAGCCGATCCTAGCTAGAGTTAGCCCCTGCGCCACCCACGCCCATCTCAGCCCCAGTTTAGCCTTAGCCTCAGCCCAGCTCAGCGCCACCCCCATTTGCAGCCCAGCTCCGCTTATCTCGGTGCCGCCAAGGCCGGCGCTCGGCGGCCATCGATCGGCGCGTCGGTCGGCCATCTTGGGTCGACGGCGCGCGCGGCGGTGCCGACGCGGGCGCGCCAGTCAGCGAGACGCGCAGCCAGCCGGCGGGGCCCCGCTGCGTCCCACCGCCGGCCGTGTGAGCTCCGTCCCAGTGGTGGTCAGTGTGACAGAGCCGTCCGTCCGTGCAGGAGGAGGAGCAGAGCGGCCTGCGAGCCGGCCGACCCCACACCGCAGCCAGGTGAGGGACGGAGGGGACGCCCGCCGCCGGGTGCGCCCGCGGCTCGATCAGATGTGGGACGGTCCGTCGGTGACGGACAGGCGCGCCGCACCTGTATACCGCCCGGCTGAGCCCGCCTGTGTCTCTATGGGTGGGGATGGTGGGTGTTGGCCTCGCCAGGCGAGGCTGGGCACAGCTGAACTTGCACCTCTTTGTGTTATCGGTGGACCTGATACCGTAGCGTGCCGCTGCGTGGCTACCGATACGGGCTGAAAAGTCAACAAATACATTGCTCACATAGAATGTAAGAAGATATGACCTTACCTATGCCCTTATACCGGACGTGAAGAATGACAGTCAAAGGGTACATGGGTAAATAGCAGACCTGTTTAATGTTCAACTTAACGTCTGAAGGAAAAAAGAAATATCTACCTCTTACGGTCTTCGTTTCTCACAATTTTATACCTGTGGGGTAACTGGTCAGCCTCCCCAAACCAGCTGCTTTTAATATAAACTGAGCATTTGGCGTCAGTCCACGCTGCATTCACAACTCAATCACAAAACAGCAGTTTCTGATCAAATTTACATACCTATGTCGGTATTCAGTTGTTGCCGAATTGCTTTGCATTGCATGCAATTGCATCGAATTGCTTACCGCATTCGATGCTGGAGGAACCAGCCTCAAGTCTGCTTATTTTTTTTCTTTTGTATATAATTATATACATTTATATACATCAACGAAATATAGCTGATTTATATTTATCTAAAATTCCATGATTTGGCTTACATATGTGACGGAGCTGCATGGAAAAAGTTCACCTTAATCAGCATAATGTGTTTTTCGGCGCCATTCCTCCCTCTCTACCTGAACGTTGCATATATTGATGAATTACCAAATGTCGGGTCACTGACATTTTCGTCTCTTTTTTCGTGGTGAGCAGATCAAAATCGGTAGTGTATGTGTCAGTCATAAGCACATTACCTGCCTCTAATTCGCGAATAGCCGTACCGGATGTGAACTATGGATCCGTAATGCGCGAGAACGTGTTGTTGGAACGCCAAACGTCAAGTCTTATCGGTTTAATCAAGTACTTTTTGGTCTGAACTGCTTTAACCCGCGCCCCGTAGGGCTACCGGCGGACCCTACCACCCGTAGGGGGGGGGGGGGCCGTTTCGGCCCCCCCCCCTAAGATCTCGGAAAGTTACCGGCCGATTTTCAAAATTCAAACGGCGTTCGATAGCCCCACCCGGGAACTACCTTGTGACCAAATTTCATTGACCTAGGTCAAACCGATGACGTCACAGGTCAGGTCAAAGGTCAGATTTTAACCGTTCACAGGCAATTCAAGAAATGTGCTGTGAAAGCGAGTAAATTGGTAATTTATTGAAAACCATCGATGGTACATTGTTCGTCAAACACATACTTTGCTATCTGAGGTCACTGATACCAGGTCAGGTCACAGCGAGGTCAGGTCACCGGGGGTCACAATATGAATGTGTCGTGTGATACCTACATGTTTTATGGTCCATTTTACATGACAAATGCGATTATGTGGGTTAGGCAGCCTTTGGGGCCAGCCTAGGTCACGTTTTGGTGAAGGTCAGGTCAAGGTCAGGTCAAATTAGGTCAAATTTCAAAGTTGATATTTTTGTATAAAATGGGTATCGATTCGATGCAGCTTGTCACGGGGAGTCTAATGGTGGTCTTCGTTTTGCTCTACGAGTTCTAGAATTGCCAAAAATTAAGTTTGAAAATTTGACGTCATCATTTTTGAACGGTTTTTTTCACTATAACTTGGCCAAAAAACGAGGTATCGATCTGAAATTTGGTATGTAGATAGAAGACGGTAGGCACTATCACATATATTCCGGGTTTTTCGAAACTCAAAAAACTTTTTTGGATTTTTTGGCGAATATATCCAAAAAAATGCTTTTTTGATTTTTGGGGGTCAAAACTCAAGAATTTTAAAAATTCGAGATAGCAGTTTTGTAGCCCGGTCAATTCTACACCTTTTATGTCTGATCATTTTTCTGTATCTTCAAAGCTGTAGTCCTGACATGTCTTCTCGCAAAGGTCTTTTTTCGGTCGAAAATGACAGAACATGACGTCATTCTGACGTCATTTGTGGCCAACCTATCATAGCCTCTGGAAAAATTTTTGGTCACAATGTGTAAAATCGATGCCCGGAGGGGTCCTGAAAGTTTGGTGGCGATAGCTTCAGCCGTTTAGGAGATATCGTCCGAAAAGGACAGGGGGGGCCGTTTCGGCCCCCCCCCCCCCCTACGGGGCGCGGGTTAAGAGAGTGCAATTATACAACAACCTTTTATCTGCTATCTACTGTCAAGTACCTTCATACCTATCTCATTCATTCATCACAAAAGTTTGTATAGTGTTATAAAGCTGGCACTTTATCCATCGTTATAAATGGTACTGTGAGTTGAAGTTAAATGTTAATTACTGGACATAATGGGACAAACATTACGGCTACGGAATCACGGATACACTGCAATTGTTCTTGGTCTGTGCCAAGATTCTTACAGATAGTCTGTGCTACATTCCGTGAACAATCGCCCTGAGAGCTACGTCCACACGGAGTTCACACGGAGTCCACACGGAGTTCTGCGAGGTCATTCTACGAATGACCTCGCAGCCCGTTCGCTGGACGTTGGCTTGTGCCACCTTGCAGCCGTACTCAAGGTCACCAAATATATCGGCAACGAGGTCAAACATGACAGTTGAACAGAGCTTGTTGTGCTGTGCCGAGGCTTTCGCCGCCACACCGGGAAATCCGTACAGCTCTGTCATAATAGGGATGCGGAAGCACTGTACGGTCGCATACAGCAAGGTAAGCCCCTCTTTGAACTCTTCTTGATTGAGGTTGGTGTCCTTAGCATTTTTTGGCTCCAGCTCTCAGTTCCTAGAAGGAAGCCCCAAGAACGAAAAGTTTGAAATTGTGTACCAAGTGACCGTTGTGAAAACGGCATAATGATGCCATTGAGATATTTTGGTACCTACCCATCGCATTTAAAATTACCGTGACAGCTTATTTCTACACGGACACAAGACTGTCGTTCAACGCTTAGTTATTTGTATAATATTCTTCATCCTGTTCGTATGAGAAGCATACCTACAAAATTGGATGCTTGATATGCAATGGCATGCATGCACGTCGAAAAAACAAAAAAAAAAAAACTTCCAATGGGTATCAAGACAACTCCAGCTTTAAACTCCTTTTATTTAAGACAAGCTTTTGTTTTGATATTTTTAATTTAAACGCATTTAAGCATTTAACATACATTTGGGGTGGATGGATGGATGGATGGATCTGAAAGGCATATTTAACCCCTTACCTATCCCGATCAGGGTGCCCGGTGTCAGGAGTAAAGCCCGTGCCGGCCGTGCCTTTCCCGATTAGGACTGTGGCATGGAACCTTTGTGAACATTTGGACCGTCGCGTCCCATGTGTGCCGGCCACATTCCTTTCCTGGCCAATATCTCCCCAGTATGCAATCCGGACCAGCACGACCGCGGCGGGGCGCGTTGCCGCCTTCTGTTTGAGAAACGGGGTGCTTTGTTTGTCGCCGGCGGCCGGCTATATGGCAGCCGGCAGGACTATATGGCAGCACCGAGTGTCGTCAATAACGGCGGGCAATATCGCCGCGGAATAGACGCTCTTCTGGGAACAGAACGCTCTGACGTTGGTGCCGCCGACCGTCTCTGGGTCATGGTCGGCACGGGTGGCACCAGTCGAGCCGAGTCAGGACAGCGGCGTGTTGCTGCAGAGAATATTTTGTGAGGGAGCGGGCGCAGAGTTTCCTGCTGACTCCGTGCCATCCGCTCTGAGCTTAGTGACGCTGCGCGCCAGTCGAACGCACGCTGAGTCAGCCCAATCAATCGTCAGCTAGAGCCTTTAAATCATGATCTGCAGTCGATGCGAATTTTAAATCAAATTCCACGACGGCCACTCTGACACGCCATCGGCCGGAGAAGAAGCCTCCGAAGTGGCTGCTTGACGCTCGATTGAGAGCCGGGCCACGCTCCTTGGTGCGGCCGATGTGCCGTCGTCAGGCGGGGTCGGTGCTGACGGGCTGATTCAGAGCTGGCTTCCAGGAACTCCGGGCCAGGGGCCGTCCCCAGACCGCCGTCGCGCCTGTCGAAGAGCCGCCGACCGCTGTCGTTACCTGCCTCGTCCGTCGGGCACGGCTGGCCGGCCGGCCGGCGGGCGGGCTGTTTTCGCAGGCGCGTGTCCTCCCCAGCGGAGCGGCGGCGGCGGACGGCTGCATCGACCTGATATCGAGCGGCGACGCTGGAACAAATCAAGTCAGCCCGACCACGGAAATAGACGGCGCGACGGCCGACGACTGAGTGTGTCCGTGGACGACTGCGTCGAGCACAGCCGGGCGAGCGAGCGCGCCTGCCGTGGCTACAGTCCGGCGCGGCGGCGAGGCGTCGGCAGCGGTGCCGGGGCTTCTCCTGTCGGTTAGAAGCCGGGCAGAGAGCCGGGCCAGCGTCGACCTTCAGTCAACAGACGGCACGCTTACAACCGCCGCCGTCGCCTTACGAGGAATAATCGCGGCTAGATGCTAGTATACTACCAGGCTGCGAGGCTGGCACGGTGACATATGAGGCTTCCACAGCAAACTTTCAGTACTGCATACTCCACGGTAATAGTGGAGATGCAAACTGCTATACGAATTGCCACCGCAGTCGCTAACTATCCAAACGTGGTGTGTATTCCGCAGCCTAACTCAGAAGCTTGAGAACACCTTTGCTCTCTTTGCTGATATCTATATGAACCCGGAAGCTCAATTTGAAGACACAACATCGAGCGTATTCATCTAGTGACGGCAGGACCTCGGCAACTTAGGCGGAAATCCTGCTTGCCCTGTATTCATTTGGGCACTCTGTCGCGTCCATGTAATAGAGTGCCCAAATAATCTGCGTCACTTATGAACACACACGCCTACTTGCAGTTCCACTGCACTTTTCTACCACACTAAACCAGCGCTCCCCATCGAGTTTCAGCCACAAGATGGCTGTTTTCCGCTCCACAGGCGATGTTATCAGCTGTGGGGTATAACCCCACCACTGGGATCAGTAGAGTTCGCTGACGGCTGACGTGGAAAGCTTTTTTAGACGGCAGCGCTGCTGAACTCTTTTCAAAGTTTGGCGCTTCAATCTTGGATGAACCGTTGGCTAAGCAGAAAACTGGGTTTTTGTCAAAGGTTTTATGCTTTATACAGTCAACAGTGCGGTGCTTTGACGTTTTTTTTTTAAGTTCTTCACGCAACCATTTCATTTATGAATTAATTTTGCTATTCAGAAACAGGACAATTGGAACACTTTGAAATTGAATGCCACATCGAAGACTCCTGACGCTGTCAATATGACCATTGCAAATTAATTGATGAAATGTAGTAGGAGGCATTGAAAAAGACTAATCAAGCTTTCAATGAATCGTTGGTTTTACGTAGAACCAGCTTTGGTGCAAAATCAACTAAGACGACAATACTTTTTGAATGACCGAATGAAGTTAAACAATTTTGGCATGATTTACGTCAACGGTCAGTGGTTTTTCTGCTCCCGTTTTTAGTCAGTGGCGCCTTACAATTTTATTTTTCACTGACAATGGTCCTCGCGTGACATTTCTAAGGTTTGCTGGCCGTTCATTCATATGCATACTGCTAATATGAAATGATTGGATGGCTACCAGGACCTCTGTAAAGTTGGGACCAGCCTGTCATAAAGGCGCACTCTGCGTATTTGAACTATTTGGCAGTCGGCCTATGAGCTCGGTGTAATCCCCAGTGACCTGTGGCAACCATGCCGAACTCTTCTGACCCGGAGCCGTTCCCCGTAACCGTAGCAGTACAGAAGCCCTACCAGCTCCGCTCACATGGTCCATCTCTTGTTCTATCAATGCTCAATATACTTATATTCTGCTTCACTAAAACAACAGCGTTTCTCAGGTATTTGCATCAAAGGTGCTAAATATAGGGGCATGAATGGCTTGATAGCCTGTTCTGGTGATTGGTTACATGAGCTGGCTCTCATACTAGCAGGCGTACATTTAGCTACTGATATTTATGTAGATTATCACTGTCCTCCAAGGTATCTGTTGACCTATTGACCATCAATAACCAGGAGACTTTTCTGTTATGTGTCGCGTCGGGCTCTAGGCACGAATTGGGCACCCTGACTGATCTACGCTGCTGACTGTGACTCATCAGGAGACCTTGCTGACTGGGCTGACTCGCGCTTACCGCGGGAGCCGCTGACCTAGCTGACCGTGTCGCCGCAGGATGATCGACCCCAGCTCCTCGGAGGAGGAGGAGGAGGAGGAGGAGGAGCAGGAGAAGCCCATGGTGGCCACGGCCGCCTCGGCGCTCGAGGTCACCCCCAACACCAACTCGCTGAGTCGGGGCGCCAGGTCAGTGACTGCCCGATGACGGCCGGTGGGGGTCTTGCCTCCCTATGGACACAGGTGCTCTGCGTTGCTGCTTTCATAAACTGCCATGTCTCAAGAAATGTATTCGGTCAAAGGAAAAGTTTTTGAATGGTTTGAACGTTTTGGTATTTTATTATTGCTTACCTTAATAACCATTGCGACATTCAGAGTGTTCTGACATAACTTCCACCTTGCAAAATGCACGAGCACATTCTGGATTCCGGAGGCATCTGACGGATTCCTATTTCCTGACCAGTACCACTTGCTACTTTTTATGCTGCTTTCGCGCGGGTTTTTCTGGTATCAAATTCGACTGATAAATCACAAATTCTGCCTCCACCCTAGCCCATCGCGGCACTTTTCATCCCGAGTTAGCGCGGTTGGCTGCCGGCCGACTCCGAGTTATCATGTTTCTGGGTTATCGTGGCCAACCGGGGCCGGGCGTGAGTTACTATGCCGAGTGTGCTGCGAGAGCGGCCCGCTCTGTATTCCGCCGTGTCGGCCACAGCTCAATAAAGACCCGGGCAGGGCCAGCCGGCTGCCCCGGGACGAGGCCAGATATCAGCCACAATTGAGGGATCAGCAGCCGCAAAAGGCTGCCCTCACGCAGGATCCGGTCATCAGGCGCTGTAAAAATCACCCGCGAGATTAGGCTCAGACAGTTGTGAGAGTTGTCAAGACGAAGGGACTGGCCAAAAAAGCAAACTTCATTCTGTAAAATCGGCATAGGTCAGACTTCAGGAGGGACTTAAACAAACAAACATCCATTGATCAGCTGCAGAGAGGAGCCTTATCAACCTTAGAGGAACGACAATTTAGCTGATTCAGCTCTCAACTTTCCTAAATTTAATCTTGAAGATTGGGCACAGCACAAACCTTGATTTTTTAAATAATATGATACACGCCTAAACATTTTTTAAATAAAAGACTTATGGTAAATCTAGATGAGCTGTCCCCGGAAATAAGACGTCATGAATTAATGTTCTTCGAGATGGAATGGAACGCTCCGACCTGCATTTGTTCACTATCCAATCATTCCACCCGTATATCATATCATCACTGCTTAGCAGTGTCATCAATATTCATCAAAATACAGGGCGAGTGATCTAGAAGCCCTAGGAATCTGTCATCATTTGGACAACATTCGCCCGTCCATTTACAGCGACTCATCCATCATTCCCCGAGGGCCCTCCTTCCCGGAGTATATCCGCCCCCGCGATCTGGTCCCTTCCTCCACGTCAGCGCTTGTGGCTGTAATGGCACTGGGACGAGTGTCTGCTCCCTGCTTATACATCAGCCTCCGGGAGAGCAATCCATCTCATCTTCCTGTGAGCAAGTCAGCAGTGTGTGTCAACAGAGCGGGTCAGCGCCGGTGGGCCGCTGGGTCACGGCGTGTCCAATCGATCGCTCCGGGTCACAATCCCTGGCCCGTCCGCCCACTCCTACACCGGGCCGACTCATGAATAAGCTGTTTGTCGGCCGACCCTGGTGCGGCCAGCGGCGGCGAATTGGTGCACGCCGGTGGCGGCGTGTCTGCCGGCCGGCCGCGCTAATTAATTAGTGGCGCCGACCCCGGCCCCGGCGGCGACCGGCCGGTTCCTGCTACCGGTGAGGTCGCCACGTCCAGCACGCCATGGCGACCCGACACTGGACATGGATAGTCTGGCACATATATTGGTCACGCATCGGTGATGTATGTGACAAGGCTTCCATTGGATTACTCAAACTAATAGAGCATTTGCTTGGAGGTAACATGATCGCTTATGTTTCTACTTAGAAGGTGGCGATCCGTTTAAATCTTGCTTAAGTGTCTCCAGGGAAAGATACAGGGACCCTATTGCGGTTTGGGCTCGTTCCATGAAAAAGAGCATTGTTATAACACATGATTACAGAAATTACAGGCCGATTGTGATAGGTGAAAACGAGCCCATAAGGCATGTATCAGAGCCTCGCGTGATGCAGGTGCTGCAGCTCCCACCTCTTGGCAGGCACTGACTGTAACTGCTCTTACCGACTGATCCTCCCAACCAACTGAATGGTTGCATGCAAAGACTGTGGGAGCGACTCCGGTGACTCAAATGCAGGCATGCGAACGGACCGAGTTTTGATCCGCATGACGTCATTGAAACACTGAACATTTAGCATCTTCTTTGTCTGAGAAACAAGTGCGTCATAAGCTTCCTCACGCATCATTGCAATCTATTGATTACTGACGTAACTATGACCTAGGATTAAAGGACGAATGTTTGATAATGGAAATGCAAAATGTTTTACGAATGGCGACCGTAGCCGCTATCTATCCATATGCGGTGTCTACTCCACGGCCGATCCCAGGGGCCTGGGTCCGGCCTCTTGGTTTTAAGCTCGCCCTTCTGAAGGCTCAAAATGTGTGAACACATAGCACAAATTGCCACTGTGTGGGCACTTAAAGTGACACACTGGCCAACGTAACAGAATTTTATTACCGGTAAATTGATTGGTTGTTGATAATGCCTCTGATCATAGACCTCTGTATACCGAGGTCAATGCAATGGGCCTTGCTTTCTCGGTATAGGGCTGTGTGTAGGTATTCAGCATTACAGAAGTCATGCTCTGATACATGCTTTATGGATGGACCTGTGCGATGTTCTTCATGCTCCCTTTGACCTCTATCCGCCGTCCCTGGTGCCCCACTCATACTGCTGTTGGCTGCGGCAAGGGCTGAGGTCAGTGGCAAACACCGTGGGTGACGGCCCGGGGCGGGGACGGGGGCGGGGGCGGACGGCCAGCCCGGCCGGCGGCCGTGGCTCGCCGCTCGGATATTGATCGGTATGATTAACCGTCGGACGGCGGCGCACCGGCACGGCCGCACCAAACAAAGACGCCCTTCCGGCGGCCAACAGCCGTCACGACGGCGCGCGAACCGTCACCGGCACCGGCGCCGTCCCAGACGCCGCGCGACGGTCCCCTCCCGCGCTGACGGCACTGCAGGACAGTGGGGCAGGGATAGGTTATAGGTCGGCAGTCAAGGATCGGCAGACACCCGACAAGAATGCAACGCTAGGAGGTCTAAGCTCAGGATGAAACAGAGTTAAAAGGAGTCAAGATTATAGATCAGCAGGTCTTTGGTCGTGACGGTGGTGGGCAAGAAGATGAAAGCAATGCCTGGTTCATGAGCGACTACATCTCCCCTCCTCTGAAGAACCCCCGCAGTCCGCACTCGATATCTACTTAAAGGGACTATCCCACCTTTAACATGGGGTTTGAGTTGAGATAGCCAAGTTTGCGGCGAGGTTCAGAAACCACTATCTATCTAGGTTGCAACCCCCGCGGCCTCTTGGTGTTGAAGAAATTCGTTCCCTTCATTTGAAAATGGGCCTTGTACAAGGCCCTATCTTCAACATGGAGCGACCGTTAGTGTGACGTCACCTCGTTTAGTCATTCTGATTTAAATGGGTTTGTTCGTTAACAAATCGCTTAAAACTTGGTCTGAACTTTGTTGTGGTGCCTACAGAGTAAAAAGAATCAGCTTTATGACAGTAATGTGGCCTGGGGAAGGAGGTAATTTTGGGCTGTGACGTCACATATTTGAAAGTTTGTGTTTGGAATATGGGAAGCCTAAGATGTTTAATGAAAAATAAATGCCAGAACCGTGTTCCTGGTCATCCAATCTATAAAGTCGGGCACAATTTAACTGGTTTTAACAACATTTTAGAAGGTGGGATAGTCCCTTTAACCGGGTGGCCGGCAATAGCGTCGACCACTAATGGCGGGACGATTCTGCGTCGTCGGCGCGGCTATTTATGGATTTTCTTGCGTTCTTTTCGCCGCCGGCAGTCATAATGTGGCTAATGCGCCATGCCGAGTGTCATCGATCTGGTACTGCGGTCCCAGGAGAGAGCGGCGCAGCACCGCCCGACACACACCGCCCCCTGCGGGCGGACCGGGGGGACCACGGACTAGGCGGACCACCGCCCACTGCGGGCAGACCGAGCGGGTACAACAACGCCCTAGGGCCTAGACACACCGCCCCCTGCTAGCGGACCGGGGGGACCACGGTCCGAGGGACCACCGTCCACTGCGGGTAGACTGAGCGGACCACCATCCACTGAGGGCAGACCGGGCGGACAGTGGGAGTACTCAAAGGGGTGTGCTTGTTGCCAGTTACGCGTGTTCTGTTAAATGTATGTTGTGATCTTTAGAGAGTTCGATGGCATTAATTTAGTTAAAATAAAAAGTGGCGCCTGGTAAAACGTTACGGTCTCGATAGACTCCATGAAATATTTTCAACCTCACACTATGCAAAGCCCATTTGTCGCTGCCAGGTAGCGCTGTTGTTACTTGTCATCGATCCGCGCCAGTCGTCCAATATGTCCCATATTGGCCCACTGTGTTCGTCATGGTTGGCGCCGAAGCCCGTCCTTTTGTCTGGCATTGACGGGGTGAGGTGATACATAATCCATGCGCTACGGGGTGTCTATGGGGCGTTCAGTACGATAACCCGTTTGGAGCACCCGCTGGGCGTTTTGCAAACAACCTGCAAGCTGAGCTCCGTGAGTGTTTCATTAGCGTTGTTCGTATTTCTCCGGTGTGACAGCTCCCCGCGCTGGTTTCGGTAATGAGCTGGTGCTCGCACACCGCCACTGCCGTTACCGGCCCGAATCGGTGTCGTGTGTGCGTCGGTGCCGCGCTTTACGACGGCTCGGCAGTGAACCGACCACCGCGAGCGATATTACGAAATTCAGACGCCCTACTCGGGCCGTGGTTCAACACGGCGCTATTGACCGGTGTGCAAAATTACGATACTAAACTGCAAGCTCGTATAGGTCGGTAGAAATTGTAATCTATTTTTGTAATTTATGTGTCACGCTGTTTTGGTGCTCATAATGTCTAACAACGTGGATGGAATAATAATTCAGAATGCAATAATTAAGTTTTAACGATTTATTAGCCTCTGCATTGGCAGCAACCGAGCAACCAAGCGACATAGGGCCTTGCAAGCGACTTTGTGCGCCATTCTGTGACTGTGTTTCCATCAATGTTTGTTGGAAGTTGGAATACTTAACGTTTAGCGTCTAGTTTGAAACATATAGATAGTGGAACAACTCTATATATGTAGTTTCAATCTACTTCGGTAAAGCTAAAAAAAAAACAAATCTTTCAGTTAAGCTGGTTCATCTTTTTCTGATGATTGATCAGCTTCTTGTGATATATTTACGCATTGTTACAGGGTCTTTGCGGGCTTTTTGAAGTTTCGAGACAAATTTAACTATTTTAAGTCTCTCAGTATGTCTCGATTCTTCTCCCATCTTCAGTTTTCCTCATTTTCAGGGGAAAAATCCTATCGCCGTGGCTCGTCCTTTCCGCCCGGTCGAAATACCTTGAGTGGTAGACTGTGCCGCAATACCTTCAGACCTGCACTGGTATACTGTCCCGCACTACTCAACGCGCAGTCTCCTTCTCCGGCGGCGTATCTCGTGCCGCAGAGCCATCACTTTTGATGCTGCTTCGTTCCCTGGCCACGGTATGGTGTTTTCGGCTATGCCGTCATTTTTCCACCACTCAGCAGGAGTCAGCAGTACATTGTTGAACCGGTTTTCGCTTGTCGCCTCCACTGCAGCGCGCACGGCACGCGACGGAAATTCAGTCTGCTGCGCCCTCCCCTGGGCCGCGGGCGGTCGCTCGGCAAACAGTGCCGCTCGGGGGGGGGGGGAGAGGGGGACGTCGTCGACCGTTTGTGTGCCGGTGCTCTCGGGCGGAAGCGGAGGTCGTTAGAGCCGGAAGTTGCCGCCGACCGGGCGAGGCAGACGTGTCGGCCCGACGAACATGGCCGGACAGACGGACCTTCTGGCGACATTTCTGTCTCGCTGCTTCCTCCCCCAGGGTGTTAGGAATTACGACAAAAGAACAACGTAATCAGAACGAAAAAGAATAGGGAAGAGGATCTAATATGCATCTCGTAACACCTGTGGCGACAGGAGTAGGTAGTCTCTGATCCAGTGACGCAGTTATTATTGCGCATTCGATAAGATAATTGATGGAACATTCACACAGGTCACCTACAACTATGCAATATACAGGGTGATCGAAAAAAAGTGTCACCCCTTATTCAAAAGCCATATAACTCGCGATTGGTTGGTCGTACGACTTTGCGCCAGGCAGCATTAGAAAGAGCACACAATTTCCTTTTGAATGTATGTAAATATGCATGGTTTATGCCGCAAACGAAGATGTAGCTATTCAAAAAGTATGTTAAGGACGCAATTTGGCGTGTTCAAAAGTTTGGTTGTGCAAATTTGTACTTTCGACAGAGTTTTTGATCTGACAGCTCACGTGACAGCTCACGTGAGCATTTTTCTTAACTGCTCCATGGTTACCGCTGCATAAAATTGATGATCCGGTAGTGCAGGTTGTCGCAATGTTTCGCTAGTTACCGGCGAATTTGTGAATAATGAGGCCGCATGTTTGCAAGGAAGATCTGATAAGGTCTTCCTTGTCTAAGGTCAGCCGAGAAACGAGTCTAAGGTCAGCTGAGAAACAGTCTGCAGTGAACAGCATACACTCCATGTGTAATGTGTGGTGTGTGTCATGTTGAGTTACGATACTCATTGTTCTCGTTCAGCGGTGTCCGATCCCGTTCGGTGAATTTCGTTTCACGTGAAAGCCGCACATTGACTGGTTTTTGAGCCCATGGGGACATGATTTGGAATAGAAAACAATCATGAATACATTCAATTGAAAAGAAATTGCCTGCTCTTTCCGATGCTGCCTGGCGCGAAGTCATCCGACCTACCAATCGCGAGTTATGTAGATTTTAAGTTAGGGGTGACACTTTTTTTCGATGTACAATGTCCCGTGCCCATCTTCCGCACTAGAAGTGGGTATCTCATCTGTGTCATCTCCCCTGCCGCCAGGTCCATCTCCCCTGCCAGCGGTATCTCAGCCGACACACTGAGTGTCGGCAACAGTACTCTGGGCAGTGGCAGTATGAGCCGACACAACAGCATCCCAGGCAGGCCGACTTCGCCGTCACCGTCCCAGGCCAGCGAGAAAACCGTCACCGAACACGATCTCCAGGTGAGAACACCGTCACAGGATAGGGATCCAGGTGAGAAAACCGTCACCGAGCACGATCTCCTGGTGAGAAAGTCGTTACGGGACAGGGATCCAGGTGAGAAAACCGTCACCGAACCGATCTCTAGGTGAGAAAATATATTCCTGCCCGGGGCCGGGATGATTCAATAAATGTCACCGAGGTTTTTTAGCGAAAACTCCGAGGGTCGTTAGGCCCGAGGTGCTTTTCGCTAAAAAAGCGAGGTGACATTTATTGAATTCTCGGCCTTAGGGCTGGAAGGTGTTTCCCATACCTGCCAAAAAGCTCACAACTATATGATAGTGACGTCAGCAGCCGTGTGGTTCAACGCGTTTAACCACACCCCTTGAACCACACGGCTGGCAATATTAAAGCACTGCACAGCCCCCACCAAATCTTCATCTGGCATCGAAAATTTGCTACTGATGACGCCATTCCTAGCAACCGAGCGTCCCTAGCAACCGAAAGTGAAGACGTTGCACCTCCAACAAACGATCGTCAGTTAACTTCGTCAGCAACAAGGAAATGAAATTTATCAATGTTATGTTGTGGAAAAAATTATGATAAAAATTTAATCATGATTATTAATGATAAAATCCATACTTGGTAAAGCTTACAATGCATCAATTTCGTAACGTGTACAAAAATGTTTGACCCCAGGCCACTTAACCCTCGCCCGCACATGGGGGGGGGGGGGGTGGTTGCCACCCCCCAGGTAGTATTTCTGCGCTGCACTCAACATCTTTAGAGCTAGAAGTCTGATTTTTGGTATAGCTGCTTCTCTATCCTTTCTTGATGTCCACTGAAATTTTCAAGTTTCTGTGGTTTTTGGTTTCGGAAATATGACCTTGTTTTTTCAGGTCATGTCATGACCCAAATGACCAATTCTCAACATCTTGCGTTGGCTATGGGCCTTGTGAGCTAAGGTCGGTGACCGGGTCGGTGACCTAAGGTCAAGTCAGTTTTGTGACCTCTCCATTATAAATAAAAGGGAACAAATTGAAATGTTTTTCTTTTGGCTTAAAACGCCCTCAAACATCAAGACACTGGTGAACATGCCATGCCATCATGAACGTTCACGAACGTTCATGAACAAGTGATCATTTTTGATAACTTTCGAGCAATTGTTATCATACGGTGCAGACATGACTGCAGGCATGTTTTGCATGTGAAAAATGCACCAGTCATATATCCCGCGCGGGGTTGGGGGGTAAATTTTACCACCTCGCGAATTTTGGCAATATCTCAAAAACGGCGGTTGGCACCTTTTTTTACATCAATTTGACACGTTCCCTGAAAATTTGAGCGAAATCCGTCGGAAAATTTTTGAAAAATTGACGTTTTAGTGACGTCATGTTCGCCATTTTCGCCTCAAAAACGGCAAAATTTCAAACGCCGCTAACATCTTCATGTTTAAAGGAATCAAGACGTAACAAAAAAAAGGTTATACGTCTTTCCACTTTGTCTATCAAATGACTATCTCGTTTTTTTGAAAATTTTGGATTTTGGCCCAAATTTTTTTCAAAAAACTGACTTTTTGGGGAAAATAGTTATAAAATCCAAAAATTTGAGTGTATCGAAAAAAAACGGAATATATGTCAGAGACGTAGTCTATGTGCACCTACATACCAATTTTTAGAAGAATCGGTTCAAAAATGTGGGAGTAATTCAAAATTTTATGACTTCACGACACACAAAAATTTTGAAAAATGATTTTTTTGGAAGTTCTGGACCTCGTACGGAAACAAAAATAGCACCATTCGATTTGCCGTGAAAAACTGCATCAGATAGATACCTTTTTAGGCCTTAACAACCAACTTCAAAATTTGACCTCACTTGACCTGACCTTGACCTGACCTCGACCTGAAATTCATCCAGAGGTGGTCCATATCACTTATTGAGTGTGTCTATTGAATTCTATGAGTAAAATGACCCATAAAACATGTGTCGCACATGCCCTTTTCTATATTTTGTTTTTGGTGACCTGACCTGACCTGACCTGACCTTGACCTTGACCTCTGAATGATATTGTATGCAACGAATATTGTCTTGGTAGCCTAAGAACACGTTTTGGGCAATCAGTCTCAGTCCATGACTCCATTCTTCGGCAATTACGGTCAAGGCCGATAGGTACTGTAGAAACTTGCAATTTGTACCCTTGACCTGACCTTGACCTTGACCTCAAACTTTAAATTAAGTACATGTTTTTAGTTGTTCGTGATGAGATCTTTCGATTGGCGTTCGAATTTTCCAAATCGGACTATTAGTTCGGGAGATAACAGGGGGGGGTAAAATTTACCCCCCCCCCAGCCCCGCGCGTTCGGCTGGAGACCCCAGCCCCGCACGGGATATCAAGCACATGGAATCGTGATTTATAATTATTTTTGCAACGCTGAGGCTTAAATTATGCATTTCAAACCTTGCATGACGTCATATAAGACGCCACTATTCTTTGGTAATCATTGTTTGGTACAGTAGGAGCTTTTTGCTAATAAATTCCGAGCAAATTGAGCTAGCGAGTCGGTCGAGCCATCAATTGACTCAGAAAGAACTGCCACATCGAATGATATAATGATATGCAGCATGACATCCTCCATGCAGCTTTGTGACCCGAGTTGCTTTGAACTGACCTTGACCTGAGGTCAACATCCTAAAAAGACCAAATCCAAACAAAAAGTATACCCGAAGGTTGTTTCTTCATTAGACAAACACTATTCTTTAGAATTGTGTTTTTCTATTGAAAAACAAACTGAGGGTGTTTCCATTTCGGGATAGAATTATCATTCGACGAGCACGATGGTGTCACAATCGCGGCTCTGCCACTATTTGTGGCGAAGTTATTTACCAAAAACCAAACCTCTACTTTATGATACTTGACCTGACCTCAGGGGTCACCGGTTGGTGTAAGACATTGAGATCGGATACCAATCGCTGTGGTTCGTGATGACTCACACGCTGGCTTTTTCCGCAAGGTTCTATCTCAATTAGGAGCGAAACGGCTAAGGAGGGGGTCTTATCTACCCCCTCTTTACCGTGTTCGCGAACAGTTCATGAACGTTCGCGAACTGTTCGTTGTTTGTTTACCAAAATTTGACCGATGACGTCACTTGTTCGCGAACACATTTGTTCGTGAACAGTCTGTTTATGTTTGTTTATTTGACAAATTAAACAAACACCAAACCCTACTTTTTGTGGTTTCAAACATTTAAACATGTGAAATGATATTGGTCCCATGCCCATGATATTGGTATTGTGGGTGTCCAGGTCGCCTGAAGGTCAGGTCAGGTTCTTGACCTTTGATGACCTCGGTTCACTTTTTCGAGTTTTATATGTTTCTCTGCTAGTTTTTGGAGCTGATTTCGAATTTAGCAGTCATTTGAACATTTTTGAAGTAGCTTTGGTGCCTTCGCAACATGTTACGAAGCTGTCAGTGGCGGTTGACACCTACAATGAATACCCGGCTCACGGCTGGACCCCTGCTGGGTGACGTTCACCTGACCTGACCTGACCCGGCCTGGACTAAATGCATGAAAATATCATCTGTGATCAAAACCCCGAAAAAACCACAGCAAACTCACTTTACGATGTTCTAACAGGTCCCGATTTTCCCGACTTTTGGGTCATTGACCTGACCTGCAAGGTCAACCGATGACCTAGGGCCTTAAAATTGGGCATCATCGGCTTCCTCTCGTGACGAGCAACACGCTCCTTTTCTATGCAAAGCTCTAGCTCAATCAGTGGCCGAACGGCGAGGGGTGGCAAAACATCAATACGGGCGAGGGCTTAATTGACCTTTTCCGGTCAACTATATCTGACCTTGATCACGTTGCCTCAAATTCGCAATTTTAGGGCATACTTCTAATGTGTCTCAGTGAAGCTTTTCCAACGCCAGCTTGCACGTGTCGCTACGTTGCTTAGTTTCGGAAATAAGAATATATCGTTCCGCACGTATGCGTAGCACGAAGTGTAATACCAAAAGGTTTCCACGTGCGAAGCATGTGGACAGTGCACCTCAGCACACCTATTCGTACAACGCCTTCAAGCGTTTGTCCATGTTGTGTCATTGTGCCGAGTTTTATGTGCTTAGGTCAAAGTTTTCGGACATCGGAGAATGCCTCATCAAAGCATGTTTTTCGCTCCGAGCATGTGCAATACGCATCTCTCGGTGCCGAGCATTCCATATGTCAGTGGTTTGGTACCGAGACATGTGACCTAGAAATCTGGCACCTGCAGACCTCCCTGGGATTGGCTTAAAGTGTCGATAAAAGGTTTTTGTTCTCAATGTGTTTGTGGGCAAGTCACACGTTCTACGTGACAGTGAGTGACCCAGGACCTATACCATCACCTGCCTCCGGAAATGGCACGTCAAACGACACCACCATCACCTCGATCCGATCATTCATTTAGAAATAATGTCAAATTTATTGGCTTTACAACGTTTCACAGCACATATTTTTGGCGCCGCTTTGCCGGCGCCACTATCTTCCATGGGAGGTCCCTTCGCATTGCCAGTCCAGTTTATTTATACGTCCATGCATTTGTACCAGATTATCTGATTTAGTAGAATCGTAAAACATTTATTTTTCTTTTCATATCATCTGTTCCCAGTTGAAAACAAGTGCATGATGCCTTATTTTACATTTCTAATAATTATTTTCACAAAATCAGATACTTGGCAATGGATTGCCCTTCCTTCAAATTTAGTTTCCACTAGGCCTGTCTAGTGGGATACTAGAAAAAATATTCCAAGCACCAGTGACGTCACAATTTGTCCAACCTTATGTTCTAGTAATCTTGGCACTGCATTACACTTTGAAAAGTGTGGTACATGCACGTGCCATTAAAATGCCTGGATGTCTCGATTTAATCATGCAATGTAGCATGTATGGGAAAACCGTCACCGAACCGATCTCTAGGTGAGAAACTCATTACCAAACTGATCTTTCGAAGTGGAGGCTCACCAAACCAATCTCTGGTGAGAAAACTAACCAAGCCGATTTGTATGTTATAAAACCGTCACCCAGAATGATCTCATGAGAAAACCGCCACAGAACTGCCATCTAGGCGAGGGTGCGTTACCGGTCGATGGCGTTGTTGGCTAGACGATGACGTCAGCGATCACAAAAAGGCAGGGCGTGACGTCATGGAACGCAATAAAAAGGCGATGGTGTTTTCCACCGAACACTAAATGTGACCACAATCCACATATTACATCTTACATACCCTTGATTCGATTGCGGTTTGCGCTCAAGCCAGGGATAAATCCAAATGTTGTTTACTATCCTTTTTATTTCCATGGCAATTACCTTATCTTTTATTTGAGTCGAAATATGTCGCATGTCGTCTAGCCCGTGGCTACTTCCGGACACCGACTGTCTGGAATCCCATATTTCCAGCCCCACCGCGGAGCCTTATTTCGAGTCGGTCTGGAACACCGATGTCCCACATATCAGCTGTCATATCGTCGTAGTTCAACCGTATAAATCATACGGCGTTACTCAGCCGGCTGTGAAACCCCCGCGGGAGCCGCCAGTTCGGCTCCGTGCTAGGTACTGCCGGTGATTGGGGGCCCCGGCGCGTCCACGAGACGAGGCCGCTACCGCCTCGGACAATATGGCGAAATTGGAACACGGACGCGGAACTGCCGCAGGGGGAGGGGGAGCTTCTCCGCCCCGCCCCGGTCGACCGGCGGAGGTGAGTCGGCAATTGGTCGCAGCGAGACTGACGGAGAGCCCCTGATGGTGCCATTGGTCACGGTCTCGCCATTCTTCCACTACGACCAGGAGCGTTCCCTGTGACCTTATGTGAAAAGAATTAAAAGGCAAGAATAATTATAGGAATAAAAGATATGCCGCTTTCCTTATGAGATTAATCCGAAGGTCCTGCTAGTTAGATGAGCTTGGGTCAAGTTACGGGCTCATCGAGACGCAAAAAAATGACAGTGTCGATAACTCTTACGGAGCGGGCGACTTTTTGCAATTCTAAGTTCCCTATAATTCAGTTTAATATAAGCAGCCGGTAATGTTTTAACAAATGAACGTGCAGCTGTGACTATATACAGTCGAATCGGTTATTTTTGTCAGCTGACTTTGTTGGTATTCATATTACGTAACACACTTAGTTAGCAGCTTCCGAGCGCTGCTGACGTGCTCCCGGTTACTGACCCTGACCGTGCACTCCTGTTTCAGGATAAGCAGGAGCGGGAGGAGGAGGAGCGTAAGAAGCGACTCCAGCTGTACGTGTTCGTGCTGCGGTGTATCTCCTACCCGTTCAACGCCAAGCAGCCCAACGACCTCACCAAACGCTACCAGAAGGTCACCAAACAGCAGCTCGAGGTCATCCAGGGGAGGTTCCAGGTGGGTGCCGGGAGGGAGAGCTCTGCTGTGGGGAGGAGGGAGGACGGGTGAAGGGCGCGAGGGGACAGGGGAGGTGAGAGCTGTCTATAGCTCCGCACAACTGTGCTCTGGCGGCGGAGACAACGGCAGCTGTGAAGTGTGAACGCAGATGTGCTTACTGCTTATGACTCAGCCTGACACATAGACAATGCCATGGAGACAGGGAGCGAAGAGGAAAGTGAAGCTTGTAGCAAGCTTACTCACTGGAAAGGCGGTAGGACCAATGATATCGAGGGCAGCGCTTTTCGAGGAGCGCTGCGAACCGAAGGTTTGAACTTTGAATTGTGAAAAATAACCAATGATACACGAATACTATAGTGGTCGTTCACGTTGATGTTCACTAAACAAGTGGACCTTTTCTTTGCTATCAAATTTAAGAACCTGCCTACGATTTGTTCCCCGCCGCTGTTTCAAATGCTGAAATGCAAAGAGTTTTAATATCTAGGAACTAGTGAGTATATTTTAGCTCTTAGGGTGATAAATATGCCAATCAATTTCAGTCTAGGCTTTCCAAATTACGTATTAAATCCAGTGAACGGTGGACATTTGATTTATTTGATGCATTTCTCTCGTTGACTGCTGCCTCATATTCGGAATGTTCCCAATCCAATTTCGACAGCAGTGTCAGATTTTGTGAGATTGTTACAGATCGTTGTTGAATTCTGCCGCAGACTTCTGCGCGTTTTTGCCGGGCCATATGTCGGTCGTCAGCCATCCCCGGCAATATTCCGGCCTCGTGTGATCCTCACTGGCTAATTATCCCCGGCCATCGCGACGCCCAGCCCGGCGATGACATTATTATGCAGATCATGTCCTGGAATGAGCCCGCGTCCAAACTCCTCGTATAATCGCCTGTGAGGTGTGCTGGCCGGCGACCGTATCCATTTTCCTGCTCCTCACAGCAGGCTGTGATGATGAAATCTCAGCAGTGGGTGACTGGTAAGGTCAGAAATAATGCGCTGGGTACGGGGCGCTGACAGCTACGTTCATCACTATACTAATACTGCCAGAGTGCTGAGCTGAGACCATCAGTGAGCTCAGGAGGCTGTCTGTATAGTCACAGCGGATCAGCGGCCGTCCCTCGATAGAGCCTTTTCCGCGCTGAGAGCTTGTGGCGTCGGTTGATGTTGGTGCATGCATAAATCGAGGACGGGGGTCTGAGTAAGGGCTGATGGAAGGCGTCCATTCATGGCTGCACAGGCCAGTAGCTGCTAACGGTGCCGGGATTGAAAGTGCTACTCGGCAAGGAAAATACTGTGAGAGAAGAGCGCAAGGAAATGAGAAAAACCTGAGAGAGAGAGAGAGAAAGAGAGAGAGAGAGAGAGAGAGAGGGAGAGAGAGAGAGAGAGGAAGAGAGAGAGAGAGAGAGAGAGAGAGAGAGAGAACAAATGAAGCAAGAGGGGGAAAGAGAAGAGGAAGATTGAGAAGCAAAACATTCAAGGATAAACGACTGAAAGTGTGCTGTGCTGGCTGCTGCACATTTGCATCCACCCATTGCCAGGACACGATGAAATTTTTTATATGATACAACGTTTCTATGAGCATGATTGTGATCAATAAAAAATGGTAAAATTGACCTTATGCTCATAATATCGGAGAAATTCATTAAAAAAAGGTCCAGAATATATTTTCGAACTGGGTTCTTCTTCGGGGGAAAAATAGATTTTTAATGAATTTCTCTGGTATTATGAGCATAAGGTCAATTTTACCATTTTTATTGACGCGAGCATAGATAACATGAACTACCTGTTATCTATGACGCGAGAAATATTTGTGTTTATGGTCCTTTCTGTTCCTGAAGGCCACCTACCAGCAATGCCGACCTGCGATCGCATATGGACTCTGCCAGTGGTCTTCCCCACCTACACTGTTGGCCGCCTGTGGCCGCCTATTGTTCCCTCAACACCTGTGCGTGAGGCGTCTGCCCGGGAATCGATCCCCTCTGGTGACCCTGTTCTGAGGACAAGGTCGTTCCGGCGCGGTGTGAGCGCCCCTCTGAGCGGCTGTGTATGTATGAACTACAGCACACAGGTGTGAATGTCAGCTACAGGACCGATCCTAGCTTGGTGATGGACAGGAGAAATAGCGCTGGTGCTTCGTGACCGAAACCGAGAGCGTTGTTCAAGATGATATTTTTTGCTGCATGTATTTAAGGTTGTATTGCTGGACTGATTATCTGAAGAGATAAATCATGAGGACTTTAGGTATCAAAGGTCACTTACCTATTTCCCTTGCTTGCTCCCGCTGAATATCAGCTGACTTTCCGCAATGTATCTGACCGATTGTTTGAGAAGAGGAAGGGAGGATGGGTGATGGAAAACGAAGGGAGATTCCGAGGGTGGAGCTGCTGTGCTGAGGAGGATCGTCCCTACTTGTACACCGATCGTCAACCGTAGGGCTGAATACATTAGCAGGAGAGCACCCATCGCCTCCGGTAGCGACAGGGAGAGGGAGGGATAAGCTGCGATATTCGGGGGGAGGCTGGGGTCGGTCACCAGCAGGAGGGAATGATGAAATTCTTACATCAGCCCTATTCCTCTCCCTAGTCACGGCGAGGCGAACAAAATGTCGAGGAGATCTTCATCCGACAGAAAAAGGAGGAATGATCATACGCTATATACATCGCGCTTTTATAGTGGACTGTCAGGAACGATATTGAAAACGATGCATATCTATTTGCGTGAGCTCGGCTCCACGCCATTTTTTTCACTCGCTCGCTGCAATTATCGCTGCATCGGCGATGGTCCCATTAATCACAAATGTTATGGCAGCGGTCAGTGTGCCCGCCCTTTGTGTTTCACGGACAGCTTGACAACTGTTAGCACTGTTGCAAGCTGCACAATATGGAGCGTTATACTGCACAATAGAAAATGAGCGTTAGGCATGCGGCGACCTATAAAAGATTGACGAGTTCATGCGGGCACGGCGATGCCAAGTGCCAACCAGTGACAAATAGTGATTCCTTCTAGCCAGTTCAAATTTATATGCTTGTCCAATCACACGAAGGGCAGCAAGTTTGGAGTTTGGGACTCGTTCCTTTTGTAGTCTGATTGTTCACCGGAACCAATTCAGAATCTAAACACTGGCATTCAGTTGATTGAGGCACGTAACGCTCTCTTCAAATATTCAGCCACCACGGCCGGTTCAGAATGAGAAACAGGTTTGTCCGAACTCGGATGACTGCATCTGAAACAGACTTCTGCTGCCTCTGGCATCTCGTTTCCGGCATATTAGGAACCCATCCACCGTCCTGTTTCACAATCCAGACAGCACTAGTCATTCATGTGTGCTGTCTACAGACGTTGTTGCAACATGCTGCTTTTTCACTTATCCAGTGGGCATCTGAGTACACACCGAGACGCCACCGCACTGCGACAAACTGTCGTCACAGGATGCACGCCCGTCGGCTGCACTCAAGGCTGCACTGTGTGGGCGGGCACAGCAGAGGCCACTTCCAAGAACCGCCGTCTGCTGAACATTTACGGCTGGCAGAGCATGACGTGCATGGCTTTGCGAAACTGGCTTGGAATAAGAGCTATCCATCGGTATTGAGAAGCAAGAGCCTCTCTTCCGTGTTTCGGAGCAAGTAAATGTGGCATAAGATCAGAGAGGCCGCGTAATCTGCAGGTTACCTGGCTCGCGCCGACGGCCGCCCACACTGCTAATAGTCCGTGAACTGGTCTTTGTCGCTCGACTTTTGTCGTAGGCTGTCCATTAACCGATGGCAAAGTGTCCCTGTTACCATGCGCAGCGAGGTTTGGTCAGCAATGTGTGCACAAGGGCACAGCGCTCCTATTTGATCGATGTCACGCATGTGACCGGGACAATGTGGCGAAGCGAAGAGAGATGTCTCACTGCATGCCGTGGATACTGCAGGCAGGCCAGGTCTCGGATACTCTTGGCTCTCCCGACATCCGCCGCCCTCTTCTGTCTTATGTGACCTATGATAGAGGACATGGGAACAGGCCGACTCAGCCAGTACCCCCACTCCCCCGCCCGACCGGGGCACCGCCGCGCTGGACGGAGGAGCAGTGAGCCGCCCGAGGCGGTGCGCTGATGAGCCCCTCCCCTCCCTTCTCCTCCCCTGCCCTCCACTCCCTCCCACCGCCGACCGGTCGATGGTCCGAGTCCTGCGGGGACGACGACACGGTACAGACGGCCGACGGACTGGGCATTGCGGAACGGTGGGCCTTCACAGTACACAGAGACTGGCGGACCCTCACAATTCGGAGCGCTGGAGCTTACGGTATAGGCCGAGTGGCGGCTCTTGCAGTACAGACCAGCGGACCCCCAATTTGTATCGACGGACCCTCACCGCATTGAACGGCGAACCCGTATGAAGTGAAGGACCCTCTCCTTGTAGTCGGCTAGTGACAGAGCAGTATAAGGCCTTCGTCGTGCGAAACGGCGGGCCATCTCAGGCTCCTCCAGCACGGAGCAGCGAAACCTCACAGCATACGGAGCGGCGGTCGGCGAACCACCAAACGGATCTGGGACTACCCTTCAGCACTGACGTCACTCGAGCTCTGAGACGGCCACTAAAGCACTTCTCACTCCCAGAATGGGGACGTGCGTCACCACCTTTCCATCAAACGCCCAAAACCATACGGCGGACGGCAACGGGGAACAATGGCAGAACGTCTTCTGCCCTGTAATCCAGCTCACAGTGCCTGAGGCTGGAATGCTGAAATTATGACCGCCCATTCTTAGAAAACGTTTTAGGCTGAGACAAACGCAGAAATCCGACTCCTATATGAAGAGTCGGGAGAACGGTATTTTAATTAATGATCCCACTTTACACAGCGTTCATTTCACGTAGCTAATTCCAACACAGGTGTGTATGTTAAAACGTTATGAGATGTGCGCTATTCCAGTCAGCTTATTATCTGAACTCGGGAACATTTTGGGTGCGTTGGAATAATTGTAGTGCAAGTTAATTATAGGCGGTAAGAATCCGAAGGCCTGGGTGTTCTTGCAATTTTTCTTCGCCAATTTGTGCTAAGATGTATTTGATGATTGTCCATTCTTTCTTTTCGGAATCTGATAGACGCAGTTTAGCAGCCAACACGAAAGATAATACGAATGGATGTATTGGAATACAATATTTAAAAAATGCAACTTCTTTCTTTTTCTTTTACTTCATGACTTTATCCACTAATAGCGACGTGTGACATATTATAGTGCATGTATGGCCTAAACTTTTGAATTCATTTTAAAAGGGGGAAAAACGCAAGAAATTACCCAACGTTTCGCATTTATTGCTTAGTCATGGGTCTTAGACTCTAAGACCCATGACTAAGCAATAAATGCGAAACGTTGGGTAATTTCTTGCGTTTTTCCCCCTTTTAAAATGAATTCAAAAGTTTAGGCCATACATGCACTATAATATGTCACATCTGTCAATTGATAATCCTCAATAGCGACGTGTCTGGCTGCATCCTTTCCTCTCAATAGCAACAAAATTAGACGGAAGATAAACCTAACTGACCACTTCCTTGGTCGCAGTGGCACCACTGCCGCTCGGAGGCCGAACTGTGGGTCGCCCGGCGGCCCTGTGTCGTTTGTGTGCTGCTGCAATTATTTGGCCGGCTCCGCTGGCTCGTAAAGAGAGGTCCCCGGCTAGCCGGCCGGTCGGCTCTCTCATTTATATCAGGAAGATAGAGATTGGAGGAGCCGTCCGGACCTCGGAGAGACAAAGCCGCCAGACTGCTGCGTTTCAAACGAACAAAAGGATTAAAGGAGGCGAAAGAGCTGGAGACATCGTGAAATGAATCTGCGCCAAATCCGCGGGGAAGATATGAAGGAAAATTATTTTCACAGATGGTGATTCAAACACTGCTCTTTTTCACCTATTTTATGTAATTGGTGTCTTACACGTACTATTTTTCTTCTAATTTATACCCACGGTATAACTATGTTCTACAAACATCTTTTTTTACTCTGATCCCTATCCTTCTTTGTATTCATCAGTCTGACTTCTCTGTTATCTATTCACCCTTGTGACCCGCCTTGCTCTCCTCAGCAGTGCTATAATTTACTCCCTCCTTTTTCTTCAGCGCTGTGACTCTTCTTTTCCTTTTCCTTTCCACTAGTCCCCTCCGCTCCTCTTTCTGGCATAGCCAATTCAGTGTAGCCATCCTCTCACGAGCCGTTCGACTCCGCCCTCCTTCCCCTCTCCGGCAATGCCGCTCCGCCCTCAGTCTGACCCTGAGTCTCCCTCTCCTCTCCCCCTTTCTCCCCATGAGACCGGCCGACCAATAGCGCTTGTCCAAGGTCGACCGAGGCGGATCAGTGGCGACTGGGAGCGGGGTCGGTGGTGTCGGTGGGGGGGGGGGAGGTGCTCCCCCGGGTTGAGAGGGGCCGGTGACGGCGGCAGTGCGGCGCTCCAGCGTTGTCGGTCGGTCCCACTGACACAGCGGGCCGCTCGGCGTTTTAGCTGTGGGGGCCATTACCGTCACTGGCCGACGAAGGACGACCTTGATGACGCGGTGACAGATAGTTTGGGTTATGGTTTGGGATTATGAATGCTCATATTGCTCAACTAATCTTAAGGCCGCCCAACACTGGACCTCGCATGCGGGTTGCGAGTTTACGGGTTTTGGGTTTGGGGGCATAATACTGGTTTATAGAGTGATTAGACCTTTCCCTCATGGTAACTTCATGATTACAGTGAAGCCGGTACAACTTCAGAAAATTACATATAGTCGCAATACCAGCGTAACGAACCAAAATCCGACTCCAACGAAAAACCCGCAAAGCTCGCAGAACTCGCAGACCTCGCAGCGAAGAGAATTGAAAGTTAACTCAAAATCAACTTTTGGAATGCGATGCAAGGTGGCTGGCAAGCTAAGAACATGCAGACTCGCTTGTTAAGTGGTAGGGTGGGTCACTCAGCGCAGATTGTATTATTTGGTTTTGAAGAAACCCGAAAACCCAAAAAAACCCGCAACCCGCATGCGAGTTCCAGTGTGGGGCGGCCATTAATAACTACCAAGTCCTGTGGATGTTGGGGGGGGGGGAAGGGTACAATATTTATGTCCAACAATTTGAGCTAGTTCAAAAGCCATGTGCATAATTCATATTTTGTTAATAGTCATTCGGTAGCTTATGGTGGTTTTATTACCCATTGAAATGGCTTCGCCGCTATTGCGCCACATCGCTAATGCTGAAGAAGGCAGCAATGTTTAATCGGATCCACCATGCATAGTGCATGAAATTGCATACCATGCCATGCATACTTCTGGAATTAAGTCTCGTGAAATACGCGGCTCTCCACCCGGATCACGTTTATTTCATCCTCACTTCACGTGGGATCACGTGAAAGGTCAGACGTTATTGACAGGCCCGTGGGCGAGGGGCGATAACACTCGAGCTCATTCCAGAACCATTGGAATAGCTACAGCCCACCGCTAAAGTAATGTGTGGTTTTACCAATCTCAACGGATGGCTTTGACCGACGATTTTTAAATGCGGACTGCTTGAAAAGAAGACGTCAATAGATAAAGTTGTAGCTGCAAGAGTGAAGATACATGTAAGCTACATTTAAAGTCTCGTTGCAGTCTGGCTAATCGTTCCTAGGCTTCAGAAGCAGAACATACCCATGACTGAAACCACACATTACTTCTGCTGTGGACTGTACCTACTGAAGTGTGACCCGGAGGGTGCATGGTGGATTGTTTTGCGTCGTCTGGAGGTAATGTTTAGTAGGTTGGAAGATGAATTATTGAACGTTTTACGCGGTTCGTGATATCAGAATCCGTCGAACATGCGTCTCTGTCAGCCATAAAATATAGGATGAGAGAGAGAGAAGAGAGAGAGAGAGAGAGAGAGAGAGAGAGAGAGAGAGAGAAAGAGGAAGAGAAAGAGAGAGAGGGAGAGGGAGAGAGAAGAGAGAGAGAGAGAGAGAGAGAGAGAGAGAGAGAGGGAGAAAGAGAGACGAGAGAGGGGGAGAGAGAGAAGAGAGAGAGGGAGAGAGGAGTCAGATAAGACGGAGAAGGGCGGCCTGGGAATGTCTGCAGCAGCGTCGGTGGAAATAGCGGTCGTTTCGCGACCAGTCATGTCTGAATACGGACCGAGCCATTCGTCTTCCTCCGGGGGCGTTCCATCAATAAACCCAAGGACGCGAGGCAGAGCCCCAGAGACCGGGACGCGGTCCGTTTGATCCTCTAAATCAGACCTCCCGCTGCGGTCTTCCACACGGAACGTTCGTATCTTGCGACATGCATTAGGGATGTGTTTAATCGCGCCATCGGTTTGTAGCTCTGCTAAATTGAGATGTTATTTTATTCTTTTTAATTGTAATAGGTATTTTTGATTTTTTTTTTACCATCTCCGCTAAGGTATAATTTTCCACAGCAATAAGTCGGTGTGTGCTTATGTAATAGCGTTCTCTCTATCGGCCACACCTAAATCATAACGTCGACTCTACACGACAATAGTGGGATCATGTCTGAGCAGAGACTAGTTTGAAGTGACTTGGGCACTAGCGAAGATATACCCTGCGTCTGTCTATTATGGACTCTAACGTGGACCGTATAGTATGCACGCCTGCATGACTATCAGCGACCCAGTTAGCCGGGCGGTGTCATGAGTAGTGCGGCCTGGCTGGACGGTATCGACCGCTCGGAATACGCCACCGCTATACTGCCGGGCCGTGGAGGCCCCATCTGGGGGAGGGGGAAGGGTGGAGGTGGCCCCCCCCCCGTCGGTGTTACTACGCGTCACGGTAATACACTCGCAGACTGCGGCGTCGCCACAGGCGGCAGCCGAGTGTCCAACGTGGACTGCGTGAAATATGTCTTCATCACCAACGCAGGCTTTGTGTCACGCGGCTGAGTAGGTCACCAGTGCAGCGGCTGAAATGCTGCGATCAAGTGACAGTGACAAGATTGAAGAGCTGATTTCTGAAAACGCGCTCAAGATGATCACAGGTCCAATAAATGCATACTCGCTATAAAAATGGACATAATGCGTGATCACCCGAAAGCCAGATGTATGTAATATTTTTTATATAGATTCTGACCATTCATGTATCAATTCAAATCCCGCTTCCAACGCTATCGATATGACATTTCTCTTTTTACTAACCCATCCGCTCCTGCCTTTGAACAGTTTTCTACGGCTCACCTCTTTCCGCCGTTCTTTCGGCAGAGATTTATGCGACTGACCCACTCCCTGCTTGTCTTTTGGCAGTCTTCTGAGTTCTGCGACTGACCCTTTCTTTCCCTCTTTTTCGGCAGAGTCTTCTGCGCGGAGAGCTGTAGATATGCGACTGACCATCTCCTGTCCTGTCTTTGTGCAGAGTTTTCTGCGCGGAGAGCTGCAGATCGTGGCCGACGAGGCGTTCCAGAATGCCATCCACAGTTTCACGGAGGCGGTACTGCGCTCGGAGCGTCTGGCCAGGATGGTCCAGTCGGGCGCCTGCTCGCAGCACGACCTCAAAGAGATCTTCAAGAACATGATTGAGAAACGCGTCAGGTGAGACACTAGACAGCCAGCTCGGATTGGATTTTCAACGACTTGCGATCACTGGAAGTATTGGGCTAAGATTTCCTTTCTCGAACATTTTATATTTGTATTGTTGTTATAACGACATTCACCTATGGGCGAAAAAGCGGCAACTGAAGTTCATCTTATTCTTATTGAGCAATCAGCTAAGTCGCCCCAGCATTAAAACATTTTTCGCCTGTAGCTGCCGTGTCATTGACACCGTGCATTACCGGCGCAATCCTCTCTGCTCAGGTGTTTGCCGGAGATCGATGGCCTCAGTAAAGAGACGGTGCTTACGTCCTGGATGGCCAAGTTCGACTGCATCCTCAAAGGTAAACGGCCCGTTCGAGCACATCCGCTGTCGGTTTCCCGCATTGCTCATATCGATTGCTTTACACCAGGCGATACCCGTACTCAGCGAGAAACTTTGGCACTTGACATTGTTCTAAACTTACGTCATTGGAAGGATGTTCACGAAATATACAGACACAGCTTGTGGCTTTGTGGTTTGATGTGTTTGATCAGTCGATTCAAGGTATTTTCTAATCCAATATCTAAACCTGCTATGTTCAAAGCTCTTTGCTATGTACTTGATCTGCACTACGGACCGGAATCCACTTACCCACAAATTACAGTACCTGTTGTGTCATAAAATGCCAGCCCTTTGCTGTTTCGTATTGATCGTTCCGTCTTGCACCCTATGTGCACTGCCATGTAGGCTGCAGTCGTCCATCTGTGTCCACAATAAATCATGATGAGCCGGGGCCGTGACAAGTACGGATGGCAAAGTGAGCGCCCCTCCCCTCCTCCCCCCTCTTAGATCTCCTCCCCTCCCCTCCCCTCCATTCCACTGACTGGGCTGAAACAGAGTGGGAACGGCGCCTGCCGATGACCTCCGCTAAGGGAATGGTGCGAAGGTCAGCACCTGGGTGTAATGGCGATGTGGCTACCATCATCTTACCTTCGTTTAAGTGCCCGGCCCATTACACCGTGCCCATTGCCAAGCCATGGGCTCTAAGCTGAGCACTGCGCCATACGCAAATCGATTACCACTAACCCGTAATGGGTGATGAATGAGAGGATGTGACCTGTGTTTCAAAGGTCGAACGATGCACTGTAGCACACCGATCCTATGCACAGAGCAATCTACATATAGATTGACACTGAGAAGCTGGCTCCGTGCTTGGGTTACTGATGTTTCCCCCTGTCAGTAACCACAAATGGAATAGTGCTCTTCGTCCTTGCGGTCATTGGTTTATTTCCGATCCATGTATATTGTATATACATACGTACGTGGAGCCATTTGCACTTGTTTGTTGGTATTTTCTTGGCACCATAGTGAGGCTTAGAGAAACAAGTCAGAAAATCATTTTGCATTTCGCTCTGCCGTTTATAATCTGCCTAGTCCTTCTGAGCTAGTATGTTTGAATGTCATCCATGACTAATGCGATGAAATTAGGAAGAAAAGGACAGCTAAATATTATCAGCCAAGAGTGAACAAAAGCATTTACATGAATACTCGTAGAGACAGTAAGCCGACGTCAAGACGGAAAACCCTTAAGATAAAATCTGAGCGTTCGAATTTGTGTACCGAAGGGTTTTCATTTGTTTCTGTGTGCAGTTCCGGGAGACGAGGAGCAGCGGAAGCCATCCAGACTGCAGAACGCCGCCAACTCCGAGCTGATCCTCAGCAAGGAGCAGCTGTACGACATCTTCCAGAACATTCTCGGCGTGAAAAAGTTCGAGCACCAGCTCCTGTACAACGCGCTACAGGTAAGCACGGGAGAGGGCACTGGTGCTGATTGGGGAGTTTGAGGAATAATCCAAATTATCAATGCAAAGCAACGAAATAGGCTAAAAAGACAGATCTCTGATGGGTACGGCTCATTTATTACATATATCATGTAACTGCGGTGTTTTTAGTGTCAGTCCGGTGACCTCTTAACCCGCGCCCGGCTGGGGGTCCTGGATTTCCACGCCCTGCTGGGGGGGGGTGTTTGAACACCCCCCCTTGTAACTCGGCTCCTGGGCCACGTAGCGATACGCGGAAGGCGGCGTTCGAAAGAGCGTCAAAAATAATGACGAAATCACTTCGGTCAATTTTTTGGTCAGGTCAAAGGTCAGGTCACCAGAGGTCATTGAAGGCAAAATTTCGCCGATTTCCAGGTCGAATATCGAAAATTTCCAAGAAGCCAACGCATAACTCGGGAACCAATAGCGCTACAGCGCCGCGAAAAAGCGCATTCGATAGCCCTATTAACGCCCTTTCTGAGTAATTCTCTCAGATTTGACCTAACGTCAACGGTTTTGCCTGCAGGGGGCAAAAACTGCAAAAATAGCCGATTTTTTCGGAAACAGTTTTTCGGCAATAACTTTTGACCCAAGCCTTGTACGAGCTTACTTTCACCGGCATCGTGTTCCTCTCGTCAAGACGCATCGAATGAACTATAACTTGACCTTGAAAGGTCAACTTGAAAATTTGACCTCAGGTCAAGGTCATGACCTGACCGGAAAGGGTCATGTTGCATATCAGTCGATCCGTATCGTCGAGCTGAACACATCTAAGGCGTTTTCATCGCTCTAGCATGCCTCTATCAAAAGTTATTTGCGAAAAACTGTTTGATACAATTCGTGACCTAAGATGACCTCAGGGCATAAACAAGGGTCACGGACACCATTTTCATGTTCAGTGTGTCTAAACCACTTGTAATTCAGTGTTTGGGAGTGTTTATAATGTCTTTCGTCCAAAAGAGGCGCATTTCAATTTTCTCCCATTGACTTATAATGGGGAGGTCGCAAAATTGACCTGACCTTAGGTCACCGATATCAAAATTCCAAGATATACATTTTATAGATACTGTTACTCTTATCAATCGCTGAAAGTTTCAAAGCGATCGGTCACTCGGTGTAGCTATGACAGACATTGAAACTTTTTATGAGGTGAGGTCACTTCAAGTGACCTGGTGACCTGACCTTGAATGACCTTGGTCTGAAATTTTCACAACATGTGTAGAATTGATGTATGATAAGGTATACCAAAAACGGCGGCGCTCCGCGCCGCCGTTTTTGAGATATTCGCGAAAAACCACAAGGGGGGGTGTTCAAACACCCCCCCCCCAGCAGGGCGCGGGTTAACTCATAAAGAAGACCATGCTATGAAGAGGCTTCAATGAATCGTTCATTAATTCCAAAGGATTGTTCGATAAATTTCGATGTCGGCCGTTTGTAGCACTTAACTTGAGATACGACCGAAGGGCGAAACCAAGACGTTGCATTCTAAGAGCAACAAAAAAAGGATGACTGGTAAATCATGATACGGCGTTTCAGCGGCTTGTAGCATCATAAAATGCCAGCTCGGATGCAATTTTATTTCAGACATTTGTTTTTTGGTCATATGTAGTTAGTTTGTCACCCTCGATGGTAATATTGCAACACAAGTGATATGACGCAAGTTATGATGATGTAATGTCAGCCAGAAAGTACCTTCAGCATACATGCACGATAAGTCTTATCTCAGCTACCCCTAGTTTAGCCGGGCTGTCTGTTTTGTGCATCAGCGGACATGTCTACAGGCTCCCGCGGCTGAAAACAATGCAATGTTATTGGTTCAATTGGAGCACTCAGACAGATGTTTCTGGGGTAAATCTGGGACTCAGCTGGAGTGGCGCCTGTCTGAGTGTCGTCATGGTTCGGGGAGTTACTGTGAGGCCCTCAGTGGCCACTGAACTAACCAAGGGAGGGGGCGGACCTCTCGAAACGAACGACTCAGCCTCCAGTGGGTTACTGATTACCTGGACAGTGCCGGAGCCACTGCCGAACACCCTGCCCGCCCCAGCACGTCTCTGCCGCCTCCAGCGTCCGTCCCATGAGTACCATCCAGGCCTCTGTTCCGCCCTTCCGGGCTCTTCCTACCACTACGAGATTGTCTCCCACCCTTACCTGCCTTTCTCCGTAGCCCCGGCTCCTGACAGCCTAATTCCACCCGTCTCACCTGAGCACCACCTTTCAGAGATCACGCAGTAGCCGCCCCTGCACCGTATCAAGCCTGACCTTCTCTCGAAACCATCCAGGAGTTCCCCATCCCCGTGTGGCGTCGCAGCGCCTTCCAAAAATGTACCCACCAGCTCTGATCTGACCTGGTTCAGTTCGGTCCGGCTTCGTTCGGCTCGGATCGGCGACGCCCAAGTTGGCGGTACTTGACCGGGAAAATGGCCTGACGCCCGGATATTGGTCGGACACAAAACCGGCCAGGCATCGCTTGTCAGAGAATATGTCCAGAAACTGTCGGGAAAAGATATGTCAGTCGTTATTTAGAGAAAGCCCAGATGGCGATTGTGAAATGGCAAACGTTGTTGTCCGGGGCCTGTGTGGTGAAAAACGCTTGTGTAAAGTCCAAGCACAGCAACTCAGACAAATTGTCTCGCCTGGCCTCTGATCGTTGTCTAATCAATCAAAATGTTAATGGGTCTTGACATTTGACTTCAGAGGCCTGTTTCACTAACAAATAAAGTGTGTAATTACAAAGAAAAAACTTGAGTTTAAAAGAAATATTTACCAACATTTGAAATTTGGATTTCACGAAACCTCCGAGCATGAATTTTGAGTTTAAAATTTACCAACTTTTTTACAAGAAAAAAGTTTGTAAGAAACATCGAAATCGCAAACTTTCTGTTTCAGGAAGACAAAAAACTTGAAAGAAAACGTACTTACAAACCCGAAATTCCAGTGGCTCTTACGTTCGGAATTTTGTTACTTTTTGTGCAATGATGCAAAGCAATCAATTATTTTAAACAAATATGCTATGCTGAGTCATTATATGCTCTTTTTTACTTAGCACAATCCCTACGAACCAGCTACGAGCAATATATAAATATCGTCATGTTTTGTCATTCGCGCGCCATAATTGCATTCAACAGTCTTCTGCTGTCAAATGTTTTGCGTGTTGTTTTCTTTCAATAATAAGATATTGTAAACAATAATTTATACCATTCAGCAACAACATCATTATCTATAATTAATTCGTGCATTTTTGACATGAATACTAGACAAAATTTGATAAAAAAAGAAGCAATATCTGTAACATGTTATAGTTCTTGATTAAAAACATTTTTACTGTTTACAAGTTTATTTGCAAACTCTTTTTATCGGAGGTGCCGCTGGTGATTAAGTTAAGTGAAATCCGATTTTACATAGTTTGCAAAAATACTTATGAATTGTAAACTACAAACACTTGTAATCACGGTCATAGAATACTACTTGTAATTACAAGTTTTTAGTGAAACAGGCCTCTGGTAGATAAATGCTCTGAAGTAGTTGATCCGGTTCTTTAAAAAGCGTGACTTGTCTAGTAAAAATCCACTGATCACGTCCCAGAAAATAGCCTGTGAAGGAGCGCTCGGTTTGTCCTTGTCATATCGTCATAATTTTATTGTGCATGCGACAATACGAGTATTACGGACCTTGTGGCGTAGAATATTCTAGAAACATTCATTAGTTATTTATTAGTTCGATATTTCAAGTCACACCAGTTTGGGTGATATTTGTTAAATAATTAAAATATATTGTAAAATGATATTGAAATATGTATATCTTCAAATCATTCCGGAATCCCTCCTTCCAATGCGTTTATCCCACTTTAGGGATAATTTGGTACGGGCACCACCGCCTATTTGAAAACAGATGAGTTTGCGTGTTAGCGCCACATTAAGCTCATGCAATCATCATTTCGGGACTAGCCGTTCCCAGAGCGTCGTTTCGCCCGCGAAAATGGCGTAATACCAGCCACTCTAGCTCCGATCTCGAGAATGTTGTAATACTGGCCACTCTTGTTCCAATCTCGTTCGTACAGCATTCTCTCTGGCGGTGCTCCTCACATTAACAGTAATGGTCTGGGGAGCTGTCCAGGGTCTCGCGGACAGCCGATGGTCTGGAGGTTGCTGAGGACCTGTTAGACAGTCGATGAATGGTCTGGGAAAATGGTCTGTGCCTGCCTGACAGCCAATGATTAGCGGGGCTGTCTGAGTGTCCACTGTCCCGTCTGGGGTCTTTGTCTTAGGACAGTCGACAGTGGCCATGGGGGCTGTGGGTGGCCAAGTGGCCAAGTGTCTTTTGGGTGATGTCTAGACTGCTGGCCAATAGACCGTCAGATATAGTCGTTCGTCGTCTGCTGCCGTCAATGAAATTAAATATATCTGGGAAGTTATCGTCTCTGACATCAGCGTCCCCTCCCTGCACGGTGTCGGAGCTGAATAATCCATGCTCAGGAACCATCGGACACGGGCACCCACGCCCCATTTGGCCACTGACCAGCGTAATTAGCTGCGTGCTGGTCCCGGCCACGATTGGTGTCCATCTGAGAGCGATTGGTGCTGTAGACAAGGGCAATTACATGGCGATGTAGATGTCTCATCGCCACTTGCGCTGATGTGGGACTGTGATAGTCACATTTATTTCATTGATATCCTAGCGACCGTTGTCTGATGGTCGTTCTGGAAATGGTTATGTGTTTCCACACACTTAAGAAAGCGTCATGCGTTATAAGCTTGTTATGTCTATTGTTTGTAAACCATTAATTTCCACGTTTCTTTTCACAGTAGTCATTGCCCACTTTGATGTAAAAGACTACATTTTAGAAACAACAGGACAATCAGAGACTAATGTGTGGATCAGCACTCAGTGGAACTTGGAAACTACTTTATTTTTAGGCATTGTCCTTTCGGAATTGTCTGGGGCGGGCCGGTCTGTTCCGGTTGGCAGCGGGCCCATTTGTTATGGTCTCTGAGAGAGCCTCTGTTTTATGCTGCGTCCAAAATGGCCCGGAAACGGCTCGGGAAGTTGGCGTCGGCGAGAGATGTTTGCTCACTTGGCCTTGGTTCAGAGCTCCGGGCGGTGCTGGCTTGCGACGGTTTCCTCTAAGAGCTGAGCTATGATGGCTCGCGGCTCCCTGGCTCGGATATTCAGACGGGGCTGGCTCGCGGGTTTGCGGCTCAGATTGCTGGGTGGTGTTGACTCGCACTGGCTGACCCGGGACTGCTGATCTGAGCTCTCAAACCAACTCCTCGGCTTCGCCGTGCTCTATAACTATGCCAAAGCCAGGACACGGGGCTACTGATCTCAGCGATGTGGCCTTCAGCTGATCCCATCCGTCGCCATCGGCTCCCAACTCAGGAAGCTTTTTGGAAGCGGTCGCAATTTTCTTCCACCATATTTGCAATTATTGGCAACATCTTTTTAACAAGAAGAGACAATGTGAAGCGTGCTATTATTTAGGTGCTATCAGTTCGCTCTGTTGTTACGTGCAAATTTTTTGGGAGATCGCCGCATCTGCAGAATCCGTCTCGTGTCATTGCATGTTTGAGCCCTACAGGCCATTCCTTTAACTCGAGCTCGTTCATACGGAGCCCGTGTGTGTTTCATTTGTCCCACCTCACGCACATTTGAAGTATAGTCTGGCCCTAATTCAGAACCAGCGCCTAACCCGTTTGCGAAAACTTATATCACTGGTTGCATGCTTCCTTAGAAAAGCTCCAGATATCCATTTTATGCACCTCATTGTGCTTTGCGTGCGTAAATTCCGGACGCTTTATCTGACAGAGAAAGTGGGAATAGCTGACAACATCTGATCTGTGTATCTGGCTGTGTATCTGACGGCGAATGTGGTAGATTACCTGACACTGTATCTGACGGTTTATCTGTGTATCTTACAGCTGGATTCTGCCGACGAGCAAGCGGCCGCTATCCGGCGCGAGCTGGACGGTCGGATGCAAAAGGTGGCAGAAATGGAGCGGGTACGTTCGCGACACAGGGGTGCAGGCTATATCTATGAAGCACTGGAAATGCTCAGACTAGGAGTGGGAGGGTATAAACTGGGATAAATTTGGTCACTGATCAGGACAAGGACTGATTTGAGTGGATGTATGACGCAAGACAGGGTGATAATCAGTTAAATACCTACATACATGCTTGGTGTATCAACCGAGAAACGAAGACACTCAGCCGACTTTGGGAGACTCGTTCACTTTGTTTTCAACTTAACACACCAAATGTGTTTCAGTGCAGTTGTTTGACGTATTGAACATGGACTTTCGTTTTCCAGAATCGCCGTCTCATGCCAAAGTTTGTTTTAAAAGAAATGGAATCGCTGTACATCGAGGAGCAAAAATCAGAGATCAATAAGCTGATGGTGAATTTGGAATCTTTGCCAGTCTCTAAAGGCTCTACAGACTCAAAATACGGCCTTCAGAAGCTAAAGAAGTACAATCACAGGTGAGCTTAACCTCTCAATTCTCAATCTACGTTTCACTTGATATCCAGCTTGCTTCACAAATTAGGGGTAGCTCCTTTTCTAACGCATAGTAGGTCGAACACGCTGATGTTTCACGCTATTCACGACACTCTGAAGATGCAAACATCTACCACGTGACCCAGCGCGTAAAGCACGTCACCACCCATACCTTGCTCACATGACCTGGTGATCTAAACACTGTTGTTGCCGCGGGCTGGAACAGGCGCTAATCGCAGGACCGGCTCACTAGTTACTGTAGCTGTGGCAACGTCTCTGTGTCGAGTCTTTCACACGCACCATGGACACTTGTGCTCAGCTTTGGAAGGCTTTGAAACATTCCTGGCTACTGTATGTACAATGTACCCAAACTCGTCTCGCTTCGCTTTAAACGAAATGTTTTATACCCCAACTGTGAGTACAACGTAGGTATACATCCTGTAAGACTGAGATTTGAATAATGCTGAACTGACTCTACATAGTGATTTTAGAGTTTCGGATGTTTTCTTGGGCTAAGTTTTAAGCTGAGCTTTTAAGAGAGCTGTTCATATTATCCGCACAAGGGCTAATTTAAATTGAGCTAAGCTGGCATTTGAGTACATACGCCACCACTTCATTATCTTGCTTTCTCATTCATTGACACAATAAGTGACTACATTAGCACGATCTTTTCTTTTCCGTCGAACGTCTGACGTCACTAAGTAGGCTCACAACCTTTCTAAGTTAAATGAGGTCGTCTCGGAATAGTGTGGGAGCAGAGGCGGCTTTAATGAGCTTCACCGCTGTATCGTCACCACGCGGTGTGATGACATCACTGTTTGTGACGTCAACGCGCGGTGATCGATGACGTCACAGCGCTATTGGGCTTCTGTCGCTGGCTCCGTCACCACAGTGTACTCGGCTTCGCTCTCGTCATTGCAGCTCCAGCTTCAGGGGCGATTGGAACGGGCACTCCGGTTCCTTAGCCCAGGAAAGCTTGTTAGATGATTCAAAGCCAGTGAGCTGCTGGTTTAAGTAAGTTGCCCGGCGCGTCCGCCGCCCGCCGCCAGAACCCGTTCCTGGCGTCTGCCTCGACACTGAGTGTTCCCGATAGAGCATGAGTCCCCGGCCGGCGGCGGACAGACCCAGCCCCTGTCCTGTCCTCCCTCCCGGCGTACCGGCCGGTCGGCCCGGACTGGATCCGGCCTGGCCGCCCCTCAGTGCAGCGCCCGCAGTGTATAGACGTGCCGTGTCTCGGCCCGGCACTCTAGGCAGCACCGCTACCCAGCTTCCCCTCCCTCCCCTCCCGGCCCCCATAGTGTGGTCACGTCGTGCCGTGGTATACCGAGAGACGCTTCTTCACTGCATGCTGAGCTGCGCGTGGTGCCGGTGCCGCGACTCAGACGATCCCGTCCAGTGGCTGGTAGTCGGGGCGCCCTGAACGCAGAGCGGAATAGCCGGACCTGACGCCTGCTGTGATCAGTCTTATGGAGAGGCTTTGTGTCTAATAGCAGCCAGAAATGCATTTATTGTTGGTGTCCGTCTCAGAACTGTTAGAACTAGCAAGGAAAATGCGCTAGAGATGATATTGCCTTTCAAGATTATGTTGTTTGTTCGATCGTTGTGCGTGAATATCTAAATGGTGGGAAATAAATAGTATTAGCTAGTTAAATTAGCAGTTTAAATTAGATTTAATCTTTAATTCATTTAATGGAATAACCTTCTGTTCAAAATTCTAAAAATTGCCAAAAGTTACCAAAAACACTTGAATATATTTCGGAGGAGTTCCTTCATCGGTTCAAGTGATAAACATTTATAGCGTATGGAATAACCTTCTGTTCAAAATTCTAAAAATTGCCAAAAGTTACCAAAAACACTTGAATATATTTCGGAGGCGTTCCTTCATCGGTTCAAGTGATAAACATTTATAAAGTGAATTAATCTTTAATTCACTTTAAATCAACATTGGAAATTAATTCAAAGTAGCCCACTTTAAATTAGCAGTGAAAATTAATTACAAATACATAGGTACGGTGTTTTATGTAGAAGCGCTCTCAATTGGGCTAAATAGTCGAAGAAAATAAATATTAATTGCTTTCTATAAAGATGCCCATAACCCATCTCTTGTATCTATTTTTACTTCTATTCATACTGTCTCACTTCTTTGTATTCTATTTCTCAAAGTCCTTCCCTTCCCGCTTTTCCTTCCTACCTCCTTCTGTCCCTCCTTTCTCTCTAGCTCTCTTTGTCTCCATCCCTCTCTCTCTCTCTCTCTCTCTCTCTCTCTCTCTCTCTCTCTCTCTCTCTCCCGATGCTTCATCCATCCATGTTTTTCGAGAGCAGGCCGTTCCAGTAGCTCGGCTGCCAAGCAGTAGCCGCCTGCAAAACCATAGCTAGGCTGTACCGCCGTGCACAAAAGCGCTGCGGGTCAGTACACCACCGCAGGCATCCGCGGCTGGAGCCTTGTCGGCTGGTCTGATTTCGCTGACCGGTGCGTTCCACGGGTTTCGCGTGATCATGGTGCGCAGATCAAGGTGACTGGTGTAGCATGTCTTATTACATGTTGCGCCTTCAAATTGACGTCAGCAATCTGCTTACCAGAACAGATATGCGCGTATAAATGCTATTTCACAGAACTTTGCTATAAACGGCTATCTGAGGGATTACCTAAAGCGATAAATGTGTCACTGCCAGCTCATATGACGCAGAGACGATATATTTATCTTATATAAGAACCGATTTCATTGGCACATTGGCTATTTGCGCTAGCTGGATGCTCCCATGCTCTTCAATTCGTGCGTCAGATAGCTCTCGGTATGGCGACTTCGATGAAAAGGCGCGATATTAGCACCCACGTTCGATTCTTAGGTAGACAGTGCGCAGCAATCGATTTATTGTGGAAGGTTTCACAGCTTTTTGTGCTTGAGATTCACCAATAATGTAAATATCTACGTTTTATAAAGAACATAAGCTGTGAAATACAAGTTTCTATTCGTTCTTCAAAAATTTTCTCGCTTCTCGATTCCTGCGCCACTGCACCAAAATACTTTCCATTTTGTCTTCCAAATATGCTATGGTGATCAATGTCAACTTCAAGCGTCCACATCCAGTGTTTCTCCTTATTTTTAATTGATACCTGGGGGTTTCGTCTCATTGGGTAGCTAGTGAGTGTCCAAAAAGGTGCCGCCCGTCCAGTCTGATGGTCTGGGCTGGCTGGCTCGTCAGCGGTGGCCATTTCCCGGCGGATCTATAGCTGTCGAGGGGCGACGCTCGATGACTCGGAAATATCGACGATCCGGATCACATCTTGCTGTTACCGGCCGCCGACGGCAGAACTGGCAGCCGCATCTGACAGGGAACACGGGTGGATAGTCAAGGGGCTGTCGGAAGGGCGGGGGCGGGAGGGCGACGGTGAGAGAAACCGCTGACCAGTGATATTGTGTGGGAATAAGCGGTGTTGTTTTATCACTGCTGTATTGGTATAGTAGATCTTTTATATTGTTGTTTACTTTAGTGACACAACGACTGGCTGACTGTCGTCTTCTTATGTGGCCGCCTTTTGGTGATGGTTCTTGGTGGCCAGGCCCTTTGAGGTAACTCTCTATCGTCAGAGGTAATCTTATCTTGCGTTGTTAAGATGATAGTTTTTTTCTTTTCTTTTTTGGGGGGTGGGAAGTCTCGAGGCATATTTGTTGTAAAAGGAGAGGGCTTTTTGTAAGCTATTGTCCGACATTTCTTTTTCAATCCAGAATGCTACGTCAATTGTCTGATACTGTTAACACTGCTATAATTCTATTGGCTATATTTCTTTTTGCGCCATTGATGTTTTCTCACAAAACTGGCCCCAAATCACACTACATATTGCTTTCCCTAGACACTCGCTACTGTCAATCTGCGGCGTTGTCTGGCGGCCTTAGGCTTCCTCTGGCTACCCACACTGACTCTGCGGTCTCGGGCTGCCGGCTCTCGGTACCCCGGCCCGGCGGCTGTCTGTCCGGCGGGGTCCACCTGTCCCGCCGCCCGCCCGTGCCCGCTCTAACCGTGCGGCGCCGCTCGGCCGGCCGGCCGGCTGCCTCGCCACGTGCCCTTCGCAGAGTGGTGACGGCACGCCGGAAAGCCACGCGCCACGTGCAGCGCGGCGTGTTCTCATGTCTGCTGCAGTGCTGCGGGCCGCGACACGTCGATCTGCTCTCCGTGCTGGCCTATTGCCAGCGTTTCTGCCCCTGCTGGAGGCGACTGCTGTGCGCTACGTAGCTACATTGCGGGCCGGGGCTGCATGGCGTCCTCCTGCTCTGTCGCTCCCTCCGCCCTCTGTCTCTCTCTCCCGCTCTCTGACTGTCGCCCCTTCTCTCTCAGTGGCTCTAGCTGTTGCCGTCTTCACCCGCCGTCTCTGCAGCCGCCGGGCATGCTCTCTTTTTGTCGGTCGGCTGTTCGGCTGGCCGGCCGGTCGGTCGGTCGGTCGGTCGGTCGGTCGGTCGGTCGGTCGGTCGGTCGGACGGACGGACGGACGGACGGACGGACGGACGGACGGCTGGCTGGTCGGCCGGTTGATCGGTTGATCGGCCGGTCGGTCATTCGATTGGTCGGCTGACCTGCTGCTGGTCGGTCGGTCGGTTAGTCGGTCGGACAACCGGTCAACCGGCCGGTCAGTTGGTCGGTCGGCGGCTCAAAGTTAGAAGCGCAGGTGCGGGAGACACGGGCGGCGGGACACGAGCAGAGGGCCACCACCGTCACACAGACAGACAGACAGACAGACACCGGGACACCGGAAAGGCACAGTTGATGGACAGTGCCGCATGGCTCTGTGGGGGTGAAGTGCATGTCGGAACAGACGTGAAGTGCCGTTGTGGATCGGTGACGGAGTTCTGAGCTCCATGTGGTGTGAATATTACCACCACTGCGACTAGTGGTGGAACTGTTCGAGGAACTCGGGTACAGGAGTGGATGGGGAGTTTTGGGAGTGATTTTGGGTATTGTGGGGAAATGCTGCATAATATCAAGCATTGATCCTTGTCTTGTATGTAGATAATCCTTGAATACTTATCAAATCAGTCAAATCACGTTTTACGACATTTTTACGCTGAATAGGACGCGCCAGTTATTGAAGGCACCAGCCTGTCCCCCGACTAATTTACGACCTTGGCTTTCGTATTGTTGTTGTATCTAGTCGTGTCAGTCCTTGCTTCACCGGCCTAGAAACGGTCGCGCGGTTTTTGCACGCTAATGCAAACAAATGTGCCCAGCGTCCGTTGCGTGTTAAGTAGTTGATTAATGGCCCGGTAGAGTCAGTAAGCTACGCGCCTACGTGATAGTGCGAATTTAATTTCCATTGCGTTGCATTTGTATGATGATGACATTAATTGCGTTTCAGGATATTAAATTACTTTCTTTTTAATTAATTCTCTTACTAATTTTTATGTTGCTGATTCGTGTAACTTCGTGGCAGTTTATCTCTCCGGCAGAGTATTGATTTGAACGCCCTTGTGACTATAAATAACCCTTACCATTTTGTTGATAGTTACCTACCAGACCTAAGTGATGGCCTCGGGCAATAATAATCAAATTGTTTGTCGAACATGTAACAATGCCACATTAAATATTGAGTGCGTCTTTTTTTCCTAGTGCTATCCAGTTCTTGTTTGTTTTTAACAGTTTTATCGCGCCCAAAACAGAGCTTTTATTTGTGTTGCAATAACAAGCCGATGAAAAACTGGGTAGCGAAAACAGCACGGAAAAACATCAGTAGATCACGCGAGGTGTTGGCCACTTGGCGCGCCCGTTTGACTGCCGTGACCGTGTCATTATTCATACGGGCGCTGAGGATAACGATCGGCCATGTAAAAACCATGTGGCGGCCAGGGCGGAGCGCCGCGCGCCATCGATCACCGATCGGTGGCCGCCACCGGCCGCGCCGGCCGCGCCGCCCCTCTGACCTGCCTCTGTGTCCCCGCAGCCGGCGGCGTAGCTCAGTGCTAAGGCAGGTATTCTCGGCGGGGCCCCTGAGCACGCCGCGCGCACCGCCCGAGCACGTCCGCGCCCCACACCGACTCGGCTGTCCCGTCCGGCCGCTCACAGCCCCGCGCACAGCCGCCGCTCCGCGCCGCTGGGACCCAGCACGCCCGCTCCCAGCACAGCTCCGTATACACTACACAGCACAGATCCAGCACACAACACAGACTGAGCACACAAAACAGCTCCGCATGCATCACATGCCCACTTTCGCAGCACATTCCTGCATAAAAAAGCACTGCCAACATAGTTCCTCTGATAGCCAGCTTCGAGACTCTGTGCCTCCGGTTCCTGGTTTCTATTCTCCCCCAGACCTCTCTCGTTCCCTCTGCTGACGCTCGATAGCCTCCTCCGAGGTCCCGAACCATCTCCCTGTCGCCGCTCCCATCCTAAAGTCTCCCGGCGCCCACCGGGCCATCTCAGCCGCTCTGCGGTCTCTGCGGCTGTCGTTCGGCCCGGTGGAGGCCGTCTCAGCCGACACCTGTCGATGCTACGATGGCCACGGCCCCCATTGATCGTCGGCCAGCGCGGCGGAGGCGGTCGCCGGCCGTGTCAGGGCGTGCCATACTGGCAGTGTCATACAGGCAGTGTCATACAGGCAGTGTCATACTGGCAGTTTCATACCGGTGGACCGGCTGTATGACACAGGTGATGCTTGCGTCTCAATGCCGGATGACTCTGTCGGGCTGGCTGTGTAACACCGGTCGTGTGACACCAGCCGTCTGACACTAGCTGGCCATGTGGCAGTCGCGAGCCGACCTGGTCACGGGACGGTAACACAGCATAGAGCCTTCGATGTCATCCTTTGAAATTTAACGCATCGCACTTCCTGTCTGGAGGTATCCCGTAGAACAGAGAGACGTCCTCTGTTCCTCTTCCAGTTATTTTATCCTAACTTCATAACTAACTCAAAAGCAAGCAATTTTACTAAATGTGCACACACATTATAACTTGGTCATACCTCAAGCCCGTTTGAAGAACTGTGCGCTAACACTGCCTACATGTCAGTTTATATACTTCTAACCACAATTCATCCATCCAACGATTCGTCTCAGACATCTGACATGTCCAAAAGCTCGTTTCCCAGCACATAAAGCATCTTGTTGAGCTAGTTCCTTCGTGCGGCACGTTACAACGTATCTGCGTCCTAGACATCTGGCTGAATTGCATTCCTGGCACGTGCTCAAGCTCCCTGGCGCCCCTAAGTCTCATCCTTCACAGCCTGGCACACAGCACGGAACACCAGTTCCCGGACCCCGTTGGCATGCCTTTTGCGCGCGCTGAAGACCGCGCTGACGATTGCTATAATATTGCCTCGCTCCCTCCGCTTCATATCTCGTCCTTCGGAGCTGCAATGTCGGCATGGTGGAATGTCAGAGCGTCGGAATGGTTATCTGAACATAACAACCTGCCTACGCATCTGCCTGGAGCTGTAAAATACCGAAGCATTTGGCAGCGAGCCTCGTATATGTATTATGTACATGCATATTTCGCAGCTGGACGTCCTATAAACACGAGACACAAACAAGAGTCGTTCGTACGTTCCATTGACAACGGTCTAGCTAGGAATGCTTCTTTCGCATCCCTTGCACGCTGACTTTCTCTTTCTTCCTATCAATGCAATATTCTTATATCAGTTCATTTTTTATAAAAAGCCAACAAAATCCTCATCTGACATCAACGGTTCCTTTTTATTCGCATTTTCTGAGCCACTCCGCCTCGACTAAGGGCGATAACCGACCTGAGGAAGTGTTCTACGGTGGTCATAAATTAATTAGAATATCCATTTCTACTCTTATTACCTTTCTGAAATCACCAGATGATAATAAATTGACCAAATATAGCACAGTTGGTCTGCTACGTTCCTGTAAAGTGCGAGCTGGCTCACTGCTTCCAAATGCGGCAGCTGAAATTCACCAGTGTTGCCTGCTCAGTACTCACTCTTCTCTGGCCCGATGTGCCTTGTGTCGGCTTACGCCCCAAAATGCCCGCGAGTGTGTCTGAATGTTTAGTTTTGTTGGAATCGCATGGTTGCATGTTCTGAATGTGCTGAACATGGCTGGGCAGAGCGCAGTCGAGCGCGCTTTAGGGTTATGGCCAACCACTTATGCGCACGGCGTAGCCCGAACACCACTGTAAATGGCACAATTGCTTTGACTGCTCGAACGTGAGTTTCCATATAATTCATTTTAACATTAGTCAATAGAGAGAATTACATAGTACGTCTACCGGTCTTGTGCGTACGTGTGTGTCGTTAAAGACATAAACGGCTGGTCGCTCGAGGTAGCTGGCCGGACCGCGCGCTGATTTTGGCCAATAGCTGTCCTTTGCCGGCCGAGTGTTGTCAGTAGCGTCAGACTGAGCTGTCACGGTGTGCTGCCAGTAGCCTCAGAAGTCTGTCAGTCAGTCCAGAGAGTGTGCGTTTGCCGCTGGCTGCGGTCGCCGTGCTGTTTCCTCTGCATGCCCCCGGCCACCCGCGCCCGTCGACCCCATCAATGACCGTCCGGTCTGATCTGATTCGTCAGGTCACAGGCTTCCATTTCTAGGGCGGAGGGCGACAGTCTCGACGCGGACACGACGCTTTCCAAGATGGACGTGGTGCTTTCATTTACTCTGGAGGTATGTAGATAATGCAGAGACGACAAAGATGAGTCTTATCTCGCGGGCCTATACTTTGTTCGTTCGGTATGCATCATCAGTCATCTCACTATCACAGCTTCTCATAAGGTTGTTTCAAAAATGGTTTCCTGTCTCAAACTTTTGCTTAAAAATGTACGAAGTCTGATTTACCCTGATGCAGCTTGTGTTTTTATCTGTATATTTTGCATCCTTCTTTTCGTAGCCTATTTTAGCCTGTAGTCTACATACACCCACCAGCTAACAAAGTGACCTCTGTTTGGCCCCGTGACCCGCCGCTCACGGTGCCCGTCTGTGCAGGTAGTGGTAATGGAGGTGCGTGGCCTCAAGTCGCTGGCTGCCAGCAAGATCGTCTACTGTACCATGGAGGTAGAGGGTGGCGAGAAGCTGCAGACCGACCAGGCGGAGGCTTCCAAACCCATGTCAGTATCCATCGGCAAACAGTCTTCCACGGGCGGGGAGGCAGTCAGTTGTCTAGATTCATGGGACGGTATTCAGCGAGGTGACAGTTACTGCCAGTTGGCAGTCTGAGTAGTCGATTGTGTTGACAGTCAGGGCCTCATAATGAACGTCGGGTGACACTGTAGGCTCAGTAGTTACCGTTACGTCGGCGTTAAACACCGAACGTAGGTGGTATGAATTACCAATCACGTTCGAAGTCCAGTCGATCTGGCGTTAGCGCTGTCTCACGGCAACAGTTAGCTGAACCATCAATCGCGGTCTGAAAAGCCATGTAATGGAGAGTCGGAGACCGTATGTGCAAATACAAATACAAATACAAATACAAATACAAATACAAGCTCAGTCACCCACTGACGCGCTTTCTGCCGCCAGGTGGGACACCCAGGGCGACTTCACCACCACCCACCCGCTGCCCGCCGTCAAGGTGAAGCTCTACACCGAGGCGGCCGGCATGCTCTCCCTCGACGACAAGGAGTTGGGCAAGGTGGTGCTGCACCCCACGCCCTTCACGTCCAAGGTAAGGCCACAGCAGCTGCAAGGCTGAGGTGGTCATACCCTCGCTGAATCAGTATGCCGTGCTCGCAACCTGGGGTTGCTGTGTGCTCATTTCGGCATTTTCCAAGCTGCTCCAAACACTCACACGTTTCATTGTCGACGTAAGTGCATTACACCGTGGCTCAACATTGTCAGAATTAAATTTGGAAACAGCACCGCTCTCCGAGGGTAGCGTATGAACAAAGGCACTGATATTGTTCGGTAATTCATAGGCATTGACGGTTTACCGTTTGGTAGTGAATCCTGCTCCTGTTAACTAACTTAACCTGTGAAAGACGCGAAAAAAAAAAACACCGTTCCGTGCTTCTATCCTCAGGATACTGAAATCCCTCTCCTCCACGCCGCAACCCCCCTCCGGGCTGGACAGGCAACTTTATCTCATGCGGGCTGCTCCCTTGGAGCGGCACCGCTGCTCCCGAGGGAGCGCACCCCGTAGCCGGGTGCAGTGAGTGCCTTGGGGCTGGGTGGCCTGTCCTCTGGACGGGCTCAGCCCCGGCGACTCACTAGGGTGCCTGCCCAGACCAATGTCTCCCCCTATATCCTATCATCCTCCCGGCTCTGAAATGGTCTCATTGGACCGAAAGGGCCTAACCCAACAAAACAAAAAAAAAAACTGGGAAAAGGTAGCTCCTACAAATGCTTGAAGTGGCGAAATTAAGAATTTCGCCTAACTTATATTGCACCATGCGAACATCAAGGTGTCGAAATGTCTCCTCAGATCCGAGTGGCCTCCGTATTGCAACAGAGTGCCCATCTCCCCGCGTGGGTTTGATTGCAGTCTGAAGTCTCGGAAAACGGTGGACGTGGGCCTAGGTGTTGACCAATGTACACACACGTTTCATTCCTGGGACATGACTCTATATATCTTCAAAGGGCTGCAAATGAGACGGGGATCAAAGGCTCCGCCAAAGATGCTATCACATATCAGACGGACACACTTCGCAGACCCTTCAATCTGTTGATATAGCTCTAAGTCGCAAATGTTAACAACAACCCCCTTTCATCTTGTATGCACCTAACAATAAATTATCATTCTTAGTCCTCGCTGTTATGGTCGGCATTTCTAGTTTGTGGTCGGGATCGTGCCGTGGGATTGACGTCGTTCCTCCCACAGTCATATATTTACGTATGTTGTTGACGTTCTGAATGACCTCACGCTCCGAGCCGGTGCTTCGAGATGTCTCTGTGGGCAGCCGTGTTCACTCTGAGTGCCGGAGTCAGGTCGAGCACGGGATGAGTCTCAGCAGAAACGGTTACATCCGTAGCGCAAACGAGTTTGAAAGTCGGGCACGGGCATACGGTAAAGGCGAATCCTACTTGACTCTGCTTGGAGCTACTCATCGTTTTTTTTATATTTATTGATCTTATTTAATTCTCATTAATTTTTGTGTTTTTCTTTTTCAGATGCCGGAGTGGCACAAAATGACGGTGCCGAAGAATGGGCAGGATCAGGACCTGAAGATCAAGATCGCGTGTCGAATGGACAAACCGCTCAACATGAAACATGGAGGGTGAGTACCTACTGTGCACGATCAAGTCCTTTTGTCTCCCCGTTTGGGCCATGCCCTAGGCACCGCCCGTGTCAGATCCAGTAGCCGATAACGCACCAAACCGCAGTCTCACGCCGTACAGCGCTCTGGTGCTCCTTTTTCTCGAGGTAAAGCACCCTCCATTTAGCCCCTCGCTCCGCCAATTTGTCTTCTGTCGGCTGGCCAGCGAAAACAATTTTGTTACAGCCGTGTAACATATTGGACGGTGCTTTTGAACGGGCTAAACACATTGGTACCTTTTCGTTCCATTGCATCGTCTCGATCCCATCTAGGTGACAAAATGGATCTGTCGCCGCAAATGATATCCAGGGATGTTAAAGCAACTAAGATGCAATCGTCTTTGCTAGTTTATTTACACTTTTCTTTTTCAACTATGGCCAGTGTTCTTTTGAAGCTACTTAACCCGCGCCCTGGTGGGGGGGCTATTTTTTGCCCCCCCCCCTCCAGACTTTTCGATATATCTCCAGAACCGCTGCGCCGATCGTCACCAAACTTTCAGTACCTTCCCGGACATCAATTTTACACATTGTGAGCAAACTTTTTTCCAAAGGCTATGATAGGTTGGCCGGAAATGACGTCAGAGTGACGTCATGTTCTGCCGTTTTCGACCCAAAAAAGGGTTTCGCGGGAAGAGCTGTCAGGCCTATAGCTTTGCAAATACAGAAAAATGATAAAGACATAAAAGCTGTAGAATTGACAGGGCTACAAAACTGCTATCTCAGATTTTTGAAATTTTTGGATTTCGACCCCAAAAAATTAAAAAATATATTTTTTGCATATTATAGCCTAAAAATCCAAAAAGTTTTTTTGAATTTCGCAAAAACCGGAACATATGTGATAGTTCTTACCGCCTTCTATCCACATACCAAATTTAAGATTGATACCTCTTTTTATGGCTAAATTATAGCGAAAAAAACTGCTCAAAATTGATGACGTCAAATTTTAACTCAATTTTTAGCAATTCTAGGCCCTGTAGCGCAAAACAAAGACCACCATCAGACTCCGCGTGACGAGCTGCATCGAATCAATACCCATTTTTTGCAAAACTATCAACTTAAAAATTTTACTTTTTGACCTGACCTTGACCTGACCTTCACCAGAAAGTGACTTAAGCCGTACCTGATAGTCTTATAACCAACACCATTGAGTTGGAAATGAAAACTTGGCCATAAAACATGCATCGCACAACCTTAGTACCTAAAGTTAGGTTCATGTGACCTGACCTGTGACCCTTGGTGACCTGACCTGTGACCTGACCTGGTATTGTCAGTGACCTCTTATAGCAACATATGTACTTGGCAACTGACGCCCTATCGCTGATTCTTGACAAAATGCGTTTTCTTCGGTGTTATAGCGCATTCCCTAGAAGACCCGTGAACGGTGAAACATTTCATCTTTGACCTGACCTGTGACGTCATCGGTGACCCCGAGGTCAATGAAATTTGGTTTCCTTTGAATAATTTGACAGGGCTATCGAAAGCCGTTTGAATTTTGCGGATCCGTCTAGTAGTTTCGGAGATACGGGGGGGGGGGGCAAAAAATAGCCCCCCACCAGGTCGCGTTATAAACAGACCCCACCAGGGCGCGGGTTAATTGTGGACCCTTTAGTTTCATTCTTTAATTAGTGAATGGGATGGATAGCGTCGATTTGCTAACATAAGATTTGAGAGTTGCGTGTATTTGTTGATCTTCTCATTACATTTTATCTTTTGTTTTGTTTTTCTTGTTGTGGGTATGTATTTTTCATAGATAAAATTAAAATTTTATGAGTACGCATTGTGTCTAAGCGATGCTATTGTAATATCAATAAATGCAAAGATTCAACTTACTTAGCAATCTTGCAGGCAGCCTTTGCCCAGAGCAAATATGAGCCCATAGAAGTTGGTGCTGGGTAAACTTCAGTCCCGACATGACTGCCGCTATAACAGCACACATACATCAGGCTTCCTGAGCGGTTACGTACTCACATGTCGGGTCCAGCACAGCCTACCCTGTGCTGAATCTGTCTCGAGGCTTAGTGCGGTGTTGGACAGATGCTATGCTAGCCGGCTCTGAAGCCGTAGTCCATGCCCGCTGACGCGGTAACACTTGCACGTGGGCGGGGCTGTCTGCTGCTTTTAGGAAATGATCCACGGCCGCAGCCTTTTATGTGCGGTAACTTTGGAAGTAAGACAAGTTTATAGTAAGACAGGAAACAGTTTCGCCCGTCAGCCGTGGGTCAGGAAGTACCGTCTCCCGGTGGAAAGCCGTACGATGTCTGGTGGATCTGTCCCATTCTCCTGCTGTACCTAAGGCCCTCTGTCTTTGTCGCACTCCTGGTCACTGACTAAACGGCGCCGCTCCGACGCCAGCTGAGCCCGCCGCCTCGCTCGCACCGCCCTCAGTAGGCGCTGCCGCTGGCATTTCCAGCACCTTGCAGCCCGGGCAACTTTCAATTCCCGGACTGTTACCGGTGCAAAGGTCACCGGTCACGAGGCGGCGGGCGGGCGGGCGTCGCGGCGGGGCTCGATGGGTAGACCAGCGCTGCGGACAACACTTAGCGGGTGTGGCGGCGGAGCGGGCCTGTCGTGACGACGGTCATCAGTTGGTGCGGCGCCGCTCAGTGTCGACAGGGACGGCGGGTCTCGTGGTGCTCCTCCTGCCGACCTACCCACGAGCTCACTGTCTGCACCGCCCCCGCACCCACCGCCCGACTGTTTCTGCCGCCCACACAGCCTCCGTTATAAGGCTACTCATCTCCCCTCGCTCTGTCCTCTCAGTCGCTGCCTGCCGTCCCACCGTCTTCTCCCCATCCCTCCCACATACCATGCTTCTCTTCCATGCAAACCACCATCAACCGACTAACCACATGCCAATCACACCAATCTCAGTACCAATCGTGCGTGGCATGTCAGTACTGCGTCGGCCTGCCTCTGACGCTGCCGAGTAGCCGAGCATACCGCGCCGGGCTAGGCATACTGTGCGGCGCGGGCGAGCCGGCCGGGCCTGAACCCATTATGGTGGCGGCGGGTGGCGGCCGGCAGGCGATGATAAGGCGCCGAGACGCCCGGAAAATTGGACGCCATCAGGACTCATGCAGAACGAGCTGTCACAGCCGCCGGGCGGTGCATATGATTAACATTTGAGAACAGGTCGGGCGCGCCAGCGCTGCCCACCGCCGCGCCGCCGAGATTGCGTGGAAAATGTCAGACGCCATGCATGAAACATGACATCCTTGTAGCATAGGTTGTCTTGCGACATGTTCATCAGCATTTATCAACTCCGCTGCATAGTACATAAAGGCTACATGCAGTTTATCTGTCACCAAAGCAGATTAATTTTGAAAAGCTGTCTATTTTTACTCGAACTATTTGTCCACGTGCTGGGGTCAGCGACAGACGCATTTATGTTTAATGACCATACCGATGCGGTCGAGTTGAAATAGCTGAAACGATCGCGGAAAATAGATTGCTTGCCTGAGCCAGCATCATTTACTTTTACATTCGCCTTCAGGAGTTTGTGATTAAATGGACAGAAATAGCCTTGACAGATAAAGTAACTGTTAACTTCTACAAGCATCGTAATGTAATCTGCTCATTAATAAACTAGCATAGTTACAATCAAGTTGTTCTGAAAAGCACAGAAATAGACTGCACTCAGTTCCGTCGAGTGCGGGCTTCACCACTCAAGACAGACGAGACTTTCTTCATTGACCATGCCAACACTCCTGCTGTTGCCCCCTCCCCATCTGACCGTTTTAACTATTCACCGATTCTGTCGTCGGCAGTTACCTCTACTGTCTGGGCAAGACGTGCTGGAAGAAGTGGAAGCGGCGCTACTTTGTGCTGGTGCAGGTGTCGCAGTACACGTTCGCCATGTGCACCTACCGGGAGAAGAAGTCGGAGCCCACCGAAATGATGCAGCTGGACGGCTACACGGTCGACTACATGGAGCCAGCCAGCGGTATGTTCGAACGGATGGGAGGGAATTTACGCCGCGTCTGTGTGTTGACCTGGATAATAAATATTTAGTAAAATTTTTAATGACAGCATGAACGTCATGCCACCCTTGTTTTTACTCTGCTCTGGCATAAAACATGAACCAAGCAGGATATTTTTATCGCAGAAAAAAACGATAACATTAAATACGCTTTTGTCAAACATCAAGGAACTGAAAATGGACAATGCAATCCCAGTTAAAGTAAATTTGTATCGTGGCCCCTGACATCGATCTAAAGGGAAGACATGAGCTTCTTAACAGCACGCGGTTATGCACAAACGGCACGAGAGATGTTCGTATCTAAAGGTTATGGGAGGCCTCCCTCCAGACGCCATATCGGTGTCACGGTCCGCCAGAAGCTCAACTCAGGTACGAAAATGGCTTCTCGCGCAGTGATATAAATAGTTCCGTTCTGAAACCACTTCGGGACAGAGCACGGGCCGATGTGTTCGGTCATATTTCTCATTTTGTGGCGTGGCGTTCAGATATGATGGATTCTTTTGTTCACCTCAAAGACAGCCGCCGCGCTGGGGCCAGGCACCGCTGGCTGCGGCCGTCGTTTGTAAATCATCGTGCCTGATTTACCGAGACTCCCGTCAGCCAGTGAGGGAGTTAGGGTGGCGCCTCAATACCCCGGTGCCAGCCGGAGGTCCTCGCCCAACGATGGAACTGACGTGGCCCGCGAAACACTTGACCCTTCTCACATCGGCCATATTTTGAACCGGCGGTAAAATGGCGTACTACTACTATACTCGTAATGTTATATATTTCTAGAAAATGAATTAAACCATCGGTAAAAAAAAAGAAGGCATAAGCAGGATGAAGGGATTGGGAATGACGTGCCATGCCTGCATGCACCAACCGCCGAAAGGATGTATGTGTGTATTAATCAAGATGGCACTAACCTTCACAAGCCATTGTTACAACCGAACGATTTTATGTCAGCTGCTTTGCGTTGTACAACTATGAACTTGAGCGACCATGTTTTATTTCATGAGCAGGAATCGTAATATGTATTGATGGTCTAAGTTTTTGTTTTTGTTTGTTTTTTTTTCTACATGCATCAACTGACCTGTCTTTTTCTCCTTTTCAGCTCAACTCATGGTTGGAATGGGTAAGCAATTGAAACCTTTCATCTTTTATCCAATGACTTGCCCGTCTAGTCAGCCTAATGCATATTCTAGTATATTCTACACTTATTTGAATTGGCTTGATTGAACTACTGACCTGCCCTGACCTCACCTGCCCCGATCTGACCTGAACCACAGACCTGGAGGGCGGACGGTTCTTCTTCAACGCCGTGCGCGAGGGTGACGGCATTCTTTTCGCGTGTGAGGACGAGAACGAGTGTCACCTGTGGGTGATGGCCATGTACCGCGCCACCGGCCAGAGCCACAAGCCCACGCCGCCCGTCATGTCGCAGGGAAAGAACACGACGCTCTCCAAACTGCAGGGAGGTGAGGAACGCGACTATTTGTAAACTACAGGGAGGTGAGGAATGCGATTCTGTTAACCGCTGGAGGGAAAGAGCACAACACGCTCCAAACTGCAAGGATCCATCCATCAGACATTGGATTTTCTGATGTCCAGGGCGCTAAGGAACACGGCTCCTTCATCATGATGTCAGGAAACGGGCTTCTCAAGCAGAAATAATTTATAAACGGGTACTCTTTCGTTAAGATTGGTCATACTTACTCAAATACAGTTTCGATGAATTATTCTAAATAAGATGCCTTTCTACTCGAGAGCGCATACAGGCCTGACCAGCAGTCTGTATCAACTCAGCTCAATGCTGCGCGGCTGTGCGACTTTCTGTAGTTTGTCGGGTGACCTTTCGGTGCGCCGCCGGTCGCTGCCGCACTACCGGGTCCGTTCACTCCCCCCTCCCGTCCCTTCCCTCCCTCCCCTCCCCTCCCATCCACCCCCACCAATGATCGTCGGCGCACGACCCGGCAACAGCGGCAGCTTCTGCCCCCGTCACCCGTCCCCATCGCGTCCCATCAGTCAGTGACAGTATGCTTGCCCTCATTCCCTTCCCGTGATGAGGCGCTGTTTGGCAATCTCATGAGCAATCTCGCTTTCTGACCAGTTGATCATGCTGGTGAGTGGTGATACGACCCCTCCCTCTCACTGCTTAGATAGATGGTTCCTCTGCCAACGCGAGACATAACCTCCCAGCTACTGACATCGAATAGTGGACACATGCTCTCCTCCTTGCAACTCCTGTCGATGCTGTGATAATTCTTATTATCGTTGCTATAAGACGCTTCCTTATAGACGCTTCCTCCTTTTCCCAGCGATTACTTCCCCTGCCCCCTCCTACCACTGCTGACACCTTCTTCCCGCACCATCCGCAGATGCTGACCGGGCGCGGAAGCACGGCATGGACGAGTTCATATCGGCCGACCCGTGCAAGTTCGACCACGCCTCGCTGTTTCAGTTCCTCCAGGCGCTCACTCTGGACCACCGGCTCAACGAGCCCATCGCCTCGCTGGTGAGTTCGGGTGTACATACGTGGAGATGTGAGGTGTCGGTGGGGTTGGGTAGAGTTGAGTAGTGATGCCGGCTTGGGATATCAAGCTCAAAAGAAATTCGAGGATGAAGTCTCACTTGAAGTTCGTCTTCCTGTCTGTGCTGGTAGAATCCATCGCAACGGCTTCTATTCCCATATGCTGGGTCTTGCGGGCTGCATGTAATTGCCTCTCGATCTGTCCTTGTGTTTGTGTTCGTACTTTCGACCGCGTATTTGCGTGGTTAGCGGTGCTGATAATGCTTTGGTAATGGTTTGTCTGTATGCAGCGCTGCCACTACTGACCGTGTGTCTCCGTGCCTCCCAGGGCTGGCTGAGTCCGGGCCAGGTGTTTGTGATGGACGAGTACTGCGCCCGGTACGGCGTGCGCACCTGCTTCCGCCACCTGGCGTTCCTGCGCGACCTGCTGGCGCACAGCGAGAAGGGCACCATGATCGACCCCATGCTGATCCACTGCAGCTTCTCCTTCTGCGCCAGCCACGTGCACGGTAACAGGTGAGTGACCGCCGCTCCCCTCCGTCCGTCCCGGGCGCCGCGGTGCAGACCGCCGCGGCCGCGCCCGCCGCTGTCACCTCCGTGTACCCTGTCCCGACGTGTCATCGCCCGGCCGGCGACCTCGACTTGGTGCGCCGGCCGGCCGGCCCCGCAGGCGGGCCTGGCCACTCGCTGTCCGTCCCGCTGCTGCGCTGGCTGGCCCTTCAGTTGCCGTATTTTCTTAATTTTTTTTTCGTTTTTTTATGTGTGGGAATTGATTTACCTTTGAACAACAATTTCGAGCAATTCTTTGTGCGTCAGATAATTATGTTTGCTGTTTGCTTGTTTTTTTATTGATCCTTATTCCTTTGTTTATTAACATGTGTTGCCAGTTTGTCGCAAAGTTGGTAATAGTATTTTGATATTTTTGCTATAATCTCTAATTGGCGGACGATTCCAACAATAGGATAATAACTTTTATTGTCGAAAATCTAGAAAAGTATCTAAATCGGGAATTCTTCCAGAATATCAGGGAGTGTTTCACATTGCCAGCATTGTTGGTAAAATGTTTCTATCATACACATTTTTGTACCATAGAACGCATGACAGGGCATGATGAGAAATCGTTTAGTTTACTGATTTTGAACAACAAATAATAGTGGTATTCTTTCGATTCCTCTATTTTATTGTGATTTAGCTGCAGTCATTTCCGCCACACAAATTGGATAGATAAAAAAATGGACAGTCTATGAATGTATGGCGTACTTTTTCGCTATCTTTTTACAAAGTAAGCTCACCGTTACCTACGTGTTTGTTGGGATATTCGCTCTAAAATTATAACATCTTAGTTCTCGTACTCGCTCGATATCCTTCAACAATCAAAAGTTGCATATTGATTGCTATTGCTTTTTCGCTAGCTGAGTGAACGTACCCCAATTAACTTTCCAAGCCAGCCTAAACTCTTACTTCTTTTGAGCCATTCGCCATACATTGGTTGATGAAGCTTATCATTGACATCGCGCCCTTCTTTCAAACAGTGCATGTTCGTTTTGCGCCCTGAGTTTGTACATTTGTTTGGTGCTCTCACGGTTTGCCCTCCACATGCGCCTGGTCCGCCCTACACTAACATATTACACTTACATTTTACCTTAGCGTCCAGGAGGATGGGAGCATCAGCATCGGGTCAGTAGCCGAGCTCTCTCGATCATGGACGGCCTCTTGAGTTTGGACTCTGTCCCCCATCGCTCGAACACATACACTCACAGATCCTGACCCGACCCCGCTTCTCCACCGTTTGTCTGTCTGACTGTCTGTCTGTGCGTGTGTGTGTTTGCGTGTGCGTCGGACGTGCGTGCGTGTATGGTCCGTTCTGGTCCTGTGTGTGTGAGGTTGGTGACTTCAGCCGCTCGGCCCAGCTTGTTTAGTCTCTCCATAGGCTTGGCGTGCGTCCATCCGTCCCCCAGCCGTCTCTTGCAGTCCGAGATGTATCTAGAGAGACCTCTGCATGCGAGTTTTGACGTGTGTGTTTGTGTGTGTGCGTGTGGATGGGTGTGCGTGCGTGTTTGTTGCGTGTGGCGGCGGTCAGCCCGGTGCTGTGCCCCTCTGTATATGATCACCCTCTGGCTGGCGCCACGGCAGCGCGCGACCGCTACTTTGGATATGAAAACCTTTTTGAAGCTTTTGATGCGCATGCCTTCTGAGCTAGCCGCAGCTCTCCTTAGGAGCTCGGCATCGGCTATAGGCAGGGCTAGATATTAAACTACAGATTTAAAAAATTTAGTACAATGATACAGTTTTCTTATATTCTTCTACGCTCTTGTAGGTATTACGTGGCATGGTTGTAGGATGTTGTTTGATAAAGTATCGATGTATTTCAATATATACGTTAACGATTGTATATACCTATGGACGTATGTGTTACGGCATTTTGTACGATATATGTGGTTATATTTGTATGTATAGTGTTCAACTGACTGAAGCTGAATTGCATTGAATTATTTTGGCTGTTAACTGCTACTGTGAAACGTTTCATCGTCTTATTTGAGCGGGATATGCAATATGTATGTTATTGCACGTAATATTTGAGTGTACATACATACATAGATATGTCTTTATGAAGTTATTGATCAGTTACCCAGTCTGACTTTTTACCTCGGGTACCTGAGCTGCGTGATGGTCATTTCCGGCTGCGACAAAGTCCATTAACGTGAAAAAACATATCTTCCTTCTCCCGGTGTCCCTCCAGTCTCATCTCCGGCGTAAAGGTACAGACCCCCTCGCCTTCCAGGGGAGGTCAGACCCCCTCGCCTTCCAGGGGAGGTCAGACCCCCTCGCCTCCCAGGGGAAGTCAGACCCCCTCGCCTCCCAGACAGTAGACACTGGGGAGAGGTCATCGCTTAGCGCTGGCTATTTATACGCACGCTTATGAGGATTGCCGCTCACAGGTCACCGGCTGTCTGAGCTATAGTGGAATATAGTCCGTGCCCAGTGGCAGTTGGGCGTGAGTGGACAGGACGATGGAGTCGCCATGTTGGCTCTGGCTTTTAGTTTTTTTCTTCTTCTTCTTCTTCTCGACTAGCGTCATATTGCGAGTAGCTGGCTAGTCACCGTCTGGTGTTCTTCGTAACTACAATGGGCTAGAATTTGGCCAACAAACTGACAGCATGTTGACGGGGAAACAAATGAACGGGCACGTTTGATGCGTATTTTATCCATGTCATTCGAACAACCTTTCTGCCAGCCGTAGGGTCAACCATTGGCCACTCCAGTCACGCCTCCTTCGCCTCTCACCATTGCTGGCGTCAATTTTCCTCCATTTCCCGTTCTCACTCGCTCCGATTGAGTTGAGTGTGTCGGTGGCACCGCTCCACCTCCACCATCACCAGTCCTCTACCTACCCCACCCTCTCCCTCCTCCTCGGGCGGTCTGCTCTCCCGACCTCGGCGTCCACGACCTCAGCGTCCATTCAGCACGGCCGGCCGGCCCACCGGCACACGTCACTCGGTCCTGTCGGCTCCATTGTCGGCCTGCCCAGCGGCCGCCGGCGGCTGACACGACCCGTCACAGCCCGGCCGTGTCGAGAGTGCGCGCCCCACGGCACTGCCCGAGGGACGATATTGGAGAGAAGCTGAGGTGGGGCGCTGATGAAGTGCTGGCTGTTCGAGCGGAGCCGATCGGGATGGCAGGGAGACGGCCGAGATGTGTGCGATACTGCGCCTGGTTGGGGTGGTTACAGCGGGTGGGGTGAGATGAGACGGTGAGAGGGCGGTTTTGTGCGGCTGGGGAGGTATTAAAACGTGCACGGTCAAAAAAAGAGGCGTGATGGAAAGTGGATACTGCAGGGAGGGAACGGACCCAAAGGTAATTTGTTGGGATGTGGGACCATGTTCGAATGCCGATGAAGTGAGATTATAGAATATAGAGCATGTGGTACGGTGGTTACATAAGGATAAGTGGGATGTGAATAAGAATAAGTGGAATGGAGTTACGAATAACTGGGATACGGCGAACGATATGTGGGGGTTGGATGTGGCTAATGCTTTGTGGGACTAGGATACGGGATGTGCTTTGTGGGCCTTTAACGGGTAGAGATGGGTGATGTTTAGATGCACGATACGATAGAGGCTTGATACATTTGGGGTGGGAGGCGATGATAGGGGGTTCAGCGGAGATGAGCAAAAATATATTGAGCACAGGGGGAAATTTGTGATGACAGTATCTAGACAGTGGTATGATTGGTGGGAATTGAATGCGGTGTGGTTAAGCACCACTCGAACGAGACTGCAGTGTGTCGAATATACATAAAGAGAGGTTTGTGGACCACCGCAGTGTATTAAAGGGACTATCCCACCTTCTAAAATGCTGTTAAAACCAGTTAAATTGTGCCCGACTTTATAGATTGGATGACCAGGAACACAGTTCTGGCATTTACTTTTCATTAAACATCTTAGGCTTCCCATATTCTAAACACAAACTTTCAAATATGTGACGTCACAGCCCAAAATTACCTCCTTCCCCAGGCCACATTACTGTCATAAAGCTGATTCTTTTTACTCTGTAGGCACCACAACAAAGTTCAGACCAAGTTTTAAGCGATTTTTCAACGAACAAACCCATTTAAATCAGAATGACTAAACGAGGTGACGTTACACTAACGGTCGCTCCATGTTGAAGATAGGGCCTTGTACAAGGCCCATTTTCAAATGAAGGGAACGAATTCCTTCAACACCAAGAGGCCGCGGGGGTTGCAACCTAGACAGATAGTGGTTTCTGAACCTCGCCGCAAACTTGGCTATCTCAACTCAAACCCCATGTTAAAGGTGGGATAGTCCCTTTAAGTGTCAGGGCAAGGACGATTGACCGTTTGGATGCCGAAAGACTTCGCTATGAGCTATTTGCACCGCTGTTGACTGGCCGTTGGCATGGATCGAGCATGATTGGCCACGCTCAAGCGGGATGTTTTCTGGGGAGGGAAGTTTTCAGAGATGGGATGCGTCTGGAAAGTTGGGCATGGGTGCTTCGGGAATATTAACTATGGTAACATTATTGCCAAATTGCGAGTACTTGCTGAGCTCAAGGATGACGATTTATTGATAGGTAATTGTCGATAGCTCGGCGAGAGCTTCTTCTAGCTTCTGTTTCTAGCCCTTAATTCCTGGGGTATTGATCGATTGGTGTCGATCTCATCGCGCTGTGTCCTGTCAGTGGCACGTCATTGGGACTTCAGAGTTGGTCTGTGACCCCTGATGACCTTCTGTGACCCTCTGTGACCTCTGGGTCTACCCCCAGGCCGGACGGCGTCGGCAGCGTCCTCCACGAGGAAAAGGACAAGTTCCAGGAAATCAAGGAGCAGCTGGACATGCTGCTCGAGAACCAGATCGCTAACTTTAGGTGAGTGCTTCTCGATGGGCTGCGAACTTACGGACCTTAGTAACAAACAGCCGAGGGGACCGGTCGATTACAGAGTCTCACTCAGAAACTTGCGTATCACAGAACAGATCATCAGAAGAAGACTTTCGGACACCAATGCAACTGGTGTGATTTGGCTGTATTGTCCTGTAAAAGTCTGATCTCAGTTGTCATGCACTGATAGCAAGTCGCAGCCTGGCATGCCCCACGGTATTCAGTAGTTATCTCTTGTCCTGACCTACGGTCTTACCAAATTTATTTCACGTCTGATGGTGATCCCGTCGCCGTGTGGCAGGGTTTACTTCCCGTTCGGCCGGCCGGAGGGTGCGCTGAAGGCCACGCTGGCACTGCTCGAGTGCGTCCTCCACAAGGACATGGTGATGCCGCCCTCACAGGACGAGGTGCGCGGCGTCATCAAAAAGTGCCTGGAGAACGCCGCGCTCGTCAACTACACCAAACTGTCGGCTGACACGCGGATAGAAGGTGGGTGTCTCTCTGTGTGGGGCCGCCGCTCCGGTTACCGTGAGGCTTCTGTGACGTTTGTCGCGGTGAAGCTTCTCAGGCTTCTTGTTGTCATGATGATAGCCGTCGAGAGCAGCGATTTAGGCTCATATGTATGTGAAGGCTGTTGACTGAAGTAAACGATGGTTTTATGGATGAGATTCAGTTTCATGGCGGCTGCACTTTTTCGATGAGTAGATTCAACGTCCAACAGAGCTTTTTGTGCAATCTGTCAGATTTTGTTTTCTCATTTATTCTAATCAGTTGCCTTTGTCGCATGCATTGCCTCACGTCAATGCTAATGCACATCAAAATCACTCATCCGGGTTCTGTGTTGCTCTGGTGTCCTGCCGCGTGCCACGGCTTCACACAGCTTTCGCAACACAGTCCTGTTTACGTGCACGGCCGACGAATAATGAATGGTGTGTAACGGAGGGCAGATGGGTATAACCACACCCAAGGCTATATAAACCAGGTAGAACGCTCCGGGAAAAAAGTTGGAAACAATAAATTAGTTGCAGCATTCCCTGATGACGCGAATGTGGGTCAGCGGCCGGCGGCCGACGGCCGCTAACACTGTATGAGGATGAGTGCACGGAACTTTTGCTTGTTGGAGATTGCGCTAGGCAGTTAAATGTTAATGTTAGGATATGTTTCGAAAGTAAATTGAACGACGCTTCGAACGCCGTCAATGAATTTGCGATGCGACGCCTATTTGTTTAGTTAGAGCCGGCGAACTCTTACCTTCCGACCGCGCGGGGAGGCGATATGGTGCCACACTGACGGTTTTTAAGATAGCTCAAAATTCTTTTGAGCTAAAGAGCTGAAATTTGACTCGTCCAATCTTTTGATCAAGCTGGATCTTCTGGTACAGGTCGCATATTTAAGGTACGTCAGGTTGTTGACCTATGTTGTCGCTCGTGAGCCTCTGCACAGTCCAAAAACAATGCAATTTCTGAACACTCAGTGCCAAGAAATCCTTCACACAAAGATGACACTTGGCAGAAAGAAGAGCTGTCGGTTTCTTATCGTTCGTATGTGTCGTGTTTTCACAAGAGTTTAGAAAGGTCAGGTCCGTCACGTGACCTCCCCTCATAACTCAATAGGTTTACTTTCATAGAAGCGTTTATCAATCGCCGGAAATCTTAGCCAATCCCACTGGACACTGGATCCATACCCACATGGGGCGGCGGGGCCCTCCTGACTGGCCACTCCCTCTGAAATTCACAATAACATTGGGCTGCGGCCACGGTTATGTATTAATGCTTTTCACTGACAGAAATACAACAACTTCAACCACCACAGTGCACGCCGCCACAACAGTCCGACCCACGTCCCTGATATCGACTAGCACCCGGCCGGATGCACATACGCGGAGCCAATCAGTCATGTGACCTGAAGCTTACAATTGCTGTGTCGCATGGCACATGGCACAGGACGATTCCTAGCAGCTGTCGGCTGAAGTGGAGAAACAGCACGTTGCGACACACCGCGCCGGCGACAGAGCTCAGCAGGGCTGGTTTGAGGCTAAAGCCGGAGGTAAGGGCGGACACAGGCACATACATTGCAGGACAAATAACAGGATGTCAGTTAGGGGTATAATCTAAGACGAATGATTCAAGACGGACTGAAACAATGCACATTCTGCTCACTTAGATACCAACTTCAAACTTGACATTTATAGCACCACGGAAACAATGGGCACACAGGAAAGAAACAAAAGATGAGGTGTTTTTAACTCAAGGAGGTAAAAAGAGGTTGCATATGATGGAACAGCCCGAAGTGCAGACAAGCACATATTTTTGGTAATAGCTATCAGCTGTCCTACTTCTCTTCTCCCTTCACCAACTACTGGACACATTTGAAGCATCATATTAGCACCAATGTCCATAACAAAAGCTTGCAAGTAGTTTTATGAAGCCAAAGTAAATATGCCTACATCATGCATGTAAGCTCAAAATGCATTACAAAGGAAGGTTATCTAAAGAGAATAGTGGGCAAAAGCATTTCATAGTTAAATTATTCAAAACTGCACACAGGGCAAACATAAAAAGCAGCAAGTGTAGTGTTCTGTTATGCTTAAAAATAGTCCAAAACAAAATACAATCTTTTCTTGTTTGAATTGGTTGTTCTTCTATGCCACTTCATCCACATCTTGATTACAGATGGGCTGTTACTGTAGGCTGATGAAGTGACACTTGATTGCCTTTGTGCGAGTTTCAGTTGCAGCCTCCTAGGTACTGCACTGGAAAGCAGATTGAATTGAATGCCTCTGAAAGATAAGAATATAGGCAAAGTTAGCTTTAGTAGTGTCAATGATAATAGACATGACATTTTTGTCTTTTGACATACATTTGTTGAAGTACAAAAGGTACAAAATAAATTGGTTTGTTTCAAGACACGCACACTGCACAAAGCCGCACAGACATTACACAAGCATATAAAATTGGTACACATAAAACTTGATGATTAAAAAGGTCAAAACTAGCAACAATAATTAATTAAAGTAAAAGTTACAATCACAATCATTTGATTTAAAATGACTTGACAAAGTCACAAGACGCAATGCTCCTATTCACTTACGAAAAGTTTTTATGCTTTCATTATCCTCCACATATCAACCAGCTTGATACCAGGCTGTTCAATAGTGGGTACATAACCCCATGTTTCCATTTTATTAGAGCAAGTGGGGTTACAACAACAATGCTAATGTCAAACCCACATCTGCAACCCGTACTGAAGTTTCAATCACCTTACAAGAACACCTTCTGGCAGTTTGATGGGCAGAATGGTCATAACTACTTTCTCCTCATATTCAACACAAATTATCTCCTATACAGATACAGTTTAGACTTGGTTATGGCAAGCATTTTCGAGAAAAGATATGATAAAAGTCAAAGACAAAGGTCGAGAGAAACAACACCAACATAAGACACCGACTATGTAGCACTAATACTATCAAATTCATAAAAATATATACATGAGTCGATCAGAAATTCTTTGTAGATTTCGAAGTGTCAAATGCCACTCAAATACCCCCATTCGCATGTACGAAGCAATATAACACTGACCTTCAGTTCCGCGTGCCATTCTCCATAGGTCACCGTGTACTAAATAACGCGTTCACTGATCGCAAAAAAAATGAGACCCACATATGACGCGTTTGCTACCAGCCAATCAGCGCTCGAGATGCCGAGCGCTGATTGGTGGAGAGGGCCGTCGTCAGCAGTCCATTACATGTTGTTTTCCTTGAACATATACGTGAGCAGCTGATGCTGCTCACGGGTTGTTTCCATTTTTCGTAATGCTGAAGGCACGGGAGCGAACCCCCCTGGTATAACCTGATGTGTCAAATATGCTAATGCTGAGAGTGGTTTAGCGTGTCTAATGTGTGTGTGTATGCATTAACTATGCGGTTTTCACTGTCCAGATGCCGGATCAGGGGTGGCAGGTAATTTATGAAGAGAATGCCCGGGACTGATTAGAGAATGTGTAGCATGCACTTAGTTACACAACATGGTAGCATAATAGAAAGGTTGCAACATAACATTATGTTTTGTAAATGCGCTGTTATTTTTGGTTCTACACACATATGCAATATGCATACGCCTGATCCTGCTTTATAGAACATTTTCTGTCGGATTTCTTCACTTCTGGTCAGTCGTTTAACGTTAACGATTCCATGCATTATCGAATCGAGCTAACATAGACGCCACCTTGTTTTAATTAATACTCCACACGTAGTTTGTTGTGCATAACATTTTGTTGGTTGTGTACATTCAAAATTAGGTCGTGCATTCTTTGGTATACTTCAGTATTTTCTATTGCCAGTTTTATCGCGCTGAATGGATCGGCTTGCATGAGCCTTGTCTACACTGCAACGGGGATGATGTAACGGGAACCAAGCATAGGAATTCCATGTTTAATGTACGGCTCTGGGTGCTGCATGAATGGCTCGACAAACGATGTTCTGCCCAGGGTATATTGGTTCTGCCTGCCCCACACCTACTTAGTTGCGGCGGCGCCCTGGCTTACACTCAATGATTGACACTGCTTGTGAACCGCTTGATACACGATTTACCGGGAGGGAAATATTCGTATATATGGAGCCTTTTAGCAAGTATCAGCCAAGAAACGCTGTGGAATGATGCCTCGGTTGTTTTAATTCGCGCATCTTTGTCTAAAATACAGCCCGCCAAGTGTTGCTTTGATTTCGGTTTGACATTCTTGGAAAAACGACGCTTTATTCGTTCTGGGGAAGCACAGTGAATGATTGCATGTTTGACTGCATGTGTAGTAAAGTGCTTCTCTGCTGTCTTATACCGTAAACAATAATTCCTCTGTCATATGCCATTGACATTTGACGTGGCTCAATGTGAGGGTTGTCATGACCATGTTGATAATGTCAAACCACATAATCACGGTGTCATTTACACTTTCAAGACAGATGTGTGGGTGAACGAACTTTGGGATATCAGCTTTTCATTATAATGCAACGTTCAAAATTTGAACCATCGGTGAGCTGGAATTATTGAGGAAATGGGCGGATCCAATGAAAGGCAGTTATTTTTTACGGCTGATTAATTCTTTTGGAAACTCTTGATAACTCTGTTCTATTTCCTGATTTGACTCGTTCAATCATGAACCGGGTGTTTCGGTTATCTGAAACATCAACTAACTTTAAATTTCATCTGAGGCGTTGACACTTTTAAAAACACATAGCGATTGGGAATTTTGGATATAAATCTGGATTTATTGCACTCTTGAAACAAAGTTAATTGGGGTAAAATTATGAAAAATATTGACACTTTCTGTTCAACGAGCCATTTTCATGTCTCACACCCTGATACATGGTCGCTCCCCTTGCCGTTACGAGCGACAAATCCAATAAACTAACAACACATTACAGACAGATAGTGAGTGAAAGACAAAGAGAACGTGCGTGTCGATCTGACCGGACCGCGCTCTGGCAGACGAGCTGACGGGCGAGGTGGTGGTGCCGCCCAGTAAGAAGTTAGAGGATCTGACCCACCTGGCCGACCTGTGTGTCGACCTGCTGCAGCAGAACAACGAACAGTACTCAGAGGTGGGTTCTCTACGGAGCGTGCTCGCCGCTCACAGGCGAGGTGCCATCCATCAGACACGGAATGTCATCGTTCATAAAGACTGCATATCACCTTCCGCTCAGATTGCATCTTATTTTTATGGCAATACGAGTGCGATTTTGCACCAAACATTAATGGAGACAAAGTCTTGCCTTCATTATTCCACCGCAATCACCCTCTTGTCCTTCCTTCTTCTTTTAATCTGACACATTCTTACAAGAAACGCTTTAGGTCGTCAAGTTTAGCGAAGTCACCGAGTCATTTACGAACCAGCCTTTATCAAATATTGTAATTCCGTTGCTGGATGTTAGCCGAGAGTCATCTAGGTGTTCATGAATGGTACATTTATCTCCACACAAGCACGGTTCAACAAATAATTCAATCACGACTACCAGCCTAAGCTATTCAGTGTTCACTGCCCATTTTGTGATTTTAATTTGTTTTTGGTTTCTTTATGGAATATTGTGTAATTTCCAATTAGTTTGCACTTTCCATTCTGTAATCGTTGAACATCTCATAAGTCACCGCTTAATATGACTGCACTCAGAATTTCTCCTTTAACTTCTGGCCAGCTATCACCTCTAAAAAAGTATGAAGCCTCGAACTGGTAACGTCTTCTGATATATGTATCTCACTGGACACTGAGGCCATCAAATATGTCGTGCATATCCTATCAATTATTGAAGCCCGCTATACGAATGTTGTCAAACTAGATGGCCCACAAAATATCTGTATATATCGTGATTGTTTCGCGACACAATGAAAGCAGCCCCATCGTTGAATGCCGTTCTACCGGCGCCTTGTTAATGTCTGTCAGTGTGTATGTGTGTCACCTTAAACGTTTGTCTGAGCCAATTGCGAAAGACTAATGACAATAGCCTGATTGGCCGGTCGGATATGTATGTTGGGGTGGGTAGGACGGGCCGGGTGTGGATAAGACGGGATTGGATAGAACGGGTCGGGTCGGGTCGGGACGGGACGGGTCGGATTTGGATAGGCCGGGCCGGGTCAGGCAGGGCCGCGCGGGTGCGGTGCCAGGTCGGGGGCGGCAGAGGCGCGGTGTAGTCGGCTGCGCTGTCAGCATGAATGTGTTCCTCGTTGGCTCACCGGCTGTTGTCTCTCCTTCTCTGATCGTCACCGTGCTATAGGCCTTTCGAACGGTGAGTGATGCAGCGCGTTTCTCGCCGGCTCTTCTCGCTTCCTCTCTTGAACAGCAATGACTCAGTTGCGCTCACTTTGGAAAAGTCAATTTGTGTTTGTCTGTGAAGCTTACAATCTTCATTTAGTATGGTATGTAAATAGTTGATACTTTGATATTAATCTATTAGCAGAAATGTTTCCTTTTGTCATATAAGTTTACACGATATCTAGCTTGTTCAACAATTTTTTCTATCTTCTCTATCGACCATCTGACTTTCGCTATCGCATGGCAGCATCACAGCCTGGCCTTTCTCTATCTGACTATACCGCTCGTTCTCTTTACATGATCAGGACAAAGTGAGTACGGCAGGATTATACAATGGTTTGCCCTTTCGATGTTCTTAGGATATGCTTTCACCGTGTAGTTTATGATCCTATCCACTTAATTCGTTAGATCAGTTTTGAAAGTTGGAATTGACGGTCATTCTTCTAGAGCACGTGCGAATTGCGTGGGTTTGGATACAGCACCATCGAACGGAACCCTGATTTCGCCAGTGTTGACCACTGGTGAACGTTCTATTCGGCAGTGAACGTTTGTCATGTTACGCATGATATCTCCACGGTTTATATGTTTACACATATGCACAAATATCAACCAATATTGATGCCTATAATGTCTTCGCCTACTGTAGTTAGTAAGCATGACCGTGCTTTGCACAAGTAGAAGCTCGCTTTGCTTCGTAGATACCGGCTTCCGGCTTTATTAGTTCTCACGTCGGGGAAGAAAATGACAGCCCGCCCACTTTTTTACATATCGCATGAGTTCGAGCGTTTTACGCCGCCGTTGAACCTGGAATGAACACCATATCGAGGCCGCTCATTCGTAAGAATGACAAATTCTCTTACGCAACGGATGCAATTTTGCCTAGCTTTGGCAATGCTCAGACGTTATCGCATGAATTTAGATTTGTCCATTTTCAGCGTTGATACCAATTTAAAACAATAAACCGGCAACATTGCATGAGCTAATGATTTTAAAACATACCAACAACCTCATCAACACCAATAAAATGGCTGCTTTGCCAGCTCGAAAAACAAATCATACTTTAAATAGTGCCTACCATGATTTTTAAATAAAATAATCATGAAATACGTTCTTGTTTTCCCTAATCTTTCGCTATTGTTTCCTTCGCAACCATACAAAACATGCAATAAAAAAACTGATTGAGTGCTGAAAATGTCGAATAAATCTTGCTTCGAAATATTATTGCTCCAATAAATCATTCTTGCATACTGTTGCATTTTATTACGTGTAGGGGAGACCCGGGAGGTATGGGCCCCCTGGAGGTATGGGCCATCGCAGGTTTGAAGAAGTGTTGCGTATTTTTACACATTTGACGGCGTTAACTGGTAGCCGCCATTCCGTTATACATCCCACATGATTTCAAAATCTTCCTCAGTCTTCTTTGGCAATGAGCGGTGATAAAGCGTTTTTGCCCTTTTCGAGTAAAATTCGGTACATACAGAAAATTCGTGAAAATTTGAACCAGGCTCGTTTTATGATGTCAAGACTATCGCTAACATAAAGTTTACAGCATGCAAATTAAGATTGGGTAGACAATTTGAAGCTTTCTTGCAAGATTTTGAGCTGAGATGCTACGCACGTTCTGGCGTCCTAACCGGGAGGTTCGGGCCACCCACCCCGTTGATCCTAAATAAATAGAAAAGATGCTTTCATTGAATGTCCCCGTCAATAAGTTTTATTTTTGTCGCGCAAGGTCGAAAATTTTAACTACAAATTTCATTCGAACAGAAAAATATTATTTGTCTTATTTCATGGTGCATGCTTGAGTTTACCAAAATACATATGGGCCCAAGTGACCTCCATGAAGTAAGCTGTTGGTCGCTTATGCGGTTCCTGGGCTCTAGGAGAGATCAAGGTAGACACCAGCTACGAGTATTATTCTCATTGTCGAGAAAAGAATATGAAACATGGCACCGGCCCATACCTCCCGGGCCATGGCCCATACCTCCCGGTGTATTTTGATGGATCGAAAAAGCACATGATTTATTGAAAGTTATCTCGAGACAAAATAGTTGATCCCAGATGTCTAATATCAGGCACACGTTGCAGGCGAAAGGCAATTTCACGTACACAGAGTGAAAAACCGGACCTAGCCACTGCCCACTGGAAGAAAAATGCCTTTTCACAAAACCGGCCCATACCTCCCGGGTCTCCCCTATATAATTATATATTTGGCATATCTTTTCGTACGATGCTGGATCCAGAGGGCGATATGGGAAGCTACGGGGCATAAACATTCACAACTCCTAATTAAAAATGGTGTTGATTTTAACGGTTACCCACATGATGTCACATGAAGCATTTTCAGACAGGAGCCATCCACTCCCACAACCACGATGAAAGTCGAAGAGCGACCTATTGGCGAGAACTGTCTGTTTTCTACACGACTAATTGATAGCTTTTGTCTTTATTCGAACCGATTGATATCCTGCAACCCCAGTTTCGTGGTGCCCAAATCACTGCTTCGCCGAGACTTAAATATCAATTGTTAGTCATTCTGTGGAGGGCTTGCTCTTTCGTCTAGACCCGTGTCATCCCCACCCTTGGAAATGAGGCGGGACGGGCGGCCCGACTCCCCTTTCCCCTGGACTCGCTCCCTTGATGTGCGCCAACTTCTGACGCGCTCCGGCGGCGCCAGGCGTTCGCGTGGTTCAGCGACCTGCTGGTGGAGCACGCCGAGATCTTCTGGTCGCTGTTCGCCGTCGACATGGACCAGGTGCTCTCGGAGCTGCCTCCGGACGCCTGGGACGCCTTCCCGCTGTTCCAGATTCTCAACGACTACCTACGAACAGACGGTGGGTACCGCCGTCCGCGAATGACAGAACCAAAACTGAAAACCTTGTGCTGAGCTAGCTTATCCGAGCAGTGACTGAGATTTTTGTCGCCCGTGACCCAGAACTCGCAGATAAAACGACCCCAGTTGCTTAACCGCAAAAAAATCCAACCATTTCGGGCGACAAAGATGTGTGTATCTTCAGGCGAGGCAAAGCTAAAATCGTACCTATAAATTCGCTCGACATCCGATTAGGAGTATCACTTGGCAGCGGGTTTCGGTCACGTGCCTGCCGTACTCCCTTCTGTGAGAGCACATGAAAAGGTTAACTGCCGTTTGGTCGTGTGCGCGTGTCTCCTGAGTGCGCCCGCCCCATCCTCTGCACGTAAGTACCCAGTGACCGCTAAGTGTCGATAGACCGGCAGGTGCGGACCATTAGCTGGTCCGCACCGTGCGAACGGAACACGTGTCTCCTCTGACCTCCCAGCCCAGCAATGGTTCCGTCAACCGTTTCTCCCCAGTGTCGGCTGCAGAGGTTAAACTCAGCACTGACTCTCACCACCATCCACGCAGTCCGAACTAAAATCACTGGCTCCTACCTTATCCAGCGTAGTAAGAGCCAAGCGCTGACTCTTACTCGCCAAACTGTCTTCAGTAGCGCCTTTGGTTTGGTCGACTCTGACCTGCGACCGATAATAAAAGCTCATCATTGCACTGATTCTGACTTCTCTGCGCACATTCGCACAGATTAAGCTCATGGCTACTCTAACTCCACGCTATGTCCGACAGATAATCTGAAGAACGGTCGATTCCACCAGCACCTGCGGGACACGTTCGCTCCAATAGTGGTGCGCTACGTGGACCTCATGGAGTCATCAATCGCCCAGTCTATCCACAAGGGCTTCGAGCGCGAACGCTGGGAGCTCAAAGGGTAGGTGCAAGGAAAATGTATCAACTGATTGAATATGGCGAGGACTTAAGTACTTGGGTGATTTTTAACGTCTTAGTTGTTTTCAGAATAGCAAAATTAGAGTGAATTCCAATTTTGTATTGATTTAGAACTATACCCTTCCTTCTACGCATTGTAAATGTCAATGCGTAAAATTGTGACACCAGTTTTCGTGAAAGGAGGAAACGGATTATCGTCATCATGTCTATTTTTAGCTCCACGCTTTCAGCTCTTGCTGTCGCATCAGTATAGGTATAGGTGCGATCTCATACATAATCCAGTTCAAAAAACTATATCGGTGGGGCGTAACCCCAAACTTAAACAACACCCAGCAATCAGCCTCCAATATACATACGCTATAAACGCCGCTGTGCCTTCCAGGAACGGCTGTTCGACGTCGGAGGACCTGTTTTGGAAGCTGGACGCGCTGCAGGCGTTCATCAGAGACCTGCACTGGCCCGACGCCGAGTTCGGCTCTCACCTGGAGCAGAGGCTCAAGAGGATGGCCTGCGACATGATCGAGAGCTGTATACAAAGGTCAGTGAACGGCGCCCGGCGGTCCCAGGGGAGGTCATCGGAGCACAGTGGTCTAGTGGTTGCGAAAAGCTCCGGTCCTGCTCTTTTTCAACGTTGTACGTAGGACAAATGTGACACATGTCTTGCTCATACAGCAAAATGCAGGATATGAGCCGGATACTTCATAGAGAAACGAATGTTTTTCACTTTGCTGGCAGATACCAACATGGCCAGCGGTAGTCGAGTGAATGTGGAGGATATGTCTTACCTCTTCCGCAATGTTTTGATAGCACGACTTTGGTATTCTTGTCACGTGAGTCGTTCCTTTACTGGCTCAATGTCACCTGGTATCCTTTCAAAACGTTCACGTGTTTTCTCTATAAACAGTTCGGGCGACCTTTACTCTAGCCACCTCTCGCGTTTCGGGCGGCGCACCCGCTGCCTAGGCTCGATCCCTGTGGGTCAGTCACGACAGTGACCTTTATACGTACCGCGATCGCCGGCGGCGGTGACCTTTCGTTGACCGGATCGTGCCCGCGGGCGATCGGCGTACGGCAGGACCGATCAGGCGTATCAGCAGTGGCTCAAGAAGGGCGTCGGCTTCGTGTCCACTGACTACATCGTGCCGACCGACATGTGCGCCATGATTAACGTCATCCTGGACGCCAAGAACCAGTCGCTCAAGCTATGCGCTGTCGACGGAGTCGATGTGGTAAGTCAGCGCGGTTACGCTCCTCTGCGCGTACGGTGGTGATGAGAAAGCCAAGGATGAAATTGACTAATATGACTAACATTAAAACTTGTTGCGTAAATGTTTTTGGATTTCCAAAGTATTCCCTTCGTTACTGTCCAGGTTTTGTGTAAATCATTAGCATTTTCCGTCCTACAGATTACTACAACAAACTATTGTAGAAGTTAGAACAATTGTAGATGTTATTACGTCTGAGAACTATGAACAAACGCATCACAAAGCCCGTCCATTTTATCACCGAGCCTCAATTTGCGCCGGTGGCTCTCGGCCTCGTCTGAGCCGGAGCAGGGCCGAGCCGGCTGGCCGGTGGCGGTGGTGTCGTATTTTTGCTCCTTAACCCGACTCGTATTTCATCCTCGGCTGTCGGACCATTGATCTGCCTGACTGGGTCCGGTATCGCTGGTGGGTGGAACGGTGCTGGTGGGTGGACGGTGGGTGGTTGGTGGAACGGTGGGGTGGTGGGTGGAACGTCGGTGTTGGACGTCGGCGTTGGCTGCGGCGTCAGTGGTAGCTGGACTGCTGGTGATACGGGTATTAATAGAGATATTTTATTCTTACTAGCACTGTCATGTCATCATATAACACGCCTGTTGTCCCATGCTTATTACCTCTGCCTAGTGGCCTCCCCATAGGGCCCCGTCTCGACCGATGTCGACCAGCATCGTCCCCTACCAGAGCTGACACACGGCATCTGGGACATGGTCCCTGCCGTCCTACCGCCGCCCTCCTTATCTCTCTACGTGTACCGGCCCTCGGCCCGCCCAGGCTGTGATCGCTCACCCGCCCCCGCCTCGGCCCGCAGCACCAGTATCACACCAAGATCGACGACCTGATCGAGCGTACGCTCTCTGGCATGGTGTCGGGTCTGGTGGCCAAGCTGGTCTCGGTGCTGGAGGCTGTCATCGCCAAGCTGGGTCGCTACGACGAGGGCAGCTTGATCGGCAGCATCCTCAGCTTCACGGTGAGGAAACGTGCATTAGGAAGAGAAGGACATGTATTATACACTGTAAAAAATATTGACGAGCTATGTGTCAAAACAAGGGTCTCGAAACAGTCACCAGGTTGTCAATGCTTCCGGTACCTACCACTTGACTAGTTACCGCTTAGTTAGCTTACAGGCTGAGAACTATTCAGATCGTTATGATCCGGTATTGTAATGATACCCTAGGTGTACCTTTGTTTTGAAGTGCTGAATTAACTATCAAGGTTGTTTGACGTTTGTTTTCGCCTCAATCCGAAACGAGGAAGACCCTCATCAAATTATTAGGTGAAAGCCAGCCTCAGGATGATCAAAATACTAGGGGTAGTTTTGTCATAGTAATCTGTGAAGGGTGAGGAACAAGCCGTAGCAATGCACTCGTCACTAAACCAGCCTGAGATTATTCGCCAGGTAGCTGCTGCGTTTCCCTACTTGCTGAATCATATTTGCAACTTTCCATTTCCAGTCACTTTTTACGGCAAATAAATTGTTGGGTTATTTGGAAGGTGAATGACAATTTTATTTCTATTAGGTAATACATTTGTATTTCCGATTGCCCTAAAACTTTTTTTTAATCGTTTGCGGTAGGTTTTTATTGTTCGCAATAAAGTTGCGCACCTGTGAATCCTTCACTTAATGCGTTCCCGGCTTCCCGGCGCCAGTTGCGCTGTGCCGTGCCGCGTTCGGTCGGGGGTGCGCGATTCTGTGCAGTGCGAGTGTTTATCACTGGGCAAACCTGTATCGTTTCCATTTGTGCAGTGTCTAGTTATGAAGAATGGCTTGCCGATATATGACCTGCAGTGATCGACGTTCTGATTGAATAACTTGCCATAAGCCATTATTCTCAACCAAATCGCGCAGAGACGTTTGCAAAGTTGTCGAGGGGGGGGGGGGGAGCAAGAGCGATTTTAAACGAATTGCTCTCCATGCAGTGCAATAGGACTTAGGTTTAATTTTTCGAAAGTTGTGGAGCCGCCCCCGGTGTCCGGCCTGGCCAACTCTCTCAAGAACAAGAACCGACAGCTAACGGAACACTGAAGTTTCACTACGACGATTTCCGCCAAAGTTATGAAGAAAAGGCAAGTGCAAGAAGTACAAAACTTCTCCTGGTAATCAAAACTTAGGTTTGGCAAATTCCAAACCCTAAGTCACTACAACTGTGGATACAACTGGTCATTGACGGCCAAGCTCTGGCCAATCTGAGGTTCAGACCTATCATCAAGTTCATGAGGCAGCTGCGGTTGGGCGGCTCACGGGCTCCACTGCATAGGCTCAGGCAGGTACTCTACAAAATGTCTTCTGTGTTCTTAGGTTCAGGTCTATCGATAGGTATGTGCATGCTTCTGATTCGATTGATAACTGTAAACGGGCGCTGGAAGTGGAAGGTTCGCTTGATATACGAAAGGTGCATTGCAAGAAAGCACATTATTTCAGAAATACACTTTCATTTTATCTTGAGCGTTTTTGGAATGGGCCGGATGAATTCGTCATCAAACTGGTAAGGGATTTCGTTTGAAGACCACCGATATTTAATGATATGATGGTCTTCAAACGAATTCGCTGGCAAATTCGATGACTGGATTGGGCGGCGTAGGATCTGCTGGTCATCTGACTATGGGTTGAGCAATACGTTAGTTTTGACCTAGTTTGAGCTTCATTCGTTAAGTAGTAACAAGGCGATGCTTCTTTTGAGCATCGTCACTAAACAAGCCGCCCTCGTTTTGACATTGTTTTTCGTTATTATTGTTACTAGGTACTTTGTTATCATACACAGCATTAACGAGGACCTGCTTCCAAAACAAGGCAGAAACGCTCCAGCTATTTTTGGGACGTGGTAAAAACTAACCGACACCTGGTAACTGTCATCTGACGAACACAAAACAAGCCAGGGGCTCGCAGCGTGTGTCAAAAGTAGGCATGGGCGTCGAAACCGGGGGGGACGGGGGGGACGCGTCCCCCCCAGTCGAGGAATCCGGGGGGGACGTCCCCCGCAAAAATATCCTCATGAATGATTTAAAAAGTGACCCACGACATTGGTGTATTGTCGTTTTGGGATGAAATTGCGGATACCTACTCGTATACAAATTGAATCTGCGAATTGCTGACACTGTACCCTTGCTTACAAGGCTGCGGAGTAGATGATTTTGGTAATTCCGACTCCGGCTTTAAAAAAAAAAAACGCTCGGAGTCCCCGCTCCATCTCCGACCACGGCATCCCTCGGCCCGCATAGGAGTGAAAAAACATGTGATGTGATGCTTTTGTCTCTTTGAACGTTTCCTGGCACATAAAAGATAGCATTGCCTACGAGGTGCAGCTCTGGACTGTCCGTCCCAGGTCGTCGATAGGGAGCCAAAGCTCCAGTTGTAGGGGCGTCGGGGCGACCATATCCAACAAGGGCTGAAGATCTGTGCCAAAGTCTCAGAGTGCAGTAGGACAACAGCTTGCAGAGACCACACATTTTACATAGGATATTCGTAATAGTCAAGACCTTCAGCTCACTCTCAAACGGCCCTCTTCCCGTTCGAGGCCATCCGACAGCAGAAGGTCTCACCATGGCCTTTGAACGCTTGATGCTTGAGGGTGAGAGGACCTCGTCCTGGTCTGAGAGAGCCCAGGAGGACGTAATGCTCAGTATGCCCCTATATTGGTCTTACCATGACCCCTACAATCACCACAGCCAACAGAATCTCCAGCTCTTATTCGACCCATCCTCGGGGATGACGTTGACTCTGACTTCAGAGTTGAAGTCTGTTACGATTTTGGTGACTCCAACTCCGTATCCGACCAAAACCGTCGACTACGACCGAAGTCGACTCCGACCCCGCAGTCCTGCAGCTACACTGCACAGAAGTTGGAAAAAAACTGTACCTATGGTTAACAGCGGTTTACAGAGGACCACACGATTTTTTAGAGGCAGGGCTGCTGGACTTGGTGACCAGACCCTAACTGTCCTGGTATCAAACTTATTACGCGGGATGCAAAATTTATGCGTTTTGGGACTGTTTTGCCAAGAGTTTTTGCCAATTTTCGCGGCGCTTCGCGCCGCCAATTCATGCACAGGTAGAAAAGAGTGTGACTAATAACGCCTCCACGCGAGAACATGAGAACATGTGTATTGTGTATGCGTTACAAGTAGTGCATAGGCCTGAAATTGTACGCTAAACTAACTAACTTTTGGGTTTTTAGTCAGCCAATCCGTCCCCCCCAGTCAAAAATCCGTGGCGACGCCCCTGAAAGTAGGATGCAAAACTAGTCTGTACCCCCGACATTTAGCGTTGAGAATCATTTGACGAGGGGCTAGTCAATATTTTTTACAGTGTAGATTAAACTAGGAGTAAGTTAAACGCACTTTAGGTTCGTTTGTTGCGCAACCTATCGGTTGTCAGAATGGCCATCTTGAAATACTGCGACCCATAGGGGAGAGTGGGGTAAGATGCCCAGGGTGGGAAAGACGCCCCACCCCCTCTAGCGGCGAAACAAAGAATCGAACCTGGAAATTAAAGGGACCCTCCCACCTTCAAAAAAGTTAATGAATTGGCATGAAAGTGATGTCGCTCGGTTCAGAAAGAGCAAAAACGAATATCTACCAAATTTCATCGAAAAATATTCACCGGTTTTCAAGATATTAGACTTTTACTTTTGTTTACTTTTTGGGATCTCCGCTGTTCCTAGCAACTTTATTTGAAAGTGCGGCATTTGTTGCGCGCAAAGCAGCATATACCACCGCGTGCTACAAAACGTTTTAGTCAAACATTTAACGGACGTTCGAAAGCCTGATGACGTCATCAGATTCCCGTAATGGTTAAGAGATAGGGACCACGCTGGTCCCACCCTGCAAGTAAAGGGAAGAAATTTCTTGAGCACCATAAAGCTGCGGGGGTTGCGACCAGGATAAATGGTGGTTTCTGAGCCTGGCCGCAAACTTGGCTATCTCAACTCAAAACTAATGTTAAGGTGGGAGGGTCCCTTTAATGTTCTTAGCGTAAAGCGGAAGCCTGCCTTGTTGACTGCACAAAAATTTGCGAAGCTCAGTTGGGCAACGGCTGGCTGATGATTGCATGTTTTTTATTTGCTGCTTTCAAAAAATATTTTGGTGTCAAAACATTGTAAATATCAAAGAAGGTAGATAATTTTTGAGTCCCTTGCTATAGTCGTGATACATTAACATGTGTGTACTGTGTCCTGAACAGTTTGTTTCAGAGTGTAGTTTTATGGCTAACAAATTGCACGGATTTAATGTTGCTTCGGTACCTTGGGGTAAGATGCCCCCTGTCCTGATGGGGAAAGACGCCCCCCTAAATCCGTAAACTGTCCTTCAAGCAGCCCGTCAAATCATTTATTACATACTTGTGCTGAGAGACAAAAGCCGATCTGGGACTATTGAGAGTCCAGTACGGTTGGGTGCTCCCCATGCCGGTCTCTCGGCACACACAGCGACTTTTTGGGCGGCATCTGACTCTGAGAGCCCTCACGACGGCCTCTGTGGGCCCCATTATTGGCTCCAGGGCCCCTCACGACATCCTTTGAGGGCTCCCACGTAGGCTCCACGGGCCGCGCTGGCATCTGAGGTCCCCACGATGGGCTCGAGGGCCCTCAAGCATCATGAAGACCTATAAGGGCCCCACAGTGGTCTCCGAACGCCACCACGGAGGCTTGTTTGGCCGCGCTGGACTATGATGGCCCTAACGATGACCTCTGAAGCCCCTTACGACTACTTTTGAGGGCCCTTACGATGACGTTTGGTGTCTACTGCAGTCTCGAAGGGACTACTGATTCGTTCAGGCGATTCACGTGCCCATTTATGCCACTTATAGTGCAGGGGGCATCTTCCCCAACGCCAGGGGGCGTCTTTCCCACCCTGTGGGGTAAGATGCCCCCTTTCACTTCTTCAGGAAAATGCTTAATAGCAAAAAAAGTTATCATATTTCAGGCACGAAAGTGTGATATTTTTGGAGAAAAATGATGTCGGCTTCCGTTGAAACTCCAAGTTTTTGCTTTCCGATCGTCATTTTCGAATAATATATGACAAAGTAAAACCCTGGGCATCTTTCCCCACTCTCCCCTATGTCAAACTACATACATGTCTATGATAGGTTTTGGTGATAGCCGACCGTGCCACGATGCTTTCGAAGTGACACGCCTGTATATGATGCACTGCTAAGCTAAGCTAGCATATCCGTGGTGCTCCGTCTTCCAAGTCCGCTTTTCCTGACATTGTCCTTTACCGCTCGACTTTGATGGCTCCACCAGATAAAGGTGAAACCCGTCACAAAGTTTGCCCTTCTGACGCGCTGACCAATATCTCATTGACCCCCGCGCTCCCCTTTGCTAGTACAAGCAGAACGTATCCGGATCGGGTCGTGACCTGGGCCAGTCGTACGTGACCTTTACCAGAAACTGTATGGACCAGATCCGTCAGAAGGTCAGCGACGAGCTCTGGATCCTCAATGTGTTCGAGGTGAGTCGGTGTTCGTCACCAGTGAACCCGGTTCGAGGACCTATCACCATGGTGGGATTGTGAATCGGTGTTAGATCCCTTGTTGCTTATATGTAGTGCTTTCACAGCTTGCATGCTATAATCTATGGAGAGAGGAAACTGATCAAGTCTTCAGTTAAGGCAGCAACTCTTGTTTGACTCTCCACATTATGTAGTGCTCGATTTTTCATTCACCGTCTTGCAATTCAATGTTTTGCCAGCATCTGCTTTTTGTTATTCGTCTCCTTCTGTTCTTATATTCCCGACCAATGAAATTTTCAGTGAGATTCCCGCGACGACTGTTTATGTAAATGGTCTTCTTGTTTCGGCATTAAATCATCGATTTGACTATATTTACATTTTTGTCATATATCTATGCTGAATTTCCAGAAACTCGCGCTGTTGCCGTGTTGTTGTGCAAGACTGCCTTTCAGGTATTGGTTTTGCAACAGAAATGAAGACATGGTGTCGAAAACATCCCGGTTGATATTATCTCTTTTTACCGCATCGACTATGCACTGACTCTTCTATCCGTCCACTTTGAGGACTTGACCTGACCTGCTGACCTCTTGATGTCACTAACTGACCTTTGACGCCACTCTCTCCATCTCGGTCAGATCTGGTACACGCAGCAGATCCAGCTGCTGTGCACGTGGCTCTCAGACAGGCTCGACCGATCTCTGCACCCCTATCAAGTCATGTGCCTGGCCCACATCGTCAAGGTAAGCCATAGCTCGCCATCGGTGATTGTGTCTTTCTTCTGTGCATATCGTATGCTGCACACTGTTTGTAAGTTAGCAATGAGCATCACTGTTACATGTTTTCGACCTAGCCTGTAGCTTGGGCAGGCACTTTAGCCTGCTCAAAAGTGCGTCTTCTTATGCACATGATAGACAGTATGCATGCTACACAGCGGTGTAACTCGAAGCATGTCACCCTGTTAGCAGCCTTGTGTTTTAACCATGGAAGAAGCAGACTACGATTAGCATACTCAAATAATATTAAAACCCGTGTGAAAGGATCATATATTACAAAAAAGATAAATACTCAAACGATTTCGACCGTTTGTTGATAATAACTTGAATTAGCTACTTAACCCGCGCACCGACGGGGGTCTGCGCCAACTTCGCACCGACGGGGGGGGGGGCGGATGACCGCCCCCCCCCCTGAGATCTCGAGAACGAAGCAAGATAGCGACAAGCGGTAAACGGCATCGGATACGCACGGCCAAGATCTACAATTTTTACTAAGGTCATTTTCAGGTCAGGTCAAAGATGACGTCACAGGGGTCGAAAAAGTCAAAATGGCGGCGCTAGATATGGAGAGAGTTTTTCTCGAATAACTTTCGAATTAGTCAAGATAGGAACAAACTAAGGGCATCATCGTGATCCTCTCGTCAATCCGCATCGAATGATATATATGTTGACCTCGAAAGGTCAAGGTCAAAGGTTGACCTCAGGTCACGTGACCTTGAGTTCATCATGCATATCATTCGATGCGTCTTGACGAGCTGAACACAATGAGACCATCCACGCGTCTGTATCTTGTTCCTGTACGGAGTTATTGGCCAAAAACCTTTGGTGACCTTTGATGACGTCACATGACCTCACAGCTGCCCAACAGCAAAACAGACCTCAAGGTAGTGAAGGTTGATCGTATATGAAGTCATGTATGGTATATGGGGCCATTCCGACCCGTTTTAGTGGTAAAAACAGGGAGTTGATTTTTCCCCCATTGACTTATAATGGGGAGGTCGCGAAATTGACCTGACCTTAGGTCACCGATATCAAAATTCCGAGATAAACAAATTGTAGCTACTAATGACCTAATAATATCCTGCGACTTTCAAAGGCCTCCGACATATACTGTAGCTCTGGCACGGTGACAAAGTTGCAAAAAAGTGACTTGAGGTTGGGTCATTCAAAGTGACCTGGTGACCTGACCTTAAAAGGTAGGAGGTTCAAACTTGCACACCATGTGTAAAATTGATGAGGTTATAGTCATACCAAATTTCGCGGCGCTACGCGCCGCGGTTTTCCCGCTATTCGCGAAAAACCTCAGGGGGGGGGGCGGATATCCGCCCCCCCCGTCGGTGCGAGGGTTAAACCGTAACAAGTATTAATAAATGTGCTTACGTCTTATCCACATAAGCAATGTCCATCACGGTGTTCAAGCTCTGCGTTTGCTTATCTTGTACGATACGTTTTTATTTTTGCTAATTTTGTCCAACACTTTTTTCTTTGCCCATGTTTCACTAATGGCATGCGCTAGAATGTGCATTGTTCAGCTTGCTAATCACCCATGTTGTTTGTATCTGGTCGTTCTCTTTAGCCCCGTGACCGTCCTCCGTGCCCGCATGGCCTGCCCCCTGTCGCTCGCACCGTATAACACCGTCTGTGCCCGCACGCGCCGCCGACACCAGTGTCTCGGCGCCGACAACAAGATGCACGGTCTGCGGGAGGAGCAGGTGGAGATCCCTCACTACCGGACCTGTGTGGAGAGACTGGAGACGGAGCGGAGGGCACTCATCATACAGGGACGGATGGAGTGAGCGAGGGCGCTGATCATACAGGGGCGGATGGAGTGAGCGAGGGCGCTGATCATACAGGGGCGGATGGAGTGACCTGGGGCACTCAGATGGAGTGACCGGGGGTACTCAGGTGGAGTGACCTGATCATACAGGGGCGGATGGAGTGACTTGGGAACTCAAGCAGGGACGGATGAACACAACTCGTGAAGGGAAGAGGACGAGATGACACAGGAATGGTGCTAGAATGAAGTAGTTTGCTGTTTGTTCCCAAGGCTTTTTCACTCTAAACAGCATTGGATAGTAGCACATGTGACGATAATAAGTGTTGTGGACGGGTTGCAGGAGGGCGCTGTCACCAGATATACTGTGTGGCATAATCGCAGACGCTCGGCTTACGGATAAACATGTGATATGACCGCCTTGTCTCGATAGGACGAGAGCAGAGAGAAGACTAGTTTCGTTATACAATTCATGCAATCGTGATTGCATTGGAGATCACGATTAGTTGCCATAGTGTTGCGCTGCTTTGGCTGATTTCGCAACTGCGAGTGTGCCTTGACGGTACTTATGAGGTTACCGCGATAAGGTTTAAAGTCATGCTTGTTTCTGTTAGGTCTGATGACCAATTGTTACGCAATACTAGTCAGTGTGGCCTGGGTTATCTAGCTTGAGTCCCTGTTTAGCAATTTATACGTATCTTCCGTATGTTGTATCCTAGTGGCTTTCTTAATATGATGTTTTAGTGTCTTTTGTCATGCATATTATCCCACTCGTGCATTCGGGTCACTGCATGCTCGCTTTTTTCGTTTTATGTTGCAATACATGTTCGAAGCATATGAGCCACCTGCAACCGAAGTGCATTTACAACATCGGGCATGCGTGAGAAAGATCCATCGAAGGTGAGTTGCACTTTTTAGTTTTGTCATCACATATGACACTATCCGATTTAGCAATACCATGATCTTACACGGTACGCATGTTTTCTAAACAGCACAGATTTCGTTTCATATAAAACAATGGCTTCGATGAAAAAGTTGTTGGTTAGTAATCGTTCAGCTTTAAGACATAACATTTCTGAGCGTTGCAGCCGCGGCCCTAAGTGGACAGCGATTGTTTGAGTGGTTTCTATGATCGTCCACCATCAGCTGCCCGCCAGCGGCAGAAATCACACCGGACTGGCCGTCAGAGAGGCTTAAACGCCTACATGACCCGCATAGCAACCGTCCCCGGCTGAGCCGGACAAATCCTGTCGATTGCAAATCGCTCCGGAAGTCGGCCATTTATTTAGTTTATAATCCATGGACTGTGAGGGGGCGGGGCTTTAGTAGGTCGTCAGCAGCGGATGGCGGGATTTTGACGATTAATGCATTTTCCTTATACCGTCAGCGAATCATCGCTATTTGGAATCAATTATGTGTTTATGAATTAATAAATACACCTTAATAAAACATATATATCGAAATGACAAGCTGGTAAGTCAAACGACCTCACAATAAGTAACCGCCATGTACCACGTCCCTCTTACAGAAGTTGTACAGCGACTTCGAGCTACAAGGCGTGACGGAGGACAAGCTGAACAGCAAGACGTACCAGACCATTCTGCAGAGGATGCAGACGGAGGAGGCCACGTGCGCACTGCTCGAGGGCAGCCGCAGAGATGAAGAGTGAGTGGAGGGGGAGGGGCGGTGTGAAACTTTAACCGACCCGTGAAGGGGGTCTAGAATGATGCTTGTTGTGCAAGCTATGTTACGGTGAGGGCTGAACCAGGTGGTTCCCATTTTGTGTTAGATATGTGTATGTAATGTATGTAAATCGGTTGGTCAGACATTTTGAATCAGTCTGGTCGCCTTCTGACTTGGAGTGCTACAGGGACTAGAACTGCCTACAGTGTCAGCCTCGGGTGTCTCCCAGCGGGTGCATTGACCGCCGTTGTCGTTCACCCCAGGGAGTTCCCGGACGGCGCAGGGGACGAGGAGGACGGCAGTCGGGCGCGCGGACCCAGCCTCTCGGTGCGCGAGTCACTGGCGGCCGAGGACGGAAACGTGGCCGCTAAGGTGGCCAACGTCACTTCCAATGTTGTGGGCAAGGTGGGCAATAAGGTGAGTGGCGCTGCTCGACATCGCATACTGGTGGAGGTTACAGCCTAAGGACCTCTGGACAGCCTTATGTGTTATCTAAACTATTCGAAGCATTTTCATATACCTGATAAACATTCAACTGCAGTGCATTACTTAGATTAGTTTGCCAATAAAATGTCAAGGCCTTACGTCAGCAGGAGTATCTTAATGCCTTCTGTCTACGTATGTGCCCCGGCGGCCGACTGGCCCTGACGTCCGCTGCTCTCTGGCTCTATTCACAGGTGGGTGGAGTGCTGGGCGGCTTCTCCAAGGGTCTGGGCGGCCTGGGCAGTCGACTGGGCGGCGCCGGGGGTGGCTTCTTCTGAGCACCGCCGTCCGTCCGTCCGGGGTCAACCATAATGCAGAGACGCTGACCCGGAGTCGGCGGCGGGCGCACGCCGCTGGGCCCGCTGTTCCAAATCAACTTTGTGATCATGTGTGTCGCGTGCGTGCAAGTGCAGTCCGTGAGCGGTGGCGGCGGCCGCAGCGCGCTGGTTTTGTACCGACACAATATCTCGATGTTCGGCGGCGGAGGTGATCTTATGACGTCACGGTTCGGTCCGATGACGTCAGCGCGCGTCCAGTGACGCGCACGGTCCGTAGAGTTAGTCCCTCCTGATCTCCGGTGTCCAGTGAAAGGAACCCACTTTCTCATGCTCTATTGTTCATCTGGGCTTACCTTCTACAGTCTGCATAATCCTCTAAAAAGAATGGCAGCTAAATTCTATCCACTGCTGACGCTGGCTCCTATGAGCTTGCACGTTGAATATCCTGCCCTAGCCATCCAATAATGATACGCCAGCAGAATGACATTCCTACGGGGATGGAACGAGAGTGGAGACATTCCATGACATTAGCTAGAGGATCGTTATCAGAGGTGATGCTCGCATATTCGCCGAGTCCAGTCATCGAACGTGCTGACGATGTTGAGGGCGCTTGTTGGCTGCTGCAGACATTTACGCCTTGTTGGACTATGGCGCATTTTAGAGACTCGATACAGAATGATTGGCGATATGCCCTATCGCACAATTAACAATCTACGGAAAGTCCACAGGTGGAGGGGCGGATGCTGTCCGTTGTTTCACTCGGCGATAGCCCTGTTACGAGTGTGACTGCGGTTAGCCGTTTGAACGATTTGCCCTATTTTGCTGACAGGCATCCAGTCTATATCTAGCCTCCGCTCTTTGGCGCCGTTCTCTGGCGTAGCTGCATGACTTTTCTCGTCTACGGGAGTGAGCGACGTTATTTGACGCGACTATAGGGACGCTGGCGCGGCGTCCGCGGCGCGTTGGCGGCGGTTGCGGCGCGCGCGCGACGTTTGCCGGCGGCCGGGCGGCGGCGCCGTCGGTGGCCTTGGATCGGAGCGAGGCGGCGCGAGTTCCCGTAGGGCTGTTGTAGGGTGGCGTCGGCTCCGGGCCGCCGCCGGGGCCGGTGACTTTGTACACAGTGTTATGATTTGCCTTACGAGCTCTGCCGATAGCCGCCATAGCTCCGGTCGCCGTTGTCTCGTGCCGTTTTGAACTCGCTACCAGCGGCCCAGAGAGCGAAGGAAGGCGGCCCGCCGGCTCGCCGCTCATCTAACTGTGTGCTATCATGCTTTTCCAGCGGGCCAAATTCCCAAATATAATCAGACATGTTACATGATGGTGTTGTATCATACTTGTCACCCTCGTTCGAAGCCATTTACGACCGAGCTGTTCTTTTGTAGGTAGTTACCGTTCGCACAGTTACCGTTCACACGCACTTCGGTCGGGCGATTACTACTGATAGCACCACTCGAGCAATCGCCTGCCGTCACCCAGCCAGACCCCGTGGTGTGCCGAATCCCGAGCCTCCCTATCCCCCCACAGCACAGATCACCGACTGGCTCACAGACCCACGCGTGTATTCTATCGGTCCCCAGCGGGTGTGGTAGTCAGTTACCAGCTGACCTGCCCCCTCGTCCCTATCAGCCGTCAGTCACCGACTGACCCCCACAATGAGGACAGTCTCACCTACCTGAGTCTTAGCCGGTTCTGACCGGTCACAGTCGGTGAACGCGGCGGGCCAAAGGAGACAAGGATATGACACATGATATGTGTATTAATAACACCTGTAAACATTTGAACCGTAACAACGAATTATCACACGTAATAGGACGCTGGGTTAAAATCTCGATTCCCTTCCCACAGCTTCTCTGTAAGAACCGCTGGTTGTTATATGCCCATAAAAGATAGCGTTTAATTTTTCTGTTGATTTTAGCGAGCGTGGCGTTAACTCCAAGAGAGCGCCGACGCCACTGAGTCGCCGACTTCGATCAGACACGAGCTCTCCAGCGAGTCTTCGATGATATCTTTGACCGCTTCGTATGTTGATGCGGCGCCGCATAGCGTGGCCACCACGATAATTTCTACCAGAATGATCTTCTTCCATAATGGCACCTCACTGAAAACGAACATAAGTGTGGGATCAATATATATATGTAACCGATAAACTCCGAACGTTAAAATGCAAATGTCTGAGGCTAGTCGAAACCCTAGCTTGATAATTGATTTGATAGGCGGCTGTTATGCCATATTACCTATCTGACGAAAAATGTACTGATAAAATTTAAATGGTAGAAAGCCGCCAATGTGTTCACATGTAGCCAACAGTAGGTATTCAGCCGCAAGGCTGTGATCCTTCATCAGTCTGACTCTACGTAGTGATAGTGTCATTTCGTTTCCACTCAACCTGCCATTACTGAGAAGGTACTCACATTTTGGGCCACCGACCGCCGTCGGTATGTGAGGTCAGCCTCAGGTACAGGATGGGCGGCATGATGAACGTCATCAGCGTCAGAGCGCTGGCGCCGATCAGGTCGAGCACCTTGGAGAAGCTCGGCACCGTCTCCCCGATCAGCACATTGATGGCCATCATACCGGTCCGGAACAGCACTCGCTTCCAGCCGAACTCTGCAGATAGACGCAGCAGATGGGTCAGATGGTTTTCCAGAAACACCACTGAATGAGTTAGTGGAATGAACGAATAAAAGAATAACGAGCGATTGAATGGAACGAATGAATGACTCGAGCGAATAAATGAATCAATGAATAAGTGGAGCGAATGAATGAATCAATGAACTGAAACGAATGAAATAACCAATGAGTAACTAGGACGAATGAATAAATCAATAAATGGATTACGAGGCGACTGTTGGAACCAACAAATAATGAAGGAACTACCGTGTAACTCAAAATCGATAGAAATATATGTAGCTCAATCCTGATACGATTTCATAAACAAGTGAAGTCTCGGCCAGCTTTCTTCGTCGTCGGACCAGAACTTCCTTGCTATTTTACATCCCAAACAATTGTACAGTGTACACGGCGTTATCCACACAATTTTCCCCCTAAAACTCACGGAGTGGTATGCCGATCCTGTCCTCGAGTTCCTGATACACAGGGCTGATGACGCTGAGCAGAGAGGCCGACAGGTTTATCATGAACAGCACCTGGGCGGCGCTCTTGAAGAAGCCGTCCGGCTTCAGGGAGTTGATGAGGTCGGCATCCAGCTGGTCTCCCAGCGCCAGGTAGCCCAACAGCGTCATCGGAAAGTACATGCAGATCAGCGCTGAGGGTGAAATCTTAGAGTCATGCTCTGTCACCTCAGCCGATCATGAAGACGGTACGTGATTTGTGACAACGAAACATAAAAATAATAGGCGAAATGCGGAATGCGATAATCATAGCACAGACTGCGTTAAAAAATTTATTAACCAATTATATGCATAGGCGTGGGACCCTGGGGGCAGTGGGGGCAGCCTGCCCCCCCCCCCCGGCCCCCTCCCAAACTCTGGGGCCGTGGGGGCGGTGCCCCCACAACTTTAAGACGGAATATTACACTTTTTTGCAAATGTTTTCTTTTTGTTGAAAAAGCCAAGGGATGAAAAATAAGTGGTCTAAAACCGGTGAAAAAAACTAGATTTGGCGGTACTCTAGGTTGATGTCTATTATGGTGTGCCTCCCAGTCTGAAAGTAGTTCCCACGCCCCTGATTATATGTGTCAATGCATGTGATACGAATACGATTACAAATGGAGTCAGAGTTATCGTACCTATGTATCCGTAAGTGATGCTCCGTCCAAACTGCTTGCGGTCGGCCATGTCGTTCTGGATAGTCGGGAAGGAGGAGGCGCCGCCGAACGAGAACAAAAGACTTGACATGCCCAGGAAGAACGTCTCGAATGTGGGCGACGTGTGCGTAGCGTCATCCACCGTCTCTCCGTAGTGCGTGCTCAGGTGGATGATGATGCACAGCCAGGCGAGCATCGTGGAAACCAGGGCCGTGACGCCGATGAACCTGAGAAACACGCCACATTAGTTACGATTCGATGGCGATATGTGAGATTTAAAGCATGAGTTAGCGAATTATGCGACAGACGTAATACCTGGCAAGCTCCGAGATAGCTCTTGTTATCTTTTTTAGCAGACAGAATAAAGCTATATCGGATGATCTCATGTTACCAGACTTCAGAAGTTCTTCTGTTCTACATACCAGAAGTCCTTTGGCGATCCGAGGAAGGAGAGCGGCAGCAGCACTCCTGCCACCACTAGGATCCAGACGCAGTAGGTGAGGCGGTCCTTCCCGACCAGGCCCTCGAGCAGCTCAGCGGACAGCAGCACGTACACGATGCTGCCGCCGAACTGGTTGACGAAGATGCCCACAGACGCCAGTATTCTGTGAAAATACATTGGATTTCAGACAAGTAAAATGAAATTAAAATGTAAAGATAAAATCTGACAATGTGAATATGCAAGCAACTGGAACACCTTAGATAGACGTTCAATATAAGTTCGTAGCTCATTATGATATCAATACTCAAATCGGCTTCCACAAGGGCGTTGACTGCTGACCTGGTTTTCTTTCCAAAGGCTCGGAAGGCGATCTCGGGATAGGGCGCTCGAACCTGGCCGCTCAGCTCTGGGAAGCGTGACTCGACGATCAGCCAGCACTGAGAGAGTACGAAGCCGCAGTAGGCAGAGTTGACGCCAAAGTAGAGCAGAAGAACCAGACCGATCCAACCTGGGGCATGGGTCAATGTCGGACTAGACGGCTACATGAGGTTTTCAAGAATCTTTCGCAGTTTTAGCGTAGCAACGGTGCGTCAATGTTCATAATGACATTATCAATGTCGGTATATAAAAACAAAAAAAAAAACTTTTTTTTCTTGTATAACTCTCCCATCGTACTTTTTAGCTCTTTCTCCCTCTCCCTCTCCATCTCCCTCACTCCCTCACCCTCTTTTTTTTCTCTCTCTCTCTCTTTCTAAAAAGCACACCCTCTCTCTATCTCTCTTTCTCTCTCCTCCACTCTAGCTTTATCTTACGGCACTCCTTTCACTGATCCCGCTTCTCAATACCTAAACCCCTTACCCCACCGGTAAGATGCGCACCTGTGAGTCGAACCGAGTTGGCCAGTGCCAACATCCCACTCCCGGCCACCGTTCCAGTGATGAACACGGCCGCCAGTAGGGTGCTGATGCCTCCTTTAGGTGCCGCCGGTTCCTCAGCACTAGCCGGGGAAGCCGGTGAACCTCCAGACGAGCTGGAGCCCGCTGACCCACGCCGGACGTATGACATGGTGGGCTGTGTACACAGCGGGACACTACACGGAGACGGGTGGGTAAGGGGAGCTGCAGCGGGTCACAGAGTGGAAGTCCACAGAAACGCAGTAGAACCGTCCACAGAAACACTAGCCGTGCTGTGAGAGGACTGCCGGACTACTGATCGATGAGCGCTGCACGATCCGCACTGTGCCGGACTGACAGCCACTCGACGGGCCAGTGCGTGTCAGACTGTTGACAATGCCGCGATCACACGGCAGTCAGTAGTATCTCTCCGGGCGGAGGTGCGGCCCGAGATACGCCGACCGTTTCGTCATTGTGGGCCGATCTAAATGGTACAGAGTTTTGTGTGACGCTGCGGCCGTTCATATTTTTTCGAGAGTGAACCGGATGGGCCTGTTGAGATCTGAGTGGCTGAGCAGAGGTTGCGATCAGTAAAGGTTCGGGGACTCCCGCGCCCTCTCGTCCCACTTGTTGTGAAGAGGTGGAAAGTTATCATCACGGACCTGCTTGTCTATATATTCGACGAAAACTGCAAGGCTCAAAAATCGAACCGTCATGACGACGTCGTCTATAGAAAACATCTGCCATAAGTTAAAGACGCTATTATTCAATCTGGAGCAAAAGGGATAGACTGACAACCTACTGACAAGCTGCCTCATAATATAACGCACGGGCCTCATGTACAGCCCTCTGCAAACTGCTTTGTAGGTATTCTTTTTTCGACAAAAACGACAATAACGCGAATACTATGCTATTGGCCATTCGGAAATCGTGACAGCAAGACGCGCGAGACTCCGCACCTTAAATTGGCATCATCGCCGTATTCATTTTCCATCTAGTTCGGCAACAAAACCCAAAAGTTTATATTTGCCCCAAAAACAAACTTCTGCATTTTGTTGCCACACAAGGCGTTTACCTTGTTTAGTGATAGACCTAATCGAAGGAGTGGAGCATGGCGCATCTATTTGCAGTGAGTTCTGACCGACTGATAGCATAGCCTTTGAGTTATTATCGGTTTTGTCGAATAAAGAATACCTACCACGCAGTCTGCTGAGGGCTGTACGTGCGTACCGACCAACATTGAATGCTAGCCACCGACGTTGATATTCAGCATTTTGAAAGCAGCACATAGTGCAGGGCAAGGCTATACAAGCCGCGCACGGCATTGTACTCGTACATACCAAAAGTGCGAGTAAAGCTGATTAATTATTACTCACTTCACCTCAAGAGATGTTTTAGTTACCTCCTTCCAAAGGCACAACCCTTCAACTGTACCATCTCCCTAAACGAGTTTTCGGATATATCACTTTCGCTCAATAGCCTGCCGCACGAAGCCCACCACCGTCCACCATATACGCTCTACATAAGTAGGCAGTGCCTACTTATGTAGAGCGTATATGGTGGACGGGCACAAAGCAGCACTGGACCTAGCTTTCTGTCGCGGGCGGACGAGGTCGAAGCGGTACTGGCATTTCCTCCGCATTTCCTGACTATTTTCAGCAGCTGCGCTGAACTTAAAGGTCCGGTAGCATCATCTGTGTACCTACCAGCTGTGGCCCGCTCCATCGTTATTGTAACACCCAGTGCCAATGCACGAGTCCGTCACAGGGCTATTGGGAATCTGCTGACACAAATACAAATATCGGCACGATAGGTATCTAAAGTAGGCATTTCAAATTAACTTTTATTTTAAATTAGTTTAAAGTGGTTCAACGTCCATGTGGCCAAAGTTACACTAAACTGCCCTTTATTTTGCCGGCCCTTTATTTTCCACCTCCTACCCAGTGTTATTCGCGCTTAGCATACCCCTGCACGTCTCTGCCCGCTGGCCTAAGGTCAGAAATGTGCGATGTTTGAGGTCAGCTTTAACCCTGGCACGACTCCACGCTGCCAACCATCCGAGGGATGCAGCCGCAATGTGACCCTGTATTGACGGCGTCCCCAATGTCTCGGCGGTGCCAAACGGTCGTTGAACGGCTCAAAGTCGTGGCTCAGCAGCCAACTCGATCGACCGAAGGCAATTGGGGCATAAATACCGCCTCACTAACAGTCGTGCGTGCGTTTATTGGTAACAAAATCAAACGCTGCGGGCTGGGTGTATTGTTTTATATTTGCCCGTTTTAAATAAATACTAGGAGAAGAAAGACTACGGTACAGATGACAGTTATCTTGATGGTCTATTTATTTAAAGGGTAGTGGATATATTGAGCGGGACACGACAAGGGATTTAATTGCCCTATCACAAATCGCTCAGCAACAAGCTTTACGCTTTTCGGTGCAAAATTTACATACACTTTACTATGCACATGAATCGGCACCGTCAGTTGTCTACTTTTTAAGCCAAAGCGACAATTCAACGAACAATTCTCTTTTTATTTAATATTTATATTAAATGTTTCAGCGAAAAACTCATCAGCTCGGATGATAAGATCACAGTGCCTGCACCAGCTTCTGTTTCTCGGCGAAGTAGGTCTTGAGCTTGTTGAGTGTGCCGTCCACCACGTCTGCCTCCGGGTCGTCGGCCACCTTGGCGGCGGCGGCCACCCAGCCCTGTACCTCCGTGACCTGAAAGACCAGGAGAAAACGTATGGTCAGATCCGCAGCGTGTGGTAGGAGAGGCTATATGATGATTCAGAGGTATATTAATTGCATTCGGTAGCACAAGACGGGCTTCATTGGAATGTGTACCTAAGTTTGGTGTCAGCTAATAGTCGCTTTCGGAAATTTAGGCGGTGGAAGCACAGTGGCTGTGAAAACATACAAAACGTTCTTCTGGATTTATCTAAAAGATCGTGAATGTTAGCTATGCAATTGAACATCGAGCACTAGGTATACGGATAAGAAGGACAATGAGCCCATTGTAAAATCAACTAGCCGGATAGCACGACTGTGATAAATGAAATCTTCGTTTGCCTAGCGTCGATGTCGGATAGATAGGAAAGTCGCTGATAATCATGGGCCTTGATGAACTGTCCGGAACCGTGCAAAATCTATAGATAAAGTTACAAAATACCTACAAAGGAGTCATAGAAAGATACAAGTTGCTGGATTTTACAGATAACATAACATGCTAAATTTATAGCCGAGAATAACTATTTCCCGTAATCTATAAAACTGATAATGAAATGCTCCTAATCGGGGCTGAATTCTATATTTATCTAGTAGCACTAGCACGCCGGCGGTCGGTGGACTTACCGTGTTGCTGAGCTCCTCCCACTGTTTGACCAGCTTCTCCATGCGCTGCACCCACTCGCAGCAGACGGTCTCGGCGGCCTGCCGGCGGTCGCGGCACTCGGTGATCTCCCGGTCCGCCTTGTCGTGCTGCGTCATCTTGGACACCGTCTCCGTCATCTTGTCCAGGCTGGCCAGCCGCGACTTGATGTCTGCGTCAAACTCCTGTAGAGGCAGCACGGATGATGGAATTAGTCCGGGGTATCCAGTGACAAGGAGAGGGGGGGGGGGGGAAGCTCCCATAACCGTGCGCCGAGTACTGGTACTGAGTTATGCATTTCACACTATAATAAATAAGATGCTATGTACACTACGGTTGGGATAATCTGTCATCGTTGTATTGCATATCCTGCTCATGATTCTTATTTCTTACAGTGCAGCCAAAGTTTTAATCGGGCTTACGATGACGGATTTCTGCATCTCCTGAGCCTCGATGAGGCTGTTGGGCTTCTTCAGACCACCCTTGATTCTCTCCTCGCACTGGGTCAGCCATGGCTGGAACACCTTCAGTTCGGCCTGCAAAACGAAATAAAAATGCGATGTAAGAAACATCTTCAAGCTGACTTCATCGCGAAAACTAAACAAGTACAGCATTAACGGGACTGATTGGCTAAGAAACATGTTCTAAACGTCAAGTTCAAGGTGATGTTGCCGTTTGGTTCTGACCTGGTAATCGGCCCAGTGGTGGAGGTCCTCAGAGATGTCGCCGCACACGTCCGTCAGCTTCTGGTTCAGCTCCTCCAGCTTCACCTTGATCTTCTGCACGTCCAGCATGTGCGCCTCGGCAATCGAGTTGGACTTGCCTGCAAGAATGCAGATTGCAGAAGTGGTCAACGAGGTCAACAATCGACATACCTATCGTTTGCGCCGCTTTTAAACATTAATAAGAGCTCATCTGCCAAGCTGTACACAAAACGTCAGAGCTGGACAAAACGCAGACATAAGCTTTTAAACGTTGTGGATTCTAAGTTTGGAGACTCGCAACATCCGGAATACTTAGCACTCAGCATCCATTAAAACACCAGCAACACCTGAACCTCTGGCAGCGCGACGCTCGACCTTCCTCACCTCCGAGCAGCCGCTCCGACTCAGTGACCAGCCAGGCCAGGGTGTTCAGCTGGGTCTCCATGTTCTTCTGCATCTTCACAGTCATGAGCAGCTTCTCGTCAGACTTATCCTCGCCGGGGAACTTGAGCAGCTCGTTCAGCATGTCCTCACCCTGCTGCAGCCACGCCATCGACGCGTCCTTCTTGTCCACGAACGCCTGGAGATGTTGATAAAATGCGTCAGAGATTGACTAATTACCCAATTATTGCATTTAGATGCATTCTTAGGCATTTATTCGTATGTATGAGTTAAATTGATGTCTTTTAGTGCATCGCATTGGAGACGTTCTTAAGAAGACGGACGCTGGGGAAATACAAACAAACCTGCAGATCCTCTGTGTACTTCTTCAGCTTGGCAATGCGTTCGTCGGTCTTATCCAGCACCTTGTTCCGCTCCTCGAATCCAGCTATCTGTGAACCGACAGATTATTGTGGATTCGAGTACTAATTACATAATGCGGCAACACTATGCAAACCACCCATTGCTGCTTAGACACTAGACAGGAACACGTATTTCATGCCCCATGGCGCCGGAATATCTATTTATTCAGCATATGTACCTGGTTTAACCCGGCACCGCCTGGGCTATTTCCGTACCCACGACAGCCTGGGGGTCGGATCCGACCCCCCCTGTTATCTCGAGAACCAATGGTCGTATCGAGCCTCGCGAGGCGGCGTTCGAAAGGTCTCTACTAGACCTTCCCAAAGCACTCTTAAGATTTTAAGATTGAGGTCAACTTTCGGGTCAAGGTCAGGTCAAAGGTCAAATTCAGGGGTTTTGCATGAATCGGCTTACGGACAGCGGAATCGATAGCTGCTGCTCGAAACTCACCAAAAATGACCTCAAATGCCTAGTGAAGGTACCATGTGCGTATAGGGGTCATACTAGGTACAGGTCAAGGTCAGGTCAGGTCACGAAAGGTCACGGTTTTCACTTTCTGCTACATGGGCGTGCGACACATGTTTTATGGCTTATTTTTCACGCCGAATCCGATGGTA